AGGCTTCGGTGCAACTCAGACTCCTCTCAGGCTGTCCCGTTCGAGTAAAAGACATTTTGCTGCATTCGCCATCAGGTTCAAATTTTTGGGGAAGGCTGGCGTTCTCCAAGCCGTCAAGGATGCGACAAAACGCAACTGTTCTCCTTGATGAGTTGGTACGCCCGAGCTGACTCCTCAGCGGTGGACGATAAAGTTTACTGCCCATCGGTCCTCCAACGTGCCATCCTTGAGGGTACTCTGATGGATCTATGTGATGGACACCTCGACTATATAGTAGCTTCAAACTCGGAAGGCGCGTCGGACTGTCGTCAAGCATCGGGAGGCGGAAAAAAATGATATATCGAAATTGTCAGATCCCTGCGTCAAACGTGGTCACTTTATCCTAAGCGAACCCTTGCTGGCGTTGTGTTCCGTTGAGAGTGACCACGCGTATATACATCCAACCACGTCAGCGACTCTCGGAGGGTGCGATGGCCGAAAGATGTTGCGACTCTCTCTCAAGTTGTTTTCATTGCACGCAGAAGCCCTACGTTTAACTTTGTTTGTCCCAACGTTCAAATGTTTGTTTACAATGCAGTCATACTACCGAGTTCAAGTGTAGCCCACCCAAGTACTACATTTTCTTTTAACCACAAATACCAAACCAACCTCCCAGTCTATTGCGAGCTTACGAAGCAAAGAAAGCTTTCAGGCTCTCGTCCTTTCGACGAATTGCTCTAGGTTTAGAGCATTTGGTTGATCCGCTTCGAGAGTTCCGCATTTCGAATCAATCTGAATGGAAATGGCATAGCTGGTTCAGAGAAGGGGCAAAAAAAAAAAATATTCAAATGACTCCTTACGCTTTATCGACAATGTACTTGTTGCTGTAAGTCGGTATTTATCAGTAAAAAAATTTTCAGATCGTATAAAGTTTTACACAAAAAAAAATCCTTTTCACTTACTTCAACCAGAGCTCAGGGCCAACTGCTTTACGATACTCATCGAGGTGGAACTGTTCGTGAGTGATTTTGTTCAGAACGACATTTTCCCCGTCTTCTTTCTGAGAGCCTCTGCGACTTCCTCTGATGTGTTCGTACTTCCATAAGCTTCGGCCCTTTACCTGTAAATTTGTCCCAAGGGGGGAAGGAAGGGGGGGGAGGTGTCAAGATCATTTCTGATCCATAAATCCTGTCCGCGTCACATACCGATCCATTCATCTGGGTTTTGAAGATGGCAACACCTGTGAAAAGTGATTATTCGTATAAAACAACATTGTGCTGATGACAGCGATGCGATTACCCAATCTCCAGTTCCATGCGCATCATACCAAGGGATAGGTACGTCGGAAGGAATTGAGATGTCAAGTTTGATAGTATCCCCTTCCTTTTTCAACCACTGGACCGGAGAGTTTGGAGTCAAAAATGGGTAAATTTAGTGCGAGCGTCCAAAAAACACGCACCCCGGGGATCTTGATTAGGTTACTGAAGTAGACGCTCGTAAACAGGAATGTCGCGGGAATCTTCTTCTCCACGATGTATTTGTCCACTACGAGTCACGTCGGACGGTGTTCATGTGAAGAAGATAGATGACTCCCGTACCAGCGGCCTTGCTCTGTTCATGTCATAACATCATTGACTGGTCGAAAAAGCGGACACTATGACCGTGCGTACCACGAAATGATATACGTGTAGATTGTCTTTATCGGTATCGTCCAGCGTGCTAAAGCACCATCCAATTAGATACCGATGATACACATGCAGACTACCTTCATACCTCCAGACAAGATGCTTGATTCCCTCTGCTTCAGCAGCATCAACGATATTCTTCCATGCCGAGTCTCATGATCGCGAGATTTGGCCTGATTAAATTTTTCGACACCAAGATACAGAGTCCAAACTTGATAATCATCGACCATCAGTAAAAACATTCCGTACCGCTCGTGCTACATTCGCTCACAATCTAATATGTGATTGTGATTGATCGGTCAGTGAGGATATCGGTCGATCGGTCGATCGATGACGAATATCGTGTCCCCTCACCAGTAACACCAAACACGCCGTACGCGCCCTTGAAAGCCTTCTTAAGCGACTCGGTATCCTCTAAATCTGCAGAGACGACCTCGGCTCCAGCAGCTTTGAGCTTCTTGGCTGCCTCTCCGTCTACGTTTCGGGTTAGGCTCGGACAGCAAAGGTTCCGTCTGCGAGGAGAGAACGGACTACACTGCCTCCTTGCACTCCAGTGCTTCCAAGGACTGCAATGATCTTCTTGCCACTGGCCATGGTCGAATTGTTAAAGGGGCAAAAGGGATTAAACTAAGGGAAGGGCCCTGAGGGAAGGTGTATATTGAGTGGCCCCTCTTATACTTTGTAGTCACGCTCAGGGGGTCATACTTGGAGTAAGGCGAATGTGTTGTACTACTACACAGCCATTTGAGATCCGTAGTACATTATTGGCAGGTTGTGCCCTTGCGCCCTCCCTGGATTACTCAGCCTGTACAGTCCCAATATATATATCGGCGATAACATACCTATCTATCGTGTGAATAGATGACCTGTCAGACCAAAGCCATCCGATTGGTTCGGCTCCGATGATTACATAATCTTCACAGTCCTGTCAAAGATAAAATTTCAAGTTTGAGATCGCAATAGTGCTTGGAGACGAGACAGTCTCCACTGTCGTACAGCCGAATCTCCAGGTGAGACTTAGATTTCCACGACTGCGCAGTTGCGATGCAGCGGCATCGCGCGCCGGGGGATCACGCTCAAAGCCACCTGATTGCGCGACCGGCAAGAACAACGCATCATTAGCCCCCGAGTCAATTGTGGCGTCGTATTTCGCCCCTACGATCCTCCCGCATATCAATGGCAACGTACTCCATGTGGATAGTGCGGCGTTCTGCCAGTGGGGCAACAGCCTGGGCGCATTCGGATATTCCTTGTTAGGTCTACAAGTGCTTTGCCGGGGGGGCCGGGGGGGCCGGGGGGGAGCCATCGTGCACAAGTAACTAGTTAGTGCGTCGCCATTACTCATATACATCCTTCATCATGACGACTTGAATGTAACATTCTTATCCGCAGTTGTGTCATAGGCAGGTGACCAGCCTCTCTTTAAGGGGAAAGTGTGGTGTCAAAGAGTTTTACATACTGCACTTGCATTCCCCGCGCCAGAATATATTTAACCTTCTTCTTGACTTCCTCATGGAACAAAAAAGTGGCTGGCGCGTGGCGACCCGTGATCTTCTCTCCGGCCCGAACCAAAGGAAGATCACGTACTTGCTCCGGATCAACAAGTGAAACTCACGGCTGATAGCACCACTTTTGCTTTTTTTTGCACCTCTTGCTCTAGTCCGACGCGACGTTGAGATGCAGGAATAATCGGTTCACGATCGACTTTGACTGTGGGGCAATTCGGATGTATTTGTGGGGAAAGTGGGAAAGGTCTTCATTGTCATTGTACAAGCACAATTAAAGGCCGGCCGGCGCCTCATTTCGATGGGAACCTTCGGACCAATTTCATTCCATTTCCCGGTTGTGGCTTCAGCAACAATTAATTGGCACCATTTTGGCCAAGGATGCCAATGAAAAAGGCGCAAACCGTTTTCACTTGATCGAGGTGACGTCACGTCCGAGGGGACTTGTTTACGAACATCAACTCGCCTTTTGGTTCTCCGACGTGCAACCCCTTCGATAGTAGCACACAGAAGCTTATAAGTTCAAGGTTTGCTTTTCCTTTTCTTACAACATTTGTGAATACTGCAACCGAGTTCGTGCGAGCACACACCCAACTATCATAAATCCTTCCGCAAAAGCCCCAGCAGGAAAGCCCCCGCCAGTTCCAATCTCGGCCTCTTTACCCCCCCATTGTTATGCAATCCGGCCGAGCTTACGAAGAAAGGAAGGCTTTGAGGGCTTCGTCCTTCTCGACGAATTGCTCGAGGTCAAAAGCATTTGGGTTGACTTGCTTTGAGAGTTCCGGGTCTCGAATCAATCTGGAGTGTATGTATACAATAGCCAGTTGAGTTCAGAGACGGGGTGCATAAGTACGTTCCTTAAAACTTCATAAAAAAAAGAAGATCTTACCCTCCAACGGCAACGAACTTCATGCTGCAGGATAAGGTGTAATTAAGATTCGCAATGTTCGTTAGATTTTCAAACTTACTTCAACCAGAGCTCAGCGCCGATCGGCGTTTTACGAAACTCTGCAGAGTGGAACTGCTCATCGGTGAACTTGGTCAGAACGATATTTTTCCCTGTCGTCTTCTTTTTCAAAACTTCCGCGACTTGCTCTGGTGTGTTGGAACTTCCATAAGCATCCACCCTCTTGCCTGTAAAAAATTGTCGAAGGGGAAGGTGGGGGTTGGTCACGGTCAGAATTGATCTGATCTGGAATCATCAGGCGCATTTCTTTGGTCAATGGTACATACCAATCCATTTGTCTGGGTTTTTTAAGATGGGCACGACCTGTGTGATGAAGCGGTTTATTCGTATCAAATAATACTTGTGGCACCATGATGGTAGAGAGAGATTACCCAATCTCCTGTCCCTCGTGCATCGTACCAAGGGATAGGTACGTCGTGAGGAATTGGGATTTCGACTTTGACGGTATCTCCTTCCTTTTTCAACCACTGGGAACCAGAGAGTTTTTTTTTTAAAAAAAAAAACAAAAAAAAAACCAGTGGAGAATGTGGCAAAACACACGCACCCCAGGGATCCTGGTTAGATTGCTGAAGAAGACACTCGTGAATAGGAGTGTGGCGGGAACCTTCCTCGCCGCAATGTATTTATCCACTATAGATCATCGGACGGTGTTCATCATGGACCGGTTTCGAATAATGATGATGAGAGGTATGAACCGTACCATTGGCTTTGCTCTGTGTTAATGCCACGACATACTTGTAAGACAATGGTCAAAGCGGCAAATGCTGTGCCTTGCGTACCTCGAAGTGATATACGTGCAAATCAGAGCTCTCGGTAGGTTCCAGCGTGCTAATTGTTAAGCACCCATCCAATTTAGATGCACACGATACACACGCAGACTATATATCTTCATGCATACCTCCAGACCAGATGTTTGATCCCTTCTGACTCGACAGCATCAACGATATTCTTCCCATGTTGAGTCTCATGATCGCGAGATTTATCCTGATCGAACTTGTCGACACCAAGATACAGAGCCCAAACTGATTATAATCATCATCGACAATGATCATCAGCAACATTGCGTTCTCGGGCTTGCTTCATGCAGTTACTCACAATCTGATTATGCGATTGATCGGCGATCAGTGGAAATATCGATCAATGACGGTGACTATGTAATGTGTCCAGGGCTCACCAGTAACACCGAACACGCCATATACGCCCTTAAAAGCCTTTTTAAGCGACTCGACATCCTCCAAATCTGCAAAGACGACTTGGGCTCCGGCCTCTTTGAGCTTTGTGGCTGCCTCTCCATTTACGTTGCGAGTAAGTCCTCGGACGGCAAAGGTTCCGTCGGCGAGAAGAGAACGAACGACGCTGCCTCCTTGGACTCCAGTGCTTCCGAGAACAGCAATGATCTTCTTGTCGTTAGACATGATTAATGGTTTAGATGAAAGATGCAAAGTAAGTATATGTAGTTAGCACCTCTTACTTATACCTCACAAACTGACAAACGTCATATGTAATCACGCTCATCTTGATAAGTATTCAGCGGGGAAGAACCATCTTTACCAATTGAAAACCCGTTTATTGGCGGCTTGTGCCCTTGTGCTCCCCCCTCCCCCCGGGATTACTCAGCCCGTATCCGGTCCTCATACCTTCCGTCATCAGATGGTGGAGTCTTGTGAATATCGGCGACTGCAGGAAGAGATGGTAAAGTGTGAATGGATGGGACACGGTACCGGCAGAAGGGAGCTGGCATTGGAGGTGCGTCAAGTCCGACCTTGTACTGATTGTGTATGTAGTGTCACTTGGGTCTGGATCTCGGCTGATTAGCCTGACTTCCTGCTACAATCCCAGCTACCCCCTTATTAGTCTGCACTCATATATACGCTAGGCCTGCTCACGAAGGGCACAATATCTATCATATGGATACAGTGCTCAGTGATCGCGACTGCTGCGTATAACATGCGGTACAGCGGGTGCGATACAAAGTGAGAGTAGGTAACCCAAAGCCGTCCAGCAGATGCAGATGAAATGCCCGATAGAATCGATCTACTAGGATCTGCAAGAGCAGGCAACCACTAGAGCGGTATGGCTGACCAAAAAAAAGCAGCGTTTCAGCATGCAATGAGGCCGACAGCGCATATGGCACCAAAAGGTGAAAGCAGATAACCCAGTAGACGCAAATGAGATACTTGGTGAAATCGATCTAGGAACTGAAAGAGCAGGAAATCACTAGACCGCCATGAGAGGTCAATTTAGGACCTGTGAGAGCAGGGAACCACTAGACCTAGGTTGACCAGGACGCAACATGTCAGGATGCAATGAGGCCGACAGCGGATACGGCGCTAAGAGCGAGCGCAGAGAACGCAAAGCATGCAGCAGACACAAAAGAGTTAACTGGTGAAGTCGATCTAGGACCCAAAATAGGCAGCAGAAACACACAACGAGAGAACAGCGTCAAGTTATGAAGGACAGGCAAAGGGCTGATAGTGAAAACGGACTAGAAGAAAAATAAAATAAGAAGAAACTAAAAACCTAGTGATAAATCAGTAGGACACTCGAAGACAGTAAAAGGATTAAGCCTGCCATTAAAACCGTGTTATTAGATCGTGAAGATACAGCAGGCTGCATATATGCGCGGTAAGCGTACGGCAGAACGCCAGGCCAGAATGACGGAGTAGGTTCGGGGTCGACACGTGCAGCGGGCGCTGGGCGGGCAGCGGGCGCCGGGCGGGCAGTGGACGAGAAGCACACAACAGATGCGAAGCGTGCAGCAGACGCAAAGCATACAGCAGACGCAAAGCATACAGCGGAAACGGAGCATACAACGAATGAGAAGAGGCACGGAGGTCGAAGCGTGCAGCGGACGTGACAAATAAAAACGCCCGAAGTAGTAGAGCGAGATTGGTCTAGGAGCAGCTGGGAATACCACGGGACCTGCCCGATGCGTGCAGCGAACGCGAAGTAAAGAAGGAGCAGGGGCCCATGCGTTCGGCGGACGCCAAACATAAGAGATCGTGCCCGAAGTAGCTTTCCGTTCGGACGCAGCGTTCACCTTATTTTCATGTATTTACCCCGACCCCTGCCCTTGACGAGCAACCTACAGTTTACAGGATAAATATCCAGAATAAGCGTCTGACCACGTTCCAAAGCATGAAAGGAAATCTCACCTCAGTTCGGATCCAAAGATGTGAACTGAGGAGAGAGGAAAGAAAAAATTGCGCGAGGTGGCTTTTAAGCCATCCTCGACTGCGTTCATCAACATGAACACCAAAAACGGAAGCATCGGGCAATCCTTTAGGGAAATGTCTGTGCGCAAGAAGTTCAGTCCATGGGACTCAATGAGCAGCCCACAGCATACCAAAAACAAGAAATGGAGGGCGATCGACACGAATTTGACTCGTCAATGTCTCGCTATCAGTAGCACCGAATAACTCACAGCACAGCGTGGGTGAAACGTGGTGAAGAAAACTGCTAGATTACATACGGTGCAATGGGCATGAGGCATGGAAAGCCCTGCAGCTCCGTAGCTTACAAGCATATTTAATGTTGTGAGGGGGTATCCTTCCTTTATTTTTTACCCATATTCAGTGCTATAGTCTGTGCGCGAAGAGACTGAGTCCGTGCGTACAGCGATTGTTCTAATAGCATCCTACGATCCCATTGACACTGTCGTCCTCCCAATTTTCACAGGGAGCTAGCATTCCTATGAAAATGCATATGTCCAATCCTATCCTGGAGAGCCGCGTCAAGGCGAAGCTCAAGTCAAGAGAACAGCGAGGGATCCTCCGACGCCTTGGTGGGACTTCAAAGTTGCACCAGGTGCGATCGGACAATGGAATCGAGCGTTTTGGGAAGGCAGACTTCAGCTCGAGTGACTACCTAAGCCTTGCATCCAGCGATGCGCTGCGGGAAAGGTTCCTGGATGCCCTGAAACAACACCCCTCTTCACAGAACGGATCCGCGGGCATCCTTGGTTCGGGTGGCTCAAGGTTGCTAGATGGAAATTCTCCAGTGCATGCGGCTCTCGAGGCGGGCCTCGAAGAATTCTTTAATGCGCCATCTGCACTGATTTTCAATTCAGGATACGATGCCAATGTTGGACTCTTTTCATCTGTCCCTCAAGCTGGAGACGTGATCCTTTACGATTCTCTGATTCATGCATCAGTCCACGATGGAATGAGGGCCTCTCGGGTTCATCCTTCCATGTGTAGAAAGTTCAAACACAACTCGGTCTCTGATCTTCGGTCACAAATTGAAGAGATCCTCAGAACATGCCCAAGCATTCGGGACGGAAAAGCATGTGTTTTCATTGCCGTCGAATCTCTTTACTCCATGGATGGTGATTTCGCGCCACTTCATGAAATTGTGACTCTCGCAGAGGAACAATTCCCTTTTCAAAATGCACATGTCATTGTTGACGAAGCCCATTCCACTGGGATATATGGAGAAAATGGGAAAGGAATAGTCTCTCTATTGCGATTGGAACATCGAGTACTCGTCCGATTGCATACGTTTGGAAAAGCTTTGGCATCGGCGGGAGGTGCGTCGCGTCCTGATATCCCTTTCTTACGCGATTACTGATTCCAAGGTGCAGCTGTTATCATGACTACTCCGTGGCTTCGTGAATATCTAATCAACTATGCACGACCCTTCATGTATACCACATCATTGCCTATCTATCACATCATCGCTATGCAATGTGTTATCGACATGCTGAGAGAAGGTGCTGTCCAAAATGTGAGTAGCAGCATCGAGTTCTCTGCCACGCCTGATCCAATTCGACCCCCCCCTTTTTTTTTAGCGAATCGACCATCTGCTTCACCTTTCATCGTATTTTGTCCGAACGTTGCGTAGTCGTCTCAACTCTATCCCTGATTCGGAATCTATCATCGTCCTGCCCGATCAGACGCACACTTGTAATGACCACATATATTCCCCAGGTCAACCTTCCAACATGGTCACTGCCTCCTTGGTGTCGCCGATCATACCGTTGCTTACGCCATCCTCAAACCCCCGGCACTGGCCTGATGCTCTTGCCCGATTTTTACAAACCGGAGAAATGGATCCCTCCGCCACGCCCTCGTCTCATCAGATGAAAGGGGTTGGTACTTTGGATTACACGGCAAAACGTCGATATCTCGCATATGATATTACACCGCCGATTGTTCCTCGTGCTGCATCTCGAGTCCGAATATGCATGCATGCGGGAAATACGAAGGATGAGGTGGACGGTTTGATAGAGGCAATCGTATATTGGGTCAATTCAGTTTTAGTGCATGGGCCAGGGACCCCGCAAGAGCAGTCACATGAAGTAAGCGGAGAATCAATGCCAGAGGGCCAGATCGTGGCCAGATCGAAGTTGTAATTCGTTGAGGAACTTGCGATTTAATGGAGGTACGAGATTAAATTAGACTTGTGCGCCATGACCTACGCCACTAAACGCTTCGACGTGTTGCCTTTCACACATTGCGCCGTACCCGCTGTCAGCCCCTTCGCATACTGATACGCTGCGCTCATTCAGTCGTGTCGATCTAGCGATTGCCTGCATTCACGGAGCTCAGATCGATTTTATCGAGCTGTTCACGCAGGTTTTTTCCTGCCTGCTGTCTTCCCATGTCCACCCTACGCATCGGTGCCCTTTCTCATTCTTGTCGTTGTTGTTGTTCTTTCTTCATTGCCTGATCTTGGTTTTATTTTACAGCCTTATTGTTCCCCTCTGATTGGTTGGTGCGGGCTGTCTTCGTGAGTCGTGCTGTGTTGATCAGTTACCTACGACGAGTAGGATCCCGGATATTTATGGTTTGGGTTTCTCTTCGGGTTTGGCTTCCGTCTAGTTGTGCGATTATCTTCTCCAGCGTGGCTATCACACCGGTGTGCCTGTCCAGCTGCAGACAAGAAATTCATTTATTGGCGGCTTGTGGCCTTGTGGCGTGAATACATAATCGGTGCCGTCATGTTTACGTAATCTTTCACATCATCCGGGGCCCGAAGGGAAGACCTTTACGGTGCCGATGCAACCTCTCTTACAAATAGCACGTACGTATGAGATGCAGGAATAAACGCATTCGGTGATCATGCAGTTTAATATACACGTACTCACGGAAGGGCAACTAATATAATGGCCGACGCGCGCCTTCAGTCAGAAAAGGCACGCATGCACAAACGTTCCTCTTGATCGAGTGATGCCTCCGAGCCGACTCGGCAGAGATACGGGCGTTCACTCGCCTTTTGGTTCTCCGACGCGTTTTCCTCGACAACATGTATTACGAATACTGAAAATAAAAGATCGAGACTAGTCCGAACCTCTGGAGCTCGCGAAGCGAGCACTCTAGTGTTAGATAGACGCGGGCCAACAAGAATGAGTAATGGATCCAGACACATCCAAATTTTTTCTTGCGGCGTGACGAGGCCGCTGTACTTACAATGGATCCAGTATCTCTGTGAGGGGTCAAGGTATAAGAAGAGGGGCACTTCATCCACGCCTTCCCCCGAGTCCTCTTTGAATTCAAGCTCTTTACTCATTGGATCATGTCCAGCAACAAGCAGATTATTGCTGTCATCGGAAGCACTGGATTGCAAGGGGGAAGCGTGGTTCGTTCTCTCCTCGCGGATGGAACCTTTGCTGTTCGAGCCCTTACACGCAACGTAAACGGGGACGCAGCCACGAAGCTCAAAGCGGCCGGAGCCGAGGTTGTCTCTGCCGATCTCGAGGATGTCGAGTCGCTCAAAAAGGCTTTCAGAGGCGCATATGGCGTTTTTGGCGTCACTGGTGAGGGACATCATTGCAGTTATGATCAATAGTATCCACTGACCGATCCGTTGCATGTCAGATTGTAAGCGACTGAATGATCAATGTGAGGCATTGCTGATTGTCTTTGGCTGCCAGTCCTCGCTCTGTATTTTGGTGTCGAGAAGTTTGATCAGGCCAGATCCCGCGATCATGAGACCCAACTTGGGAAGAATATCGTTGATGCCGCTGAAGTGGAAGGAACCAAGCATCTCGTTTGGAGGTGTGAACGTACTAATACGTGTGTGCATCTCGTGCATCTAATTGGGCGGTGCTCAGCACGCTGGACGACACTTCGAGCATCGGCATACATGTGCATCACTTCGTCGTACGTAAACACAGCATCCGCTCTGACCATTTTCTTATGTTGTTTTATCAACAGAGCAAAGCTAATGGTACAGTGCATATATTATCTTCATTACTCGAAATTTGTTTATGGACACCATCCGATATGCAGTGGACAAGTACATCCAGACGAAGAAGGTTCCCACCACATTCCTATTCACATCTGGCTACTTCAACAACTTAACGAAGTTTGGGGTACGTGTTTACACGTTCACATCAACTTCACCGATGTTTGACCGTACTTTATGGTCCCAGTGGCTGAAGAAGGAAGGGGACACCATCAATCTTAATATCCCACTTCCTTACGACGTACCATATCCTTTTTATGAAGCGACCGCGACTGGAGAATGGGTATTCACATCATTACTATTATGGCACATTGCTTTATACGAATAATTATTCCACAGGTCAAGAACATCCTTAAAAACCCAGATGAATGGATCGGTATGTGATTTGAAATGTACGAATTGCAGATGATTCTGACCTTTCCGCGGTTACAGGCAAGAGAGCTGATGCTTACGGAGGTTCGAACACAACAGTGGAAATCGCAGAGGCTCTACAGAGGAAGACTGTGAAAAATGTTGTTCTGAACAAAGTCACCCAAGAGCAGTTCCACAGTAAAGAGTTTCACGATGAACTTGGCGATCTGTTTTGGGTGACGTAAGTGAAAGACCCTATGATCTGCAAGTTGCAAATTTACTTAATGCCAATTGCAGCCACAAGTACATTGTCGATGGAGGGTAAGATTGTTAGGGTCCAAAGACGCATGCCTTCTCTGAAATCAGCCCTACACTCTAGAATGGTCCGAGATGCGGAACTCTCGAAGCGAGCCAACCCAAATGGTTCCAACCTTGAGCAATTTCTCGAGAGGGATGAGGCCATCAAAGCCTTTCTTTCCTCATGAGCTTACATATGACGAGAGTATCAGAATGGGCTATCGGTTAGCTTTCCAGAAATCTAGTTCCAGGTGGCTGCCACGCCTTAGAATGACTAAATTGTAATATTAAATGTTGGACCTCGCCGCTCTGAGAACGGAAGTCCGGGGTAGCAAGTTATAGATGTTTGTCGAAACCAACTATGGAGCCTGTCCTATAGTTTCCAATCCCGGATGTGTCGCCGACCAAGTCTAAATAGAGATGGGGCATGAGCATGCCAGTTCATGAACGTCACTCCAGGGCCGCCCGGACATGTAACTGTTAAACTCGTGCCGATAATAAGGCTAGTATAATAACTCAGTCTCCGGGGATAAAGTATAAGCTATGAAAGGAAAAATAACAAAAGAGTTTAGGAACTCTCCAGAATGAGAACTGAGGGAAAGAAGATAATTCAAAGGCTGGGTAATGCCGCAGCAGGTGGCGTGCATCAGTTATTTGTTCGTGGTACGCCGAGTACACCGAGAACACAAAAGTCGTTGTCAACGTGTTTGCGGAAGCACAGTTACTAGTGTAAAACTGTACCAATAAAGCCCTTCATATTAATGCGACTACCAGTTGCGATCGGACAGTGCAGTTTTGGGAAGGCAGACTTCAGCTCGAGTGACTACCTAAGCCTTGCATCCAGCGCGCGATGCGCAGCGGGAAAGGTTTCTGGATGCCCTGAAACAACACCCCTCTTTACAGAATGGTTCTGCGGGAATCCTTGGTTTGGGTGGTTCAAGGTCATCTGCACTGATTTTCAATTTGGGGGACGATGCCAATGTTGGACTTTTTCCCATCCGTCCCTCAAGCTGGAGATGTGACCATTTACGATTCTCTGATCCATGCATCAGTCCATGATGGAATGAGGGCACCTCGGGTTCATCCTTCCATGTGTAGAATTTTTAAATGTTGGAGAAACCGAGGGTAGGAGCTAACCTGAACAGCCACATTCCTGCATTAGCGTGGGAACATTGTGGGAGAGTGACTCGCCCAGAATTCACCATGTGACTACTTAGTCACAACACCTCTTTCTTATTTCGGATATATCCGTGCCACAGCTCACAGATACATTCATTCATTTGAATTCGTTTGTTTCCCTCAGCGCCTCTCACCGCATATAAGCTGAGACTGAGGTCAGTTACATTTCTCTATCTGAGGTCTATTACCGCGCCTCTTATATTAAACACAACTCGGTCTCTGATCTTCGGTCACAAATTGAAGAGATCGTCAGAACATGCCCAAGCATTCGGGAAGGAAGCTCATGTGTTTTCATTGCGGTCGAATCTCATTACCCCATGGATGGTGATTTCGCGTCACTTCATGGAATTGTGACTCTTGTAGAGGAGCAATTCACTTTCCAAAATGGCCATGTCATTGTTGACGAAGCCCATTCCACTGGGATATATAGAGAAAATGGCATCGGCGGGAGATGCGTCGCGTCCTGATATCTCTTACACAATTACTGATTTCAAGGTGCAGCTGTTATCATGACTACTCCCTGGCTTCGTGAATATCTAATCAGCTATGCACGACCCTTCATGTGTACCACATCATTGCCTATCTATAACGTCATCGCTATGAAATGTGTTATCGACATGCTGAGAGAAGGTGCTGTTCAAAATGTGAGTATCGGCATCGAGTGCTCTACCACGCCTGATCCAACTCGACTCCCTTTTCAGGGAATCGACCATCTGCTTCACCTTTCATCGTATTTTGTCCGAACGTTGCGTAGTCGTCTCAATTCCATCCCTGATTTGGAATCTATCATCGTCCTGCCCCATACTTGTGATGACGATACATATTCCGCAGGTCAACCTTCCAACATGGTCACTGCCTCCTTGGTGTCGCCGACCATACCGTTGCTTACGCCATCCTCAAACCCCCCTCTTGCCCGATTTTTGCAAACCGGAGAAATGGATCCCGCCACACCCTGGTCTCATCAGATGAAAGGGGTTGGTACTTTGGATTACACGGCACAACGTCGATATCTTGCATATGATATTACACCGCTGATTGTTCCTCGTGCTGCATCTCGAGTCCGAATATGCATGCGGGGAATATGAAGGATGAGGTGGACGGTTTGATAGAGGCGATCGTATATTGGGTCAATTCAGTTTTAGTGCATGGGCCAGGGACCCCACAAGGGCAGTCACACGAATTAAGCGGAGAATCAACGCCAGAAGGTCAGAAGATGGCTAGATCGAAGTTGTAATTCGTCGAAGAACTTGCGATTTAATGGAGGTATGTGATTAAATTAGACTCGCGCGCCACGGCCTACGCGTTTGCCTGTTTCTCTTCATCCGCGTCTACTAAACGCTTCGACGTGTTGCCTCTCACTCTTTGTGCCGTACCTGCTGTCAGCCCCTTCGCATACTGATACGCCGCGCTCATTCAGTCGTGTGATTGCCTGCATTCGCGGATCTCAGATCAACTTTATCGAGCTGTTCACGCAGGTTTTTTCCTGCCTGGTGTCCACCCTATGCACCGGTGCCTCATGCGTGTCTTCGTGAGTCGTGCTGTGTTGTTCAGTTGCCTACGGCGAGTAGGATCCCGGTTTGGGTTTCTCTTCAGGTTTCTTCGGTGGCTTCGACCTAGTTTTCTTTGTCTGTGCGATTATCTTCTCCAGCGTGGCTATCACACCGGCCCAGCTGCAGACATTTATTGGCTTCAAGCCATGATGTTTACGTAATCCTTCACGTCATCCGGGGCCCGAAGGGAAGACCACTCCAGATTTACGGGGCCGATGCAACCTCTCTTACAAATAGCCTGTACGTATGAGATGCAGGAGTAAACGCATTCGGTGATCATGCGGTTCAAATTTTAATATACACTTACTCACGGCGCGCGGCTTCGATCAAGAGGATGAGAAAAGACGCGCATGCACAAACGTTCCTCATGATCAAGTGATGCCTCCGAGCCGACTCTGCAGAGATACGGGAATTAACTCGCCTCTTAGTTCTCCGTCACGAATACTGAAAATAAAGGATCGAGACTAGTCCTAACCTCCGGAGCTCGCGAAGCGAGCACTCCAGTGTTAGATAGACGCGGGTCTATTGCGCCAACAAGAATGAGTAATATATCCAGACACATCCAATTTTTTTCTTACGGCGTGACGGGGCCGCTGTACTTACAACGGGTTTTCCTAGTATCTCTGGCGTAAGCATGAGAATTCAAGGTATAAGAAGAGGGGCACTCCATCCACACCTTCCCCCAGAGTCCTCTTTAAATTCAACCTCTTCACATGTCTAGCAACAAGAAGATTATTGCTGTTGTCGGAAGCACTGGGTCGCAAGGGGGAAGTGTGGTTCGTTCTCTCCTCGCGGACGGGACCTTTGCTGTTCGAGCCCTTACCCGCAACGTAAACGGGGACGCAGCCACGAAGCTCAAGGCCGCCGGAGCCGAGGTCGTCTTTGCCGACCTCGAGGATGTCGAGTTGCTCAAAAAGGCTTTCAGAGGCGCATATGGCGTTTTTGGCGTCACTGGTGAGGGACATCACTGTAGTCATGATCAATAGTATCCAACTGACCGATCCGTTGCATGTCAGATTGTAAGCGACTGAATGAGCAATGTGAAGCATTGCTGATTGTCTGTGGCTGCCAGTCCTCGCTCTGTATCTTGGTGTCGAGAAGCTTGACCAGGCCAAATCCCGCGATCATGAGACCCAACTTGGGAAGAATATCGTTGATGCCGCCGAAGCGGAAGGAACCAAGCATCTGGTTTGGAGGTATGAACGTACCAATCCGTGTGTGCATCTCGTGCATCTAATTGGGTGGTGCTCAGCACGCTGGACGACACTTCGAGCATCGGCATACATGTGCATCACTTCGTCGTACGTAAACACAGCATCCACTCTGATTATTTTCTTATGTTGTTTTATTAACAGAGCAAAGCCAATGGTACAGTGCATATATTATCTTCATTACTCGAAATTTGTCTATGGACACCATCCAATATGCAGTGGACAAATACATCCAGGCGAAGAAGGTCCCCGCCACATTCTTATTTACATCTGGCTACTTCAACAACTTAACGAAGTTTGGGGTACGTGTTTACACGTTCGCATCAACTTCACCGATGTTTGACCACACTTTATGGTCCCAGTGGCTGAAGAAGGAAGGGGACACCATCAATATTAATATCCCATTTCCTTACGACGTACCATACCCTTTTTATGAAGCAACCGCGACTGGAGAATGGGTATTCACATCATTACTATTATGGCACATTGCTTCATCTTCATACAAATAATTATTCCACAGGTCAAGAATATCCTTAAAAACCCAGATGAATGGATCGGTAGGTGATTCGGAATGCACCAATCGCAGACGATTCTGACCTTTCCGCGGTTACAGGCAAGCGGGCTGACGCTTACGGGGGTTCGTACACAGCAGTGGAAATTGCAGAGACTCTAAGGAGGAAGACGGCGAAAAATGTTGTTCTGAACAAAGTCACGCATGAGGAGTTCAACAGTAAAGAGTTTCACGATGAACTTGGCGGTCTGTTCCGGTTGACGTAAGTGAAGAAGACCTTTATGATCTGCAAGTTGCAAATTTACCTAATGCCAATTGCAGTAACCAGTACGTTGTCGATGGAGGGTAAGATTGTTAGGATTCAACGACGCATGCCTTCTCTGAAATCAGCTCTGTACTCTAGAATGGTCCGAGATGCGGAACTCTCGAAGCGAGCCAACCCAAATGGTTCCAACCTTGAGGAATTTCTCGAGAGGGATGAGGCCATCAACGCTTTTCTTTCCTCATGAGCTTACGAATGACGAGAGTGTCGGAATGGTTATCGTTATCTGTTAGTTTTTCCAGAGATCTAGTTCCAAGTGGCTGCACGCCTTGGAATGACTGAATTGTAATCACAAATGTTAGACCTCGTCGCTCTGAGAATGGAGGTCCGGAGTAGCAAGCTATAGATGTTTGTCGAAACCAACTTTGGAGCCTGTCCTATAGTTTCCATTGTCCAATCCTGGACGCATATGTGCGCTCGCCGATCAAGTCTAAAGAATGAAACGAGCCTTCTAATATCGTTGCTCAAGAAGAGGGACCACCAAGCAGGCTCGCGCGCCAAGGTCAAACCATATAACGGCGAGAATAACTATGATAAATTTGATGTATGGTCATATATTATTACGAAGTCATAGAGGCTGGAGTCCTGCCTAGTATGGTCTGCCGGCGTGAAGGACTATTTCGAGCTTAAACAAAGTCCGTAGGCAGGACGAAGTTAAGCCAGGCAGGTCACCAGCCTCTATTGGAATAGAAAGTTAAGCACCTCCAGCATATGTTGACTTGGGAGGTGACTTTATGGTTCGTATCGACAATTGCAATGAGATTGGACGGAATCTGCCGCGAGACTTTCGACATTCCACCAGTGCGCAATGGGATGAATTGTGCCATTACGGCGATCCCATGGCTGTGAACTGCACAGCGTCTACGCTCCGCGTCCGACCTTTCTCCCCATCTTTCCATCCACCCATTATTGACCATGTCGCTGAAGCAGAGGGTCACCGATCTCCTTGCCGTGGGAGGCGATGTTGTAATTCCAGTTCTCACCGCTGTCAATACTGCGTCAGGAGTGTTCCCTCCCCTACATGCTGCCACCAATACCACACTCTTCATCCTCACTGAAATCAAAGTTAGTAACAATTTATACCGATCATGGAACGGAAGTTGAAAATCTGCATTGTGTAGAAGTTCAGGGTAAATAAGGATGAATGGGAGCGTTTCGGAAAATATATCGGCAACGCTATGGTCCATGTGGTTACAGCCATCAATTCGTGTGATGGATCTAACGAAGAGCCTAAGCCGTGGGTGGAAAGCGTCAAGAAGCTAGGCGAGTAGGTAGTCCCTGCACTATGCAAGCCATTACTGTTGCACAACGTAGGTATTTTGTAGGGTGCTGCAGCGCATTCAAATTGAAATCGGTCGATTGCGTGGAAAGATGGAAAGGCAGTCTGGTGTCCGCAACTTCTTCTCTCATATGACGAACCCCGGCGGTAGGATCGATGATTTAAAGAAAGATTTCAGCGAAGCCTTGGCAACGTTCCAGGTAATTCCATTTGATCACCAGTTACGGTTCTGTTCTGTTCTGTTCTGATTATCGAAACAACGTAGCTGGAGACAAACTTGACGGTTGGTGCAATAGCAATCAATCAAGATCGATTAACTCGTGGAGTAGAAGACTCCTCAGTTCTGAATGAACTCAAATATCCTATTGTTGCCCATCACGATTCAACTCACCCGTGCCTGAAAGACACTAGGATTGATCTGATTGAGCGTATTATGGCGTGGTGTCGTACCACGGAGGATAGCAAGAATCGTGTATTGCTGCTAACGGCCGTGGCCGGTGCCGGCAAGACAGCTGTTGCGCTCTCAATCGCAGAGGAGTGTAAAAGAGAAAATATATCATCGTCAAGCTTCTTTTTCAAAGCAGGCGAGCAGTCGCGGCCGGACCATCTATTCAGCGGCATGGCTCGATCTATGGCAACCCACGACCCTGCATACCGTGCCTCCCTCATATCGACTCTTCAGGAGGACCCAGCCCTCTCGACTGCCCCATTCGCGACGCAATTCGAGAAACTTGTGGCTGAACCTCTCCGTCTCAGGACATCCTCGTCTGACCGTCCTATGGTGATTATCATTGATGCGTTGGATGAGTGCGACACAAAGTCATTCCCACGTCTTGCCGACATACTTCGGAAAGCAGTCCCAAAACTACCACCTAACATCAAATTCTTTCTCACTTCGAGGCAATTTGACCTCGTTGACCGTTTCCTATCACCGAATTACCCTATCGATCGCCTCACCATCGATCTTTCAGACGATGCCAACATGCATGACTGTGCTGTCTACATCCGATCACAACTATACGAACTGAGGGATGTGCATCCTGGTTTGGAAGATGGAATCGGGGAAGAAGATACATTAGTCCACAGCATACGGGAGCGAGCGGGCAGCTTGTTCATTTGGATCAGTACTGTCTTTGATTATATGAAGGTCAGTGGTAGTGATGCTGCGAAAATGCTGAAGAAACTGTTGGATGAAGATCTCAACCGATCAAAGCCTTCCGCTGAGGAAATGATGGATAGGCTGTATGCAAGTATTTTAGAGAAGTGTAACTGGAAGGATGACGATTTCGTGCATGACTACCCGATCGTGATGGGAGCAATTCTAATCGTCCAGAAACCACTATCTGTTGCGGCCTGGGATGCCATTCTCTCACCACTGCTGAAGTCGGACGTCCGACATACATTAGCTCAGCTTGCGCCCCTGATCTCGGGGGTTGGGGATCCTGACAAACCAATTCGTATTTTGCACCAATCGTTTCGTGACTTTCTCACGGACCGAGTCAATCCACAATCGCCCATACTTCATCGGTTTGGAGTGGATGCGAGGAGGGAGAATGACCGAGTGGCCTTGCGCTGCATCGAAATCTTGAATAAAGATCTTCCCACTATGAGGGATTTGGGGCTGATTAAGGGCTTATCCCGTAAAGCTAAGCTGCCACTTGTTCCTCAAGAGGCGCTGTCCGAACACGTCCATTACGCATGTCGGCATTTCGTGCATCACCTCAGCCAATTTCGGGGGCCGCTGGGGGCGCTCAATGTGCCTATTCACGCATTTCTCAACAAGCAGATATTGCGCTGGGTGGAAGTCTGTGTGAGGACGGAAGGGTACATCAGTATATCATCGTTCCCTGAATGGGCCAAGGTACGAATCATCAGTAGCGAACATTTGAGGCTCTTGTTCAGTCTCATGTTCTATTCAGTTGAACGTTGATCAGGCCTCCAAAGAGGTCATTCACAAGTTGGTCAGAGTGTTTCGCAATGTGAGGAGAAATCTTGCATTCTTTTTAAGATTCCAGGAGGCGTATGAGTTGGCAAGTGATTCAGTTGCACTGTGCCGTTGCCTTGTGTCTACGGACTCAGAGTCCTACACCCTGGATCTGGCTCGAGCACTCGGGAATCTAGATGCATCACTCACCAACCTTGGACGACATTCTGAGGCACTCCTCGTGAATGAAGAAAGTGTCAAACTCTGGCGTGAGCTAGTTGTCGCCCATTCAATATTATACGCCCCAGGTTTGGCTCGAGCGCTCCAGGGTTTTTTTGTACCACTTGACAAGGTTGGACACCATTCTGAGGCACTCACGGTGATTAAAGAGAGTGTGCAACTCTGGCGCGGGCTAGTTGCCACCCATCCAACATCATACACCCTGAATTTGGCTCGAGTGCTCCGGAATCTTTCTGTATCACTCAACAAAGCTGGACACCATTCCAAAGCACTCACGGTGATTGAAGAAAGTGTGCAACTCTGGCGTGAGCTAGTTGCCACCCATCCAACATCATACACCTCGGATTTGGCTCGAGCGCTCCGGGATCTTTCTGTATCACTTGACAAACTTGGATGTCATTCCAAAGCACTCACCGTGATTGAAGAAAGTGTGCACCTCTGGCATGAGCTAGTTGCCACTCATCCAACACCATACACCCCAAATTTGGCTGGAGCGCTCCTGAATCTTTTTGCATCACTTGACGCCATTCCGAGGCGCTCATGGTGATTGAAGAAAGTGTGGGACTCTGGCGCAAGCTAGTTGACACCCATCCAAAATCATACACCCCGAATTTGGCTGGAGCGCTCCAGAATCTTTTTATATCACTCGGCAAAGTTGGACGCCATTCCGAGGCGCTCACTGTGATCGAAGAAAGTGTGCAGCTCTGGCACGAGCTGGTTGACGCCCATCCGGCATCATACACCCCGGATTTGGCTGGAGCACTTGGGAGTCTAGATGCATCGCTTACCAACCTTGGACGACATTCTGAGGCCCTCCTTGTGAATGAAGAAAGTGTGAAGCTCTGGCGTGGGTCCAATCAACATCGTACACCCCGAGTTTGGCTCGGGCTCCCGGGAATCACTTAACAATCTCGGATGCCGTTCCGAGGCGTTCCTCATAAATGAAGGCTCAAACCACTGCGCCAGTAGTTGTCATTTATCTGATATCATTCACTCCGTGTTTGGCACGATCATTCTGCAGCCTCACCAGCTCATGTAAACCCATCATCACGCCAAGACCCTAACTTTCATCAAAGATTCCGTTGCTATCTGCCATTTGCTGTGTGTTACTTACCTACCATTGTGTGTGTTTAATGTGGCCTTGGTGCTGCAGACTCCACCTGTTTTCATGCCTTGGGTGCTGTGTGGACGTATTCGTGTGATTAGCTTCATCCCCAATACTCTGCTGCTTATGCACACGAATCTTAACTATCATATTCCTGCATTGCCCACGCACCATGTCTTGGAAGATGCAAAAAACGAGCATGTCATAAACCCCATGCGTCCGGAGCAATATGTATATCTTGAGGCGTGTTCGGGACAATCACGAAAACTCGAATACAGGCCCACAAGGTTGGGCTCTGCTTCACCATCACCATATCCCCATCACTCCTCCCCAAGACATACCAGCCAGAAAACCGACAATCATTCGCCGTGTTGAACGGACCTGGAGGAGCCAAGTTGGCAAGCACTTGTCCTGCCGTGAAAAGGATTGTCAGGGCCACAGGTGCCAGTGTGTGTACAGAGAATTGCCATCGAGCAGCCGTGACGTGAGGTGCATCATTATCATTCTTGTCAAATCCACATTAATTATGTAGGATTTCCATATTCGTTCTTGCAACTACCTTCTGTGTGCGAAAACAGGGACCAGCCTCTTACCAACCGATAATTTTCGCGATGACCCTACAGCCGTTAGAGGGCTCCGCATGTCTGCGTATGTGTCCGCACGGTGTTCTCGGTTACAAGAGGCCGTGTGAAATTTGCAGAGCAAAGCTCTGGAAATGAACTGGCGCCATTGATCAAGGGAATGAGAAAAGGTGCGAACGTCTCCATACTGCATACCGTAGCTTGCTGGTCCCGATCCCCGCTCTTGGAACTCTCAGAGAGGCGACGGTTGAAAGGATACTAGGTCGGTGCACTGAGTCAGGGTTGTCAAATTGCACGCAATAGCCTACATTCAAGTTTATTGTTTCAATGTTTGTGATTACATTCCGAGCCTGGAGTAGAGTTTCCCGACAACTAACAGTGAACCGTTCCAATACTCGTGCCATCATGCGTACTAAGCTCACTAAGAAAGTATGGCTTTGATGGCCTCATCCCTCTCGACATATTGCTCAAAGTTAGCAGCATTCGGGTTGGCTCGCTTCGAGAGTTCCGCATCTCGGATCAATCTGGTGTGGAAGGGCTGGTTCAGACAAGGCAACGCTCTCAAATTCTAAAAGAAAAAAAACCTTACCCTCCTTCGACAATGAACTTGTTGCTGCATTTGGCATTAGGTAAATTTGCAGACTGCAGATCATAGAGGTCTTCACTCACTTCAACCATAACCCATCCCCAAGTGCATCGTGAAACTCTTTACTGTGGAACTGCTCGCTCGTGACTTTGTTCAGAACGACATTTTTCGTCGTCTTCCCTTTTAGAACCTCTGCAATTTCCTCTGCTGTATTCGTACTTCCATAAGCGTCAACTCTCTTGCCTGTAAACACCGACGAAAAAGGTCAGCTACAAATTAGTAACATTCCGTGCCGACGTACCAATCCATTCATCTGGGTTTTTGAGGATATTCTTGACCTGTGGAACGATTATTCAGATAAAGGAATGCACCATAAAACAGTAATGTGATCTACCCATTCTCCAGTCTCGGTCGGATCATAAAAAGGAATTGGTACGTCGTAAGGAAGTGGGGCTTTAACATTGATGGTGTCTCCATCCTTTTTCAACCACTGAAACCAAACAATTCCGTCAAAAATCGGTGAAGTAACAATGCGAACGTGCTAAGACGCACCCCAAACTTCGTTATGTTGCTGAAATAGGGAGACGTAAACAGGAATGTCGTGGGGACCTCCTTCGTCTGGATGTATTTGTCCACTGCACATCGGACGGTGTTCATGGATAGATTTCAGGTGAACGAAGAGAATATATAGGAACTGTACCATTAGCTTTACTCTGATAACAAAACACATAAGAAAATTGTCAGAGCTGAAGTTGTATTTTACGTACGACGAAGTGATATACGTGGACGCCGGAGGGCGAAGTGTTTTCCAGCGTGCTGAGCACCATCCGATTAGATACACGAGACGCATACTCGGAATACTGCCTTCAATCGTACCTCCAAACCAGATGCTTGATTCCTTCCGCTTCGGATGCGTCAACGATATTCTTCCCATGTTGGGTCTCATGATCGCGGGCTCCGGCATGATTATACTTCTCGACACCAAGAAACAGAGTGGCGTCTGGTAGCCATTAGACGATCAGCGACATTTCTCATCACTCATGCAGTTGCTCACAGTCTGGCATGCAATATGGATTGGGTCAGTGGAACACATATTGACCGTATCCACCGCAGACTCACCAGTAACACCAAAAACGCCGTATGCGCCTCTGAAGGCCTTTTTAAGCGACTCGACATCCTCGAGATCGGCAGAAACGACCTCGACTCCGGCCGCTTTGAGCTTCGTGGCTGCGTCTCCGTTTACGTTGCGAGTAAGGGCTCGAATGGCAAAGGTCCCGTCCGCTAGGAGAGAACGAACTACGCTGCCTCCTTGCACTCCAGTGCTTCCGATGACAGCAATAATCTTCTTGTCACTAGACATGATTAAACGAGTAAAGAGGTTGAATCAAAGTAGGACTATGAAGGGAGGTGTTCGATGGAACCGCCCCTCTTATACCTTGAATCCTCACGCTTATGTCAGATATACAAGTTGGGCGAATTCGTTGTAAGTACAGCGGCGTCACGCCACAAAGAACAAATTCGGATGTGCCTGGATTACTCATTCTTGCACGATGTCTGGCGCAATAGACTCGCGTCAATCCAACATGCATGTGAATAGATGACCTGTCAGACCAAAAGGCTTTCCGATTGGTTCGGGACCAAGATGTTTAGGTAATCATCCACATGATTTGATTGATTCTGTCAACCGTCCACAAGGATCGCGATGTCGTATGACCCAATCTCGCCCCAATTCCCTACATATCAATATTGGAGATGTGCTCCACGTGAACTGCGCGGCCTTCTAGAGGTTCTGAACACTATTCGTATCCGCCCTTGGCGTTTCCCTCTTGGAATGATAGGGGTTGGTCCCATTTCAATGTATTTCCCTTCACGTATCATCCTACCCAGTGCTGTGCTGTAGGCTTCTGCTAGTCAGTAATTCGTGCAGGGCGCGCTGAGTGGCGCGATTAAGGGAAAATCCGCATCATTGTACACCACATTTCTCCTTGGTGGCTAATACGCCCTCAGCCAGGGCCGGCCGTCGAAGTTTCAATGGTGCCAGCCGTGACGATAGATTTTTTCTAGTGACCCGGGCGCATCCTTATATATATGCTTTGTCATACAATAGTTTTGCACATAGGGGCCTCATTGTGTAGAAGTAGTATGTCGCGTCAGTGTTGATCAATAACCTTATCAGCGTTCAGAATTGACATATTTATATAACTGCACTGCTTTCCGGCCATGGGGTATCTACTATATATAAAGAGCGCGGACACGCTCCACGAATCGCGAACGCCGATTGGTTGGAGCGAGGTCTCACACACTCTCATTGGATGAAGGCGCTTACTTCAGCTCCCATTTGGGATGCACTCGCTTAGCTCATCGCCCCTTTAGGGCTCTTCCTCACCCATTTTGGTTCTGCTTGCTTAGCTCATCACCGATGTGGGATCCGGTCGCTTAAGTCATCGCCTGTTTGGGGCCAGCCAGCTAGCTTATCTCATCTCCGGTTGTGTTTGAGTTTCCTGACCGGCCCACATGCGTCATCTATCTCATCGATGCGCACTTCTTCACATGCCGCTCCAACCTCTTCACCTAATCTGTTGTCTAGAATGCGACATCGCAATGATGCGACTATCGATCCTGATTGACGACGACAAGCCCAGCAATCATTGGATAAGTGTGTCGACCAAGGTATAACCTGGTCGTTAGGTGACGTGTCAAATGAAAGAAAACAAAGTCAAAGTGTCAATGAGCACGGGTGTCACTAATCCAATAGTAGTTGGATGGAAGGTAAAAAACTTGGCCGCATTCATCGTGAACAAATCGATGTCAAAACATACCACTTAGCCGAAAGAAAGCCGATCTGTTCTGAACACGCACAGGAGACTCTCCAACACCGATGAAAGTCAATCGAATTCCATCTCGAATCCGTCATAACTCGAGGTCAAGGCTAAAACCTTAAAGAGCGAGGCTTCAGCCAATCAGAGAGCGAGAAAACGGTGGTCCAGCTGAAAAAAAGAACACAGCCGTAGGTTCGCCTGATCTTGTCTTCTTCTTACTAACTCTCAAGCTATTATAAGGCTCCCGGTAAAACCGGTTATCGTATACGTCGCGACCCGTAATCCGGAGCCATCTTCTCTCCGGCCCGAAGGGGAGATTACTCCGGACTACATAGCTGCAACTCACGCCGATGCATTCCTTTATAAGCAGGCTACCAGCCTCTTAGAAAGCCCATGACTTTGCCGGTGGAGGGAAGTCATCAGGTCCAAATTTGTCTCCTCTTCAAGCCGCCTCGACTCGATGGGAAACTTCGGACCGGCTTCGTTTCTTTTCCGGAAGGTCTCCTCCTTGAGCCACAATCATTTCTGAAGCGCGCAACCTTTCGATCCACTTGACGAAGTGTCTTCTCCGAGCGAATTTGGAGATATGGACTTCAGTTCTGATGCTGTCCTCGACAGTAGCGTGGTATCTAACTCTGCACGTCCTGCTATGAATACTGAGAAAAATCAAAGGAAACGACCATAAGTCCATAGGACACACTCCATAGTCGGTTTCGACAAACATGTCGCACTGCTGTCCCCGGATTCCCGTTCTCAGAGCGGCGACGGGTGAAAGGATGTCAGTGCGCTGAGTTGGGTTGTCAAACTGCGCGCAGTAGCCTAGTTTATTGGCCCGACGTTTGTGATTACAGTTCAGTCATTCCAAGGCGTACAGCCACCCTGAATTAGATTTCCGGAAAACTAACGGACAACCATTCCAACATATGTAAGCTCACGAAGAAAGGAATGCTTTGATGGCTTCATCCCTCTCGACAAATTGCTCAAGGTTGGAACCATTTGGGTTGGCTCGCTTCGAGAGTTCCGCATCTCGGACCAATCTGGAGTGCAGAGCTGATTCAGAGAAGACATGCGTCCTTGGACCCTAACAATCTTACCCTCCATCAACAATGTACTTGTTGCTGCAGTTGGCATTAAGTAAATTTGCAGCTTGCAGATCATAAAGGTTTTCACTTACTTCAACCAGAGCTCATCGCCAAGTGCATCGTGAAACTCTTTACTGTTGAATTGCTCGTGCGTGACTTTGTTCAGAACGACATTTTTCGCCGTCTTCTTCTTTAGAGCCTCTGCAATTTCCACTGCTGTGTTCGAACCTCCGTAAGCGTCAGCTCTCTTGCCTGTAACCACCGAAAGGTCAGAATCATCTGCGATCGGTACACTCCGAATCACATACCGATCCATTCATCTGGGTTTTTAAAGATATTCTTGACCTATGGAACAGTTATTCGTATAGAGCAACGTGCCATAACAGTAATGATGTGAATACCCATTCTCCAGTCGCGGTCGCTTCATAAAAAGGAACCGGTACGTCGTAAGGAAGTGGGACATTAACATTGATGGTATCCCCTTCCTTCTTCAACCACTGGGACCACAAAGTTCGGTCAAAAATCGGTGAAGTTGCTGCGAACATGTAAACACGTACCCCAAACTTCGTTATGTTGTTGAAGTAGGGAGACGTAAACAGGAATGTCGTGGGAACCTTCTTCGTCTGGATGTGTTTGTCCACTGCATATCGGACGTTGTTCATGGATAAATTCCAAGTAAATGAAGAGAATATATATGAACTGCACCATTGGCTTTGCTCTGATAAAAAAACACATAAGGAACTTGTGAGAACGGATGTTGTGTTTTACGTACGACGAAGTGATATACGTGGACGCCGCCGTCGCGCGAAGTGTCGTCCAGCGTGCTGAGCACCACCCAATTAGATGCGCGAGATGCACACACGGATTAATACGTTCATACCTCCAAACTAGATGTTTGGTTCCTTCCGCTTCGGCGGCATCAACGATATTCTTCCCAAGTTGGGTCTCATGATCGCGGGATTTGGCTTGATCAAACTTCTCGACGCCAACATATAGAGCAAAGACTGACAGCCACAATCAAAAACGCTTCACATTGCTCATTCAGTCGCTTACAGTCTGACATGCAACAGATCGGTTAGTTGGATACCCTTGATCGATCATCATAATGGCCATATCCCTCACCAGTAACGCCAAAAACGCCATATGCGCCTCTGAAAGCCTTTTTGAGCGACTCGACATCCTCGAGATCGGCAGAGACGACTTCGGCTCCAGCGGCTTTGAGCTTCGTGGCTGCGTCCCCGTTTGCGTTGCGGGTAAGGGCTCGAACAGCAAAGGTTCCGTCCGCGAGGAGAGAACGAACCACACTCCCCCCTTGCAACCCAGTGCTTCCGACAACAGCAATAATCTTCTTGCCGCTAGACATGATCCAATAGGTAAAGAGGTTGAATCAAAGTAGGACTCTGGAGTCTGGAAGGTGTGCATGGAGCTAGTGCCCCTCTTCTTATACCTCGAATCCTCACGCTTATGTCATCATACTCGAGATAACTCAGCCTCTATGTCTACAATGGCCTCCCGCCCCATCTAACATGCATGTGAATAGATGACCTGTCAAGACCAAGGCCTTTATAGAAGCTGGTCACCTGAAAGGCCGATTGCGATGTTTAGGTAATCATTCACATGATTTAGTTCTGTCATCTGGTCGACTCGACTCGAATGATAATGCACATGTCGAAACTCCACTCCCCCCACATATCAATGGCGATGTGCTCCGTGTGAATGGTGCGGCCATCTGGAGGTTCTGGTTTCTATTCGCATCTCTAGGACTGCTATTCCAATAAGTAGAGGCTGGTCACCTAGGATGATATCCCTTCACGAATCCCCTTCTTTTATGCACAAGGTGCGCTGAATGGCGCCATGAAGAACAGAAGGAAAAAAAACGTCATTACGTACCACCTTTCTCCCCGGTGGCCAACGGGCTCTCACCACCGGCAGTGCCCACCGCAGCCCAATCAACGATGAATTTTTCTGGTGATCTGATATGCTTTGTCATACAATTGTTTTGCACCCAGGAGTCGTCCCATCGTGTAGAAGTGATACGGTGCGTCACTGCTGCGGAGAACTACATCATCAGGATGCATATCCTTATCAGCGTTCAGAATTGCCATATCATACGTCTGCACCGCATTGCCTAGCTCGGCTATAGCCTTCTGCGGCATCTTCTCATGAATCCACAAACTAATGATGAGATAAGGAGAAGTCGAGCCTCTCCACATGAAGAAAAAAGCGGGTGCGAAGGAAGCTGTCGTACTAAGGACGCCCGTCTGCGGGAGAAACCGTTTATCGGAGTGCTTCGTGACCGATAATATTGGGTCTCCCCGGCCTCCGGCTGGATATGCGTCTAGTTCACGGTGGGGGAAGCCATCAGATTCAAAGAGTCTCTTCGAACCAAGGGCCGTAGCTTCGATTCGACTTCACTTCGTGTGGCTTCAGGGATTATTGTCACCATTGGTCGGTCAAAGATGCGGAAAAGCGCAACCATTCCCCTTGAAGTGGCACGTCCGAGCGGACTTGGGGTACGGACTGTACTCCCATCAGTTCTTCGACATTAGCGTGGCATTTAATTTCTCATGTCCTGCTATGAATACTGAGAGGGATCGAGGCTAGTTTCAAGCTCTAGAAACACTGGCATCAATCAGCTGTTGTTCGAGTATCCATCAGGAAAACCTGACCGAGTTCTCAGGTGCTCCGTATGCACGGAGCTCCTGGAAGGTCTGTCCGATCTTCCTGATATTAGGAGGCCGGGCTGACAGCGCCCGGATCTACTGTCTCGCTCAGCGCTCAACAGTCAACTGTATTTAGTGTTACCAATGACAGCCGTCGGGGCAACAGGTGTGCTTCCGCATGTTCCCCGGTCCGGCAGGCGTTGCAGTCGGGTTATATCCCATATGACAGCAACAGTCATTCCCTGCACAGTCCTGGAATCCCTACCTTGAACCGCAGGAGCTCGATCCGGTAGGGTGCTAAATGGCATGCGTCAGAGATTGTGAACTATAGGGCAGGTTCCATAGTTGATCTTAACAACCGTTTCCATTCTCAAGACTTTCAAGGGCAGCGGCTGAAAGGATGTCCGTAGGTCGGTGCACTGAGCCAAGTCATTAAAGTGCACGCGATATAGCCTCATTGGCCCAATGTTTGTGATTACAGTTCAGTCATTCCGAGGCGTGCAGCCACCTGGACTTCGATTCCGGAAAACAACTCCCGCCATATGTGAGCTCACGAAGAAAGCAGGGCCTTGATAGCTTCATCCCTCTCGACAAATTGCTCAAAGTTAGAAGCATTCGGGTTAATTCGATTCGAGAGTTCCGCATCTCGGACCAATCTAGAGTTCAGGGCTGGTCAGGGAAGGCATGCGCCCTCAAACTCTAGAAATCTTACCCTCCTTCGACAATGTACTTGTTGCTGCAGTTGACATTAAGTAAATTTGCAGATTGCAGATCATAGAGGCCTTCACTTACTTCAACCAGATCTCATCGCCAATTGCATCGTGGAACTCTTTGCTATGGAACTGCTCGTGCGTGACTTTGTTCAGAACGACATTTTTCGCCGTCTTCCTCTTTAGAACCTCTGCAATTTCCTCTGCTGTGTTCAAACTTCCATAAGCTTCAGCCCTCTTGCCTGTAAAAGGTCAGAATCGTCTGCAATTGGTGCATTCCGAGCCACATACCGATCCATTCATCTGGGTTTTTAAGGATATTCTTGACCTGTGGAACGATCATTCGTATGAAGTAGTGCACCATGATAATGATGCAAATACCCATTCCCCAGTCGCGGTCGCCTCATACCAAGGGACTGGTACGTCGTAAGGAAGTGGGACATCAACTTTGATGGTGTCTCCTTCCTTCTTCAACCACTAGGACCAGAAAGTTCTGTCGAAATCCTGTGAAGTTAATACGGACGTGCAAACACGCACCCCAAAGTTGACCAGGTTATTGAAGTAGACAGACGTAAACAGCGTTGTGGTGGGAACCTTTTTCGTCTGGATATATTTGTCCACTGCATATCGGACGGTACGTGTTCATGGACGGATCTCAAGTACGTAATGAAGAGAATATACCATTGGCTTTGCCCTGTTAATAAAATGACGTAAGAAAATGGTCAGAGTGGATATTTGTGTTTACGTACGATGAAGTGATATACGTGTACACCGGAGCTCGAAGTGTCGTCCAGCGTGCTGAGGACCATCCAGTTAGATGCACGAGTGCATATGCGGGTCACCTTCATACCTCCAAACCAGATGCTTGATTCCTTCCGCCTCGGCGGCGTCAACGATATTCTTCCCATGTTGGGTCTCATGATCGCGGGATTTGGCCTGATCAAGCTTCTCGACACCAAAATACAGAGCAAAAACTGGTAGCCACCGACGATCAGTAACATCTCACATTGTTCAAGCAGTTGCTCACAGTCTGGCGTGCAATGGATTGGTCAGTGGAATACCTATTAATTAATAACAATCGTAACTCTCACCAGTAACACCAAAAACACCATATGCGCCCCTGAAAGCCTTTTTGAGCGACTCGACGTCCTCGAGATCGGCAGAGACGACCTCAGCTCCGGCCGCTTTGAGCTTCGTAGCTGCGTCTCCGTTTACGTTGCGGGTAAGGGCTCGAACAGCGAAGGTTCCGTCCGCGAGGAGAGAACGAACCACGCTTCCCCCTTGCAATCCAGTGCTTCCGATGACAGTAATGATTTTCTTATCACTAGACATGATCGGGTCGTTGGGGGTAGAGAAGTCAGGTTCACTGGGAGATTGAGGCTGATATATTACCTTGAGAATGTCCCAGGCATGATGATATTTTACTTTCCTTTTCCAGAAAAGCTGATCCGAATGGGGATAGATTTTCGAAGCAGTCGGTTGGCGCATCTTGCCCCACCTTGCCAGATTGGAGGACCGATAGGAATTCAGCACGCAATTGACGGGTTACTCAGCCATCAGCTGATCTCGTTGACGCGTCCCAACTCAGCATGGATTTGGGTCACTCGGCGATCTTGCTAATTTCCAGCTAGTCAGTTCTCGCTATCAAAAATAAACTTGCGCATCGTTGCAAGCCTTCCCGCGCTCGTTGTTGTTTGTTGTTCCCTGGAATGATACGCAACTATCAGACACCTCGTACCCAGTCTTTGGTGCGCGGCTATCTGGCTGTACGCCACGGATCGTACAGCCACTTGGGGGCTCATAACAAAATATACTCGGCCAGCTCTCTCGTCACAGGTTGTAAGAGTCTTGGTATTTGGCTGGTTCAGAGGGAGTAAACTTTAAGGAAAAAAAAAACCTTTCACGTACCTGAAGCGGTAACTACTCGCTAGTACCGTTCTGAGAGTTGGCGCAAAACAGAGTGTATGTAACAGAGCAGAATGATAAACCCATGCGCGTAAGGAATTGTCACTATTATGGATAAGAGTTGCAGATTTTTCAGGCAGATTTTAGGCGACAAGTTGGGCTAACTGGGTGGATATGACATCGTAAGTGAAAGCCACTCCGCTTCCGAGATGCACTACCGCTATTCCTATATTCCTGCGTGTTTGTGCCGTATGAATAGCTTCAGCCTGGCGTGCTGCGCTCCCAGTCGGTGACCTGTTCTCATGATGGAGAGACTTGCGTTCGCTTAAGAGATTCTGCAACGTTCTCTCCTGCGAGCTTCCGATAGCCATTGCGACAGCTAGGTCTGTCTTTCGAATCCGTTTGTGGACTAAACTGCTGCTAACCTGTAATGATATGCCGTTTGTGCTGAGCTTGGTCACAGGTCGAGTAAGTGGCGGGCTCGAGGAAGCCGAAGAGCTGGTGGACAGGGTGAGCTCGCCAGTGAGGTTCTCGATGGCTTGGGTGACGCGCATGTCAACAAGCGTATAATTAGCACGCATCTCAACAAACTGAAACTCCGGGCTGGGCACGAACACCTGGTCATAGACTGGGTGTGTTGTAGACCTGTATCCCCAATCCATCAACGCTTTCAACTCCATGGAGGTCACCGTCATGGTGAAGTGTAATGGCTGCCCCTATGATCAAGCTCCGTGTCGTCATTTCTGATACCCACAAAAGCTTTGGGCTCGTCGGACGACACGATTTCCTGGCAGAAGTTTGTCATCGACAGAAATAGCAGGAGAAATGAGTTTCCATGCATATTTCACGCGACAACGCCACAAAATCAGTCACCGACATAGAGCGTACCACCGCCGGGCAACCACCAGTCATCGATAAAAAAGGTTCCAGCGATCAGGGTTTAATATACTTCCCTGAAACCATTCGCTCGTGGTCCCGTATTCCATTACGATACCACTGTGAAGTCAGTCCTCATTGCGCCCGAAGATGGTTGTCTCTTCGGAAATCTGACATGATTGTGCACCGCCCAAGCAACTTCCAATTTTTCCGCTTTGGCGATAGGCTTTTCAAACTCATCCCTGCCATGAAGACAAGATGTGGCGTCTTTGCAGAAGTCGTCGAACGATTGGTAGAGTCTTTCCACGCCTTCCGTGGTGGGAAGCCCGCCATTAGTGCATCGGATGGAATCTCCCCGCGCGATAGCAACTTGGGCGAGCCTATCCACGTCAGCCGAGCTGCGTCTGATATAATAGGTTCCAATACCGATCTCGAGCTCGCGGACCGGGATGTTTTCCCACCTGGATCGATTGGCAATGATCTGAGGTTGGAGTTTGTGCCTAAGTGCCTCAAGGTTTGGAGCCGTGGCATCGAGAATCATGGAACGTGCCAAACATCAGTTTAAGGTCTTCAACGATTCAGAGCGCTTTTATCTTCTGATCTCGCTGCAACGGGTGCATCTTCGATCCTTTCCATGGTTGCGACCGTTCCCACAAGGCGCTCTTGTGTCTGTGATGAGATTGTCATGAGTGAGCGGCATGGCAGGCGAGTTGGTGTCGGGCGAAACAACATAGATTTTAGAGAGACACAGCACGGATTGACGATGAACAAATCCTGGAACATTGTGCAAGCTGGTGCTCTCTTCTCGGGGCTATCACATTCCCGACAACTCACCCAAGGCAGTCTCGACGCACGACGCGCAGTTCTAGAGTCCCAGCAGTGTGAGAAAGGTTCCAAATGCAACCATGGCGTGAACACGTCCGGTCAAGTGGAAACAGGGAGGTTTCTAATTATGGCGAAGAGCATTGGGTGTGCGATTCCCAAGCGATTTCCATTTTCTTGATGTTTAACAAACGGTCCGCAAGCTCGGTAAAATATTGCATTGTACAGGAGGAATTGCGTTGTCGAGGCCACTTGCGTGGTGTCTTGCCATTTTTGCAGCACTGAAGTGATACGGGTATCACACCATTGTGAGTTATAGCATGTGTTTTGTGTGCTGAGGTTTCTTTGTAGCTCGAATTCTGTTTTTGGTTTCGCCTGAATCGGTCAATGAGTCTGGCCTCATACAAGCACTGGGGTTCCAAGCGAGTGAGACATAGCAAGTGCAGAACAAATGAAAACATAGCTCCGGGTATGGAATTTCCATTCCTCATACTCTCCTCCCTCACGATATATATTACCGCACATAAGAAATGAAAGAAGTGTGAAGATCTCATGAGGGATTTAGAATCAATAAAATTAATCCCGGTTACTTTCCTTCGCAGGGTAAGGTACAAAATCCGAGGGGCCGAAGGCCGGTGAATCGATGAAACGGGAGGGTGTGTAAAATGAAAGTTCACCCAGAGTGTATTGAGAAGAATATGAATAATAGAGGAAATAGAGTCAATGGACCCCCAAGGCCTGCAAAGGCCTCTCCTCATTCCGGGGTGCAGAGAACTATGCAATTCCAAAAATGGGCCCCAATCGTGTTACCTGGGAATCCAGCAGCGTGGGTGGGGGGCGGCCTCAATTGAGGCAGTTTGTCCGGCGGAGGGACGACAAGGTCCACGGTGAGAAAGTGATGCATCATTCCCCTTGTGTCGGAGAAAGAGAAGGGGCTTTCCAACTCTGAGCTCATAGGAATCGTATGAGGCACCTTGGAGTTGGCCTGCTATTAACCGATAAGGGGAGAAGGGTTGGAGCCCCCTAATCCATTAGACCCAGTAAGGGTCAATGCGTTGCATAGCTCTGAGAGCCGGGCTCATCAGGAGCCAACTGTCCTCAATTGGGGCTGGAGACGGTGAAGGGCACGTTTCCTGTGTCAGTCCTAAGCCAAGGCAGTGGCCTCGTAGGAGCCACTGGCTGGTGAGAGCATGGGCTCAAAAAGCCCCTTATTCCAGTCGGAACGTAGCGTGGAGACGGCGGTAGATACCGTCTCTAGTCTCCAAGAATGAGAGGGTGTGGTAGGAGCCCAGATAGGTTTGGCAGGCCCCATAAATGCTGGAGCGCCAGACGCTTCAGTGAAATGGCACTCAGCAAATGCTGAGGAACCATGATTTCGGTATAGAACCAGCGGACAGGGTGTCGTACGGATTGTCTCTAGCCTCTCAGGATGAGAGGAAATAGTAGGATCATAGGTTTGACAGACCCAGAAGTTGTCGAAGCGCTGCGCGCTTCAGCGAGCTAGCACTAAGCAGAGACTGAGCGGCCATTATTCCGGCGTAAACCAGTCGGGAGGCAGTCATGTGGACCGTCCAAAGCCTCTCAGAGTGAGAGGAGCGCCCAGAAAGGACGGGCATCTGGACTGGACGAGAAGTCGGGTCTCCAGCACCCGACCTTTCGCCCCCATCCCCACCCCTTGCGGAGCCAGGGCATCAGGCCCTTGCGCGCCAGCGGGTTGCTTGTTAAACCAAGCAACCCACCCATTCAAACCCGAGCAAGTCAGGATTCTGCTCATTGCTCCGAGCGGACCATGCTCATAACCTGAAGTGCACCCACTCACACCCGAGTGGGCCCTGCCGACTAGAATGCTGATAAAATGCTCACACAACCACGCGCACGCAAGTCAACAGTATAACCTGTTGAGCTTAAAAACGTGTAAATGCTTCAGACCTAGGCAGCCTCTACCTCAGGCCTCTGGCTATAATTCAAGAGGAGTGAAGAAAAAAAGAAAGAAAGAAAGAGATCCTTTCCCACACTCACGTGGGTATATATATACATAGCAAACGCGCAACAAATGAAAACATTCCCCGGGTGCCAGCGTCGACGCGTTCGCGTTATCTATAATTTATAAATATAGAGGCTGGCATCCTGCCTACCTTTGGGCGTATTCCTTACGCCATAGCTGTGCTGTACTCAGCGGAGTCGATCTGTTATCTGTTGGGCAACATGTCTTTGCCTCTATTTGTGTCGAACATGATCTGTCGAACGATGCCAACCAAACACATCACGCATAGAAAGTCCCCCCTCATGTACGCTATGGTGTGTCGATGGGACAGCCGCACTGCCACGTCATCGCGAGGCCGCGGTAGATTCATCATCATCAACCCGAGGTCGCGCCTATCTAATACTACGAAGTCATAGAAGCTGGAGTCCTGCGCCCCCCCTTCCAACATTGATATGATCGAGACAGGTTTCTCTCATCTTAGTATCATGGCATTCGCATTTATTTTAGCCGCTCATTGTGATTCGAGATTAAAGGTCGATCTAGACTTACTGTGTCTTTCGATACCATTTAGGTTCCTCTTAAACTGCTATCATTGATCTATTACCGTGTTGTGAATGTTTCAGTCTTGCAGAAGGTGAAGGGGATTATAGATGCCTTCGGCAAACGTCGGTTGTTCCCGTTCCTTCTGTCTCATTCCGTTGGTGTCATGTTGTGGTTTTGCTCTTCTGCTATATAATGTCTATCTGTTCTACACTGCTTTCAATCTGCTGCTGCTGCTGCCTTGGTTTATGTACTTGTCTTTTCAGTTTCTTTGTGCTTACTCTGTCGATGTAATTCTCTATACCCCGATCTGGCCAGCTGGCTCAGGTCACTTGCGTGCCAGTCAATTCTGAAGTCTTGGTGCTTGTCAGGGCTGTCTCCACGCTACGACGCCACTGCATGAACCACCTCCACAAGAATACAAGTTGCCCGATTATGTTCAACTCCTTCGCCACTTGTAATAATGTTCTTACCGAGCAAGTACACGAGTACATTCTGGGGTTAGAGTTAGGATTAGCTAAGACATATCGCAATGTCACGGCCACCACCAAGACTAAAATCTAACAGATACTCCTTCCAATCTTCCCTTCCTACATAAAATTAAGAAGAAAGTATGGCATTAAGGGCCTCATCCTTCTCGACAAATCGCTCCAGGTCGGAAGCATTTGGGTTGGCTCGTTTCGAGAGCTCCGCATCTCGGATCAATCTAGAGCCATGACTGATTTAGAGGAGGCGTATATCTTCAAAGAAAAAATCTTACCCTCTGTCGACAATGTACTTGTTGCTGGAGTTGGAATTAAGTTTTCAGATTCCGGGGTTATGCAAGTCATCACTTACTTCAGCCAAAGCTCATCGCCGATTGCATCATGGTACTCCTTGCTGTGGAACTGCTCATACGTGACTTTGTTCAGAACAACAATTTTCCCTGTTTTCTTTCTGATAACCTCCACAATTTCTTCTGGTGTATTTAAGCTTCCAAAGGTATCGGCCCTCTTGCCTGTAAGCATGGAGAAATTAGCGTCATCTGCGATTGATACATTCCCGGCCACGTACCAATCCATTCATCCGGGTTTTTGAGGATATTATTGACCTGTGAGATGGTTATTCGTATAAAGCAATACACTATATCAGCGATGCAAATACCCATTCTCCAGTCTCATTCCCATCATATAAAGGAATCGGCACGTCGAAAGGAATTGGGATATCTGCTTGGAAAGTATCTCCTTCCTTCTTCAGCCACTAGAGCCAGAAGGTTTAAGTCAAAAACAGTGGGAGTGTGCAAATACGCACACCATATTTGGTCAAATTATTGAAGTAGACGCTTGTAAACAAGATTGTCGCGGGAAATTTCTTCGTCTTGATGTATTTCTCCACTATGCATCAGATGGTGTTCAAGGACGGATTCCGAATAATGAAGAGGACATATGAACCGTACCAGCGGCTTTGCTCTGTCAATGTCGCAACATAAGATAGTGCAAGTGGACATCATGTTTACATACCACCCAATGATATACGTGCAGATTTACGTTCGAAGTATCGTCCAGGGTACTAAACGCCATCCAATTAGAAGTGCAAATTAAAAAATGCAGACTATGATCGCACCTCCAGACCAGGTGCTTGATCCCTTCCGCTTCGGAGGCGTCGACAATATTCTTCCCAAGTTGGGTCTCATGATCGCGGGCTTTCGCCTGATCGAACTGGTCAGCACCAAGGTACAGTGCCCAAACTGATAGCCATTGACAATCAGCAACAGTTCACATTGCTCGTACGACTGTGCCCTCACAATCTGGGACGCAACAGATCAGTCAGCAGGATTATCTTTGATCGATGATAAACAGCATCCCTCACCAGTAACACCAAAAACGCCATATGCGCCTTTGAAAGCTTTTTTGAGCGACTCGACATCCTCGAGATCGGCAGCGACAACCTCAGCTCCGGCCACTTTGAGTTTTGCAGCAGCTTCTCCATTTATGTTGCGGGTGAGGGCTCGAACGGCAAAGGTTCCGTCTGCGAGGAGAGAACGGGCTACGCTACCTCCTTGCAATCCAGTGCTTCCGATGACAGCAATAATTTTCTTATCACTAGACATGACTAGATGGTTGAAGGGTAGAGGGGCTAAATAAGAGGTCACCTAGGAGAGGAATGGGTGGAGACTGGGGCTTATATACCATTGAGCCAGGGATGCGTCCACGGTCATCTTATCGTACTTTCCTCTTCTAGAAAGGCCGCTGGTTGAGATACCGAACAGGATAGCTTAGTAAGTTGGCACATCTTGCCCCATTGCTTTAATCAGCCGATTGGGATTCGACACGCTGTCGGTAAGTTGTCTTACAGCTCTGACGCGTCGTTCAGCCATTGGCTGATCGCGTCAAACGCATTTCAGCCCAGCGATCCAGCTCTATCTGTGATGCCTAGATTCATGCCCAATCTGTTCTTCGCTTGATATTGGGAATACAATAGGTCTTGCAGGCCTGGGAATTGCCGATGATTGACATTGACTTGCGCATTTCTACGTCATCAAGCATGTCCAGAGATTACCGAGCCGAGCGCTTAGCAGATTCCGATGCGCACGCATAGGGCTGCGCTAGGGCACGGACGCGGATATTCCCGACGCCCCCGTCCGCCCGGAAATTCATGACAATGTAATCCATGCCGGTAGTTGCGCTATTACCACATACACTACATTCCATAGGGCATCACCGAGTAAGCACCCGTTGGGGTTGTCCTCGCATCAAAAACGACCATCGATAATATTGATTTTCCAAGAAAATCCGGTTATCGGTGTGCTTCGTAATCGTTGATCCGGAGTGGTTTGCTCTTACGGTGTCCAAAGCCCCCCCCCCCCCCAGCCACTATGAAGTGCGGGAATGAAGTACTTGCGCTGTATTCAGCGATGACATTCATGGTGAAGGAAGCCATCAGATTTCACACAAGGTCGCCTCCGAGACAAGGACTACCTCAATTCATCCCACATCGACTTCATGGCGGTTTCATCTTCGGAAGATGTGGCTTCTAGACGGATTGTTATCATCAGTCATGGATGCGACAAAGCGTGACCGTTCTCCTCGAAACAGTCGCGCCACCAGGGCGGAAATCGCTCAATGCGCTGGCCACAACCCTAGTAAGAAGCCGACAAGGATTGGGTATCGGGAATTCTGATTTAACCAGAGGCCCCTTGCTAGGGCCGTTGGTAAACAGATCAAGCGTCTAGCGATAGGGACTACTCCCTAGAGCAAGCTCCCGCTGCGGTCTCAGACTACAAGCCCGCCACCAGCCTCCGAAAAGAGTCCAGCTAATGAGCAAAGCGGACCGGTGGTCCTTTGTGCCTGGCACTCGACTGCAAAAGGCAGAAACACTGGATGAAATTGGTGCCATTCCTGGGAATGATAGGCAATCCTGCCCGCCTGTTCCAATCCGATCAGACGAATCGTCGACGCATCCTACACGTGTCCAATCTACAGCTATGATGGCAAGTCCAGGGCCAACATTAAAAGAAGAGAACGTTGCTTCAGTATCGATTCTTGTTTAACAATCACTCTTTGATACCGTACGAAAGAAGTACAGGAAACGATGTCTGAACACAAAGGGAACAAGCAGGGCGAGGTTTTATATTTGTTCAGAGGAAACACGAGGCAAACGCGAGCGAGGGGAGAATCGAGGCGAAGCGAATCAAAGGGGTGCAAGACTTTAATCGAATCACGCGAGATACCCAGTATTCTCGGTAACATTTGCAAAGCAAAGAACGTGCGTACAATATCTGGCGATCGAGGCGGCCGCATCGTAGTTCGATGACACATTTTGCACAAAAGCTGACTCCGAGTAGTATGATTATAGCGCAGCTCCTGGGAGATCATTACAAGCCTGCCGCTAGAGATTCCATGTATGATTGAAAAGCTGCTCAGGTCCCTGATTTAATGCGGCAGAACGGTCCGCAGTGACAGCGTGCGCAATCGATTATGTTGATTGTGTCAGTGCACACCCTCGGGGACACAGATCTTTGGCCTTCCATTAGTGACGAGATTTAGTCTACGATTGCCACGATCTGATCGAGGAGATAAAGATGTCGAGAATTATCTGACCTCGTGCTGATCAATCCGCAGGAGGCGGATATCTCGACTGCATCTCCAACCAGCTTCGCAAAATAATACCGCTAGGGGGCACTACGGATCGCGGTTGTAGAACCCTGAAATATCGGATTTCGTCCGGTGGGTTTCCTTCAATAAAACGGCCACCGCCCCTATCTTCCTTCATCACCGCTGTCAAGATTCAGTGAAGGCTGCGTCGTGAAATAAAGGGGCTATTCACCATATACAAATGGCCTGCGCAAGGATAGAATTTGACCTTAATGCCAACTCGCCCATTTTGAGAGCGAGGTCATCATTGTGGCTATCGTTACGAAATAGACGTGAAGACGCAATGTCTGGAAGCCTCAGGGTTGCAATCCGAGTCCGCCGGCATTACGGGACGGATTTTATAGCGGCCAGGTGTGCTACTCAGGTCAACTTGCCCAAAATGTAATGTATAGTTAGATCAGCACTGGTTAGAGCATAGGTTCTAATGCTCACAGTGGCCTTCCAATGCGGCAAAGACGCATGCACAGTGCGACCTGCGGGCCTCCGAGTCAGAGAAAACCTGACATTCCAATCGAGGCTGAGCAGCCTAGTACAAGGTCACCCTCAGCTGAGCTTCATTGATTAATTTCAATGAATGCGCCTAACTCGAAACTCTGGAGCTTTTTTTGCGGGTCGGAGCCCAGGGATTTGCCTCAAGGCTGTGTCGAAAAACTGCATGACTTGCTTCTGCTCCTCCGACGCCATTGACGCGCGTAATTCACTTCACCCTGTAGCCTGACGTCAAATGTTGAGAGCGCGTAGAGGGTCACGTCAGCTGTCCCTAACGCGCTGCCATGTCGGGCACACGCGTTTTGGGACTTCTTTGGCCTGGGTACGCGCGATTTTGGCCCCACAACAACCTAATATCCAATAAGGGGCGTGGGGAATGCCTTTGATAAACTCAAGAATTCCGATGGACTTGCTGGCACACGTCTTCGAATCCGGACTGGATTGATATGAGGTCACCAAGTGGACATGCGAAGAACCAGGTGCGATCGGCACCTCTTCTGTTGTTGTACAGTACATGCGCGGATTCGAGGTACGGTCCGAACTGTGGCGTTTTGGCATGGTAGTAGCTTTCACTTTTGGCGCATAATGTGGTGTGATGTTCTACAGGGTTTGAATATTTTCCCGAACAGGGTTGTAGAAATAAGAATAAGTGGGCTTGAATAGCTTTCTTAGGTCTATGAGGTAGAGAAGCTGAACCTTGACCAAACGTAGTTTCTAGGGAAGTTCGATCGGCGAAGAGAGCCGCTCGATTGACTTACGCATTTATAGAGCTGGCCTTGAGGTAAGGGACGACTTCTTAATGTTTAAACACATAATCTGGGACATGACTGGAGTCCGACGCTGAGGATGTTGTGGTTCAGACATTTCATACATAATATTGTGCGTGAGTTTCATGCAATCCTCATCAACAACGTTCATTACTTCTCTAATGAAAAATGGCCTCAATGACCTATCATTGTTTAGCCACAATAGGCTGGATGGCAGCAACTATATTCCCAACCCTTCTCGAATAGCTAAGTACTGCCTTTTCTAATGTGCTCCCAGGGTTGGCTTCCCAGCTAGGGCTTCAGTGGTCTACCAGTCCGGCAGGCAGTCGACTGTATGCAAGATATATGGGTGCGGGCTCCACATTCAATAACACTTTTTTTTTTTTTGATCGATCTTGAATATAATATTTTGCATTGCAACATGACGTATTGACTGACACGTGGATCAACCTTCGAGCCGAGCTGACGTGCATAGCTTTGGGCGTAGCTTTGAGCTGCTTTTCTCTGGATCGTGAAGGGACTGTGCTAAGCGCTCAATCACCCTGTCCGCCTTGCTCACAGCGCTCAGTTTTTTGTCCGATGCATCGGCTTCTTCAGAACCATATTGAGTCCCAGACTTCCGTGGCTTGCGACTCGTTCTTTAGGTCTGTTCAGCTGACTCCGCATCAACACCCTTCATTTCACGGCCTTACAGAGTCCAAACAAATGTAGCCCCAGATTGGATTCTGTTCCATCACGTTGATGGCCCAGCCATCAACAACTTTGTGTCGAAGAATTCAAACCGCCTCGAGGCATTGTCACCTCATGCCTAATATGTGGAAAAGATTACCGGTGTGGCTCGCACCCCTCAATCTAATTTTCCCAATTGGTCTTTCTTGTAACCCTGATGATTCTCACCCATTTGGGGTTTTTGTTGTCCAGAACACTACAAAAAAGCCCGCTGAAGAATCGCCTGACTCGATTTTTTTCCCCTTAGCCTCTCCCACTCGTTTAACTGCCCACCACCCTTTACGGCCTCACGAACTTCTTACGAGTCTCACGACATCACCTATGCGACCTATCTCTGTGTTCCCAAGGCTTTTCGTGGGTGATGGTGTTGTGGAGGAGGATCCGTCAGAGTGGTTACGCGAAGTGCGCCTATTCAGCATCGGTCATGAGGAAGAGGACCAACTGAAGATATTTGAGCTCTGCCTTGCTCCAGGCAGTCCTGCAATGGCTTGGTTCGATTCCTTGGACTCGCGCTCGCGCGGCTCATTCAAAGGGCTGGTTTACGCGTTTCGAAAGGAATGGCCTTCGGTGCCGCATTTGCCGCTCCCGTCTTGGTTACCCCTAGATCGGCTCGAGCAATGTGTTTTGCGAGAGGAGGATCTTGGACGAGACGTTATAGAAGAGTCCACAGGCCTCATTCTTCCTTCCCACGTTGCATATGCCAGGCGAATTCGCCGACTGGCTGTTGCTGTGGACGTTGATGACCCACAAAACCCTCCTCAACCCAACCTGGTAGCTGATGCTCGTCGTCGCTTGCCAACTGCTTTGAGGGTTTGTGTGTCGAAGGGCATTAAGACATGGGATGCTTATGTTATGGCGGTGTGTGACATTAGTACCGCCGAAATCGCAAAGGTGGCGGCTAATATGGCACGCGAACGTCATGCCAATGGGCATCCTAATGGTACAACAAATGGGGCCGACCATCGTCCTCGCCCGGCTCACGCATACTCTGCGCCCACCACAAACGGTAGACAATATCCAAATGGTCACGCCAATGGCAACGGTTATCATGCGTCTTCCGATCTACCCGCGCCTCATATTGTCTACCAGGCTGATGAGGAAGGGGGAAGTTTCCCAGCAACTAACATCAACCCCCATATCACTTCCCCCACGGATCCCACTTTCCCTCGTAATGATTCTCCCTCGATGTATAGTGCCACTGGAGCAGCCCCGTACCATCGCGACACACCCTCCGCACCACCAATGGCATCTCGTTCTTGGCTGTCGACTAGTACACACCGATCCCCGCCTTCATCGACAGCTGGGGTATGGACACGAGGATAGATCACCCAGTCGTGTGGTATGAAGTCATCGGTACCTGAATGGGAAAATTTATCCTCGTGCATGCGCAGATAGTAGAGTGGGGGAGGCGTATCCGACTTACCTCATTCCCAATACCAACACATCGTACGAGACCCTTTCACGCCCCTATCCGAATTTTCTTTTTCCGCTTTCCGATCCTCGAATTCAAAATTCCCCATTGGTTTATGTGTTAATGAAGAAAGTACGAACGAAGAATGGAGTCTTTCAGCTGTTCTGTTTTCATTTACTTGTCGTTGGTCCCGAAAAAAAGGTCAACATTTAGATTAGCATGGGATTAACCAACTGTTGCCCATAGTTTTGGATAATGTGGTTTGCAATGAATGATAATATGGTGCCTTATAGAGATACACGAGTTGCATGCCTTGGATTCTGAATAGAAAGATAAGCCATCATTAGCCAGAACACTTGGAAATCACGAACCTCAAGGGTCATCCGGACGCCTTAGCGAGCTGCTTCCCTTTTGAGCGCCCAGGGCTTTCTGTGCCAAAGGGTTCCCGCCATCTTCAGGAGAAGAATACCCTAGAACGTCCGCATCCAGACCTAATAAGGCTCTTTCCTCCGATTCCATTTCAAAATCCCGTTCAATGGCGCGAATATAACTTTCAATGCTACCAAAGTAGCCCACGCGGCCGGCCATGACGTCGTCGTCTGATATGTTCTGCAAGCGAACCAGCTCCCCACGAATGTATGCCGTAAAGACATAAAGATGGAAAGGGAGGTCGACCAACTCGCCGATAGATAATGAGGGGGATCGGTGTCAGGGCCCGAATCAATGGCAATAGTGGGTGAGCCGTCTTGGACACCTCGTGCCGCCCCTTGTTTCCCTGGTCGCGCTATAACTTCCCCTTTGCCGTCCAAGCCCCTGGCTGCAAAAACGTTTCGCCACACGGCCCCACTGAGCTCAGCATCGGAGCCCACGAGTCCAAGGTCAAACGAAAGTCCTGCTCCGGACCACTGGTCCCGCATCTCGGTCATGTATCCTTTGATCACGCGCTCGGGGGCCTTGTGACTCAACGTATAGCGCATCCGGTGCTCAACATCGAGAAAGAAGTGATTAACAAGCTCCTGCACATATAGCCGGCCATGGGAAGGAGGGAGGGCTCGGTATCGTGCTGTGAGGAGCCAAACATGAAGGTTTGTTATTTGAAACCACGTCTGATATGTGGGCGGAAGTTTACACTCTGGGTAACGTGGGGAATTCATGGACGGAATCTAAAATCACAAATGTAAATGGGACGCCACCTTCGTGAAGGAACTTTGACTCCATCGTGTCGCGTTCGGCACATAGCGCGTATGGATTTCGCGTCTCACGGATCGCCGTAGAAGATTTGGTGTTGTAGCCAAGTAACCAAGCTAATCCTTTCACTAATGACACGAATGTTGGGGAATTCGACAGACGCTCAGGGGTGCGCGTTCTCGATGCCTCTAAGGGTTTCTGTTCCACAGACTTTATTGTTGAGTTTTTTGCCGGGGACGCAGGAGTAGAGTGATTCGACAATGAGGAGCCCTGGTTGAAGAGCTTTCGAGAGACCACTACATTCCTTATTGCTGAATTATACAAAGTGACTGGGCATGATCGTCGTCGTGCCGTATTCAGAATTGCGGAGCGAGCTGGTTGCATTTTCCAGCTGAAGTGTTCGTGGAACGGAAACTAGAGGATGTGTAGGATAGTTCTGGCGTCGGATAATCTTTCCAAGATCACCTATTTGTCCTAAATAGCAGTAGGTTACGTTCCAACGTATAAGCGCCGTTCTCAACCGGCTCAGGAGCCACTCAGGAGCGGCGCATGGGATGTGCGTGCGATTATTCAGACTCTCTGATCACGTGTACCACCTTAGCGCCGCGAGCTTGTCTCCTTCGACTCGGCCACTTGCACCTTTCAGCTACTCTCGGTTTATTGACATGTGGAATGTCAGCTATTTGTGCTAGTTGTCAGGCACACCAACGGAAGTTCTACTGCGTTGATTGCTTACGCAGCCAGTGAGTCACCTTCGTACTCACGAATGCGACCTCAAGCTCCTATCGGTTTTGTCTATAGTATCCATCGGATTCGCAATGCCACCCAACTCGCAGAAAATGAGCGCGATGTGCAGATAGATAAGGCTAAGCAGTCGCTCTCATTAATTGACCAACGGAGGATTATGTGTGCCAAAGTTTCCCGGCTGGAGGATGCCACTTCTGAGGCCAAACGATGGACTCAAGAGCTAAGGGGCGACATAGATGACGGTGAGGGAGCACTTCCTCTATTTTTTTTTCTCAAATTCAGTTTCTTGCAGTCCGGAGTCGTGTCATTCGCAAGCGCGACCAGCTGAGGAGACGACGCATTAATCTGGAGGCTGCTCGTGAAATTTCCGAGAAGACCTTAGGGAAACCCCCGTACCTTGCCGGAAAAGCGGATAGAATCCAGAACCTTAAGAAGTCTCTCTCTCATGCGCACGCGGCCCTTGCACGCTCCCGGCGCGTGTTAATTCGTGAACTGATCCAAGTCTTTGACATTGGGGAATATCAGCCTCCGCAAATTAGCAGCAAGCCTGCATCAATGAACACTCAAGCTGCTGCACAATTTGGCGTTGCTTCAGTCCTGGGAAGTTTTGGTCGTCGCACTCGTCTTTCCCTTCAATCGTCTCCGCTGTCACAATCGTTCCATCCGTCGTCCAAACCATCCGTGCTTACTGCGCTCGCAGCACCATCATCTTCTCCGGCTACCACTAGGTCCTCCACACCCTATGCCATTGCCAGTCTCCCTTTTCCCAGTGACCTTGTTGAGTCCCAACGTTTACCAGCCGAGCACATTCAAGCTACTATTCAACATCTCCTCCATTTCATCCAATTACTAGCATTCTACCTTGGCGTCAAGTTGCCATTCTACATTATATGGGATGGGGGCATAGAGGGTGTAGGACGACCCTGGATCCAGGCGACCAAGGGCGATGACGATGGTGGTTGGGCAAAGTTCACTGGGCCACATCCTTTGTTCTCTGCCGTGCCGAGTTCTCCTTCCCAATCCCCGACGTCTTCTGCCATTCAGACAGACCATTTTCCAGTGCCTCCAATTGTATTAGCTCAACACTCTTCAACGTTAACCTCTTCAAAATTGCCACCCTCGTTCACTACGGGCTTAGCAATGCTTCACTATAATATTGCCTACTTGCTGTTTACCCAAAGACTACCAAGCAGTCTGACATTTGGTTTACCGCCTGCCATTGGCCTTACATCCCACAAATCTCTGCCAAATAGGGGTGATGCAAATGCTAATACCGTAACTGATATACAGGCCGCTGTCCAACCATCGCCAACTCCACCAGATGCACTTCGGAACCTTGTGTCAATGTGCTTCTCTCCTCTGGAGTCCGTTGGGTTATATTCTCATTCTGCTCTTCGTCCACCGTACCGGCTTGGACCACCAACAACACCCCACACCGTCAAAGCTAAGTCGACACACTACCCAGCTGGCACTAATCCCCAACCTGTTTCAAGTGATGTCCAGCACGCAGGGACTGTGGGAAGCAAGGGCGAACGGGAACCATTCAGGGTAGACTTTGGTGATGTGCTAAGGTTAATGCATGGCTTCGTGGGGACAAGCGACGGCCTTTCAGCTGCTTCAAGAAACAAAAAGAGAGGGAAGTTTGCAGAGGAGAATGGGTGGGATCTTGTTGACATCGAAGAGGGGGAGGAGGGTCGAGACAAGCAAACGTAGATATATGCACACTTGCATTTGTATCATTATTCGGACATCTACATACTTAGCATAATAGAGAACTCTCAGTTTAGCGCCACTGCTGCTTGCCGTTGATCAAAATCAGACACAAAAGATTTGTATTGCTGGTTGCAGACTGACAGTTTCGGTAAGGTCATCTGACCACACGGACTGACTTCGAGATAAATGGTAAGCCCACTCGTGTTTTTCATTTCTGGGAGCCTGGTGTCCGATGCTCCTTTTCTCTAGGGGGGAGGTGCCAGATATCCTTATCCGAAACACGTTTGGACGCCATCAGGTTGGTTTGTATCCTGAATATTGGAAACAATTTGTGCTCAGAAGTTTCTATTCTGCTTGATCGCCCTGTTCGTTCAAACAGGGGGATGGTGGACACGTCCATCAAACTGGAAGTCCAATACTGCCATTGTTGGCCTCGGCATTGCAGCTATCACATACGTGACCTGGAAGTACAGCGCCGCTCGAGAGGTATAGAACGTTTCCTCATTATCGCTGAGACACCTGTTGTTAACCATCGCTTGCTCGTTCTTGATCTTACGAACCGCGTATCCAGCATCGTCTGTCTGACCCTATTAAGCCTATTCCTTCCCAGCTGGTACGTGTCCTCGTCACACGCTCCGTTCTCAGACCCCAGATATTTACCTAAACTCAGTGGGCCAAACAGTACCAAGACCGACAGTCGCAGTCCTAGTACAAGATCGCAACCCAATTGTATCATATAGAGTTGCACCATCTTTCCACCTTTGGGCATATGCTCAGATGCTGACCATGGGAAAGTTAACGATTGGTCCCAAGGCAATATTTTATTTGCAGGATCCTGTATAATGGCAAAACAAACGTGAAAGCGTAGACCTCCAGGATATTACAACTCGAAGAACATTCAAGTGGTTTAGTCAGAGTCATTATCCTGGATCGTGATCATGTCATTTAGACTATCGTAAGTTGTGGGGATTGTTGGTGCTTTTACAGTCGAGTTCGAGAACATTCAGATGGCTTACCAGCGAACCAAAGGTCTCATGACCTCTATGATCTCCATAACTCGATCAATGAACTTGGGCGCCAGGACTCCTCATCGTGAATCTGCCACAGTGTTACTGGGGGAATGCCATCAGATAAGACGTCACCCACCGCTTCACGACAGCCACACTCCTTAACTTCAGAAGATCAATATCCCTAGTTGCGAGATTCTGGAATGAGATATTGTTTCTCCATGGTACATAACAAGACTCACGGATGACTCTTGCTAATTCCTTTCGGTGCCACTTTCAGTTCATCCTCACCACCGAACACATTCCTCCTGAGTCCCTTTGGGTGAGGCTTTGGTTCACCGAACAGCTCCACAAACTCGGGCGCCGAGACAATATCCCGAAGTGGTGTCGCATTAGTAAGGATGTTATGTCTATCACCCCAATGCAATTCAGCCCAGATATGGTGGGTGAGACTACGAAATGTACCTCAGGGTCGAAAGCTCGTTTTTCTCAGGTGCCCATAGTCCAGCGGCCACAAGACTTTCCCCATTTGCCTTGACTAGAGGCAGGTGTCATAAGCCGCAACCATGAGCCGAATGTCTTAGGATACTCGCCGCATCTGTGAAAAAGGATCGTGTTCGAAATCGATATCAGGGTAAATTAACGCAGAAGAAGTCTGAACGGACATATGGTCTGCAGTGAGATTATCAGTTCACGATCGAAGAAACTTTCCGGGACGCACATCCAGCGAAAATTCCTTTCCTTCCAGACCTTGACGTGCTGGCCGAGAAACCTGTCTTGTACGGAGTCTTGTCATTACTGAACCGGACCTAAGACAAGCAACATGAGCAATACGGATGGCCAATGAGCTCGTGCACACCCACGTCACGGTAAATGCGATGGACCACATCTTTAGCCGGTAACGGCGGTATTTCGTCGTCAATTTCGATAATCTTGGCTATTAGGCTATCAATGAAGTCGAGCCATTCCTGGAAACGGTCTCAGTCCGTCACAATCGTAGCCGAGAGTCCCTTCATACCCTTTCAGCTAGACGAAAGACAGGGTCTGATAACTGAACGTCTTAGAAACCATCATTCCCCGTGAATTGTATCATTCCTACCATGCAGTTTGAACCACTCCCTATCATTGCACTTCGGGTTAGTAAGATTGCGGAGGAAGTTCAACGTGTTACGAGATATTTGGCCGGGGGGAACTGGCAGAAACGCTGTTATGTATGCAGAAGGAGATGGAATAAGATATACCTCGCCCAGTGGTAGGTGCTTGGACGATCTTGCCCACGACTTTCACGTTAGAACTCTCATCCGAAGAGTCCTCTACGCCTTCGCTCTCGTCCTCATCAACGCGCTTTCGCTTCTTGACAGGCGTGGTTTTGTCCTGCTGGATGCCTCTCTTCGCCGGTGTTCTCCGTGAAGGTGTCATTGAAGACAACTTGGAGACAACACGAGATTTAGGGGGAGTGACGGGATCAGGACTTCCAGAGTTTGACTTATATTTCCGTTTAGCAGGCGAGTTGGCGTGATAGTCCAAGCCAATGTCTTGGTCTTCCTCATCCAACGCGTCGCTATCAAAGTCCTCAGCTCGGTGAATACTCGTCGATGATTTTGACGTGGAGCGGCGGTCACTCTCGTTGTTATCTTTTGTCGGTGCTTGATATTCGGCGTCTGAATCCTCCGCAGAGGAATCATCTTGAACCTCGAAATCTACATCTTCATCATAACTTTCTTCACTCTCCTCCGGTGTGGTATTTCGGCGTGTCTTCTTCTTTGGGGGTCGCTCAGCTTCCCTGAAGCCTTGGAGGTTTTGGCTGGCGATTGTGGAGCTTTCGACCGTGCCATAGAGTGGCCCAATTGTCAGACGCGCTTACGTAAAGGCCAGGCAGAGTAAAGATTTGGATGCGGACTACAAATGACCAGCTCTAACAGGCACGGTGCCAAACGAGGTGGAGCCGCAAATTTGGGCGCCCCACGTGCCCGTTATATAGGTAACTAGTTTCGTACATTTTCCACACTGTCCAGATGAATATTAAGAAATCCTTCCCGCCTCATGGCTCGATCTTTCGAACATCTGGTCATCCAAACGTGCAAGTAGAACCCTCGGAAACCACAATCCCTGTAGTCACGACTTGTCATACGTAGGTTAGTGCACCAGCTTCTCGATAGCGAGCTTGATGGTCTGAATCTGGCTGAATAGTTCTCGGGCCTCGTTCGTTGTCACGCTGGCAGCGATGACGGGTCGAGTTACGCCGCACGCACGGCCAAGAGCCATCTTCGAACGAACAAAAACATAGGGAACATTCTAAAGGCGTGAACGATGCATTTTTCAGTATCAAACAACGGTCCCGAGCAAAAGTACCGGATACCTTGTCTTCGCAAAGAAGCGGGAGGTGTAGCAAGATCTCCAATGGCTCAGTATCGGCAGTCATGATGATAAACTCAGCAATACCACGGTTCAAAGTTTTGGTGGCTGGGGATATGATGTTAGAAGCAAGAAGAACAATTCTCGAATTCCCTACCTTCATTAGCACCCTTCTTTAGCTGCTTGTATGAAGAGGCCTGCTGCACAAGGTCTAGAATCTTGGAAAACAAGGGGATTCTTATGTTGCCGCCAGGAATTGCTTTTCATTTCAAAGCATACCTGGTTGGTGAGGGTTTCATCCGCAAGGGGATAACAACGAGAATCGATCTCTTCAGACATTCTACACGTCTAGAAAAAAAGGCTGAGAGGGCAAGTCGGGTGACCTCACGAGGAGATCCTTGGTCACCTTTGTTGCAAAGAAAAAAGAGTGAGGAATTAATGGATCAGGGTTCTTCAAGTCACATGCGTGAATTTTTAGCGCCAAGGATTTTCTAAATTCTGCCTGTTCAGCAAAACCTGGAATTCCAAGTGCCATGGATGATTGGAATGACACTAGAACCAAGCTATTGACTCTTCTAAACGTCAGCCATCTCAAGTCCACCAAACGGAAACTGGAAGAGAACCCAGAAGCTGCAGAATCCTTCGAAGCACCGAGGGAGCAACGCGTTAAGCTCAATCAGCGTCGGAAGGTAGTCTTGACGGACAATGGTGTGGAAAAACCGGAAGGCGAAGAGGTTGGAGAGGGCGTAGGGGGTCCTACGACATCCCAAGTGGAAGAAGCTATCGAGGAGGCTGATGACCAGCTTAACAATGCCGGTGACGCTGGTGAAACTATCGAAGGTGTGCATTACGGTGTGGATCCTCACGTACCACGTCTGAGTCATATCCGTGCTTTTAGATGATTGTGATCCTGATGTCTTCGATCCTTTTCTACTCCATTTTGGAGCAAAGCCTACTCATCTGTCCGAATCCTCACGCAAAGCTGTTGAGGGTGGATTGTGGAAACGGAACACATTGGGACCAAGGAAGATTCCTCAATATAATTCTACCCATAATGCTGTGGAACAAGTTCCTCTTGATGATGATTCAGAAGGAAGTCCGTCCGAGCCAAGCATACCGCCAGCGAGTTACAAGAGCTTTGTTAGTGCCTATCGCTCATCACTTGTGGCACTTGTATCTTACTCCAAAATTGGCACCAGATGCACCCGAGGTTGTACTCGGCATTCGACCAACTTTACCAATCTTCCTCGAAAGGTACATACCACTCGTTATTCTCGCCACCCTAAACCATCCATCAAGTGTGATGCATCGTTCTTCAGATACGCAACCTTTACTAGCAACGATGTTTGATGCATCTGTCAAGTCAATGGACGTGCAGGTCTCCAGGGTAAAAGTGTCCCAACACGAATCGACAAGGAATTTTGCGAGTTTGCTCGCGTTAAACCACATCATAAAGTGAGGTTTTCTTCTCACGGCTAATATGGACATTGGCTAACAGGTATATATCTCATCTCAGATGTACAGATTTAATCAGCAAACATGACGAAATCCTAGCAGCCAGGTCAAAGGCTTCCAAACCACTTGGCCCAGACGAGGAAGACGAATTCCGTGACCAAGGCTTCACACGACCGTCCGTCCTCATTCTCCTACCGTTCCGGAATTCCGCTCAAGCAGTAGTCAAACATTTCGCCGAGCATTTCCGCTCCATGTGGTCCTCAGAGAGCAGTAAAGTCCGCGTGCAGAACTTTGAAAAATTCATCTCGCAATTTTCACTGCCCGAAGAGGCAACGAATAAGCTAGCGGAATCGGCACCTGGAGCCTTTCCCGCTGATCATGTCCATACGTTTGTGGGTAACGTCGACGATAACTTCAAGATTGGTATCAAGTTGTCGAAAAAAACCATGCGTTTATACGAGCATTTCTATGGGTCACACTTGATCATCGCGAGCCCTTTGGGGTTAAGGCTAGTTATCGAGGAGGAAGGGTAGGAGTGGATCCTTTGCAGCTTTTTTGAGTTTTTTGATGATTTTCACGTAGATCTGATTTCCTGTCGTCCATCGACATTGCAATTCTGGACCAGGTGGATACTTTCACGATGCAGAATTGGGATCACGTCAAGGTGTGATGGCTTACCTCCCTTCTTAAAACCCCCCCTTGTGGACTGACCGTTTTGGTTGAATTCATTCGTCGGACAGTTTGTCATGTCTGAGCTTAACAAAATTCCCAAGGACTCCCATGACGCTGATTTCTCGCGTGTAAAGGGTTGGCATCTGGACGGTCAGTAAGTCGAGCATGTTAATTCCCCAGGAGATTACATCTTGAGCGTAATGTTCTCATTGAATCAAGTGCCAAGCACCTGAGGCGAACCATTATGATGACATCGTATGAGACACCCGAGATCCGATCATTATTCACTTCGCTACAGAATGTGTGTGGGAGAGTGAGGACAACACATTCTTGGGAGGGTGTCAAAGTCCCCGAGGGTATCGAGCAGGTTCGTGTTCTGTCTCGCCGCTAAACCTTCCCCTAAGTGAATTTTTTCTTGTTCCTGGACGACCTCTCCAGTCTTATGTACGGTTCGAAGCTAGCAATGCAGTGGACGAACCAGACAAACGGCTCGATTATTTCACCCAAAAGGTTAGTTCATGCTCGATGGCGATAACACTCTTAATCCCAATCTCTTCCTGACTTTTCTTGTCCCAACAGCTCGTCCCGGCGGTTCTTAAATCAGCAGTACAGAGTTCGGGAACCGTTATTTTCATCCCATCTTACTTTGGCTTCGTCCGAGTCAAGAACTGGCTGAGGGAAAACAAACACATCAAATGTGTCTTCGTTTCCGAGTGAGTTTTTTTCTCCATGATTTTCGACATTTCTGTAATCCATGTTCTGACGGAATCATGGCATAGACATACCTCAAACCCGGATATTCAACGAGCCAGACAGGAATTTGCCTCGGGAAAGAAAGACTTCCTCGTCGTCACTGAGCGACATCAATTTTTCCGAAGGTGCGTTATACAATTAGATATAGTGTACGCAGCGATCGAAAGTGTTTATTTCAATCTCTCGCTACGATGTCCTATAGGAGTCGATTTAAGGGTACCAGGAACATCATCTTTTATGGACCTCCGGACCATCCCCAGTTCTACTCCGAGTTGCTGTCGTGGCCATTCTTAGAACGGGGGGTCGAAGGTTCGGATGTCACGGTAAAGGTATTGTATTCGAAGTATGATGCAATGCAGTTAGAACGGATTGTAGGCACCCACGCAGTGGCGCCATTAATTCGTGGAGAGAATGATCTGTAAATATTGGAGGGGAAAGGGATGAGATATTGTTTTACACAGCACTTGGCTTTTATTAAGGATCACACCTAATTGTAACTTGAGATCCTGTTATGACTGTTTATGCTTTGCATCCCAAATGGCCAGCCGTAAGCGCATCCCTTCTTCGCCGAGTGTCGTGTCCTTTACACCAAGCAAGTACTGATCAAGCCCTCCGTACTTGTCGATCGTACGAAGCACACGAGGAGTGACTTTGAGATGAAGGGTCTTGTTCAGCGTTTCGGAATAGAGTCGCTTGGATTGAATATTCGGGAGCCAAGTGCGAGGGGTTTTGTGCTTTGACTTGGGGACGTTGTTTCCGAATTGTTTGATGGCGCCACCAAAGAGACCTTTCTGAGCGCGTTTGAAGATGTTTTGAGTGGCTGAAAGTTGAAAGGACGGAAACATGGTAAGGATTAGGGGAAATCTCCTATAAAAATCCATTTAGGCGGTGCAAGGGAAAAACGTATGTGAAGACCAACCGGCGCACTGGCTCAATCGCTCCGGAAACTGTCAGGATCTGTGGCGCTGGGAGAGTCAACTCCGAGAACGGCCGTGGGACATGTCAGGTGATCGGAGAGTTCCAGTCTCGTGAATTCTAATATATATATTTTGTCTTAGAACGTGGCCAATTGAATTGGGGTTTCAAAGCAATTGGGGAAGCGTGAAACCTGATGAGCAAAGTTTGGAAGGTACGACCAACCACATGAAATTAGACCATTGCCATCAGCGCTTCCAATATCTTCCTCACTGCCAAGCAATACTGATGCACTAAGCAACTTGCCTCTCACCATCCTCCAATCCTAATTCATCTCAACTTCCCCCCAACCGCATCTACCGGGTGGCTTAAGAGAAGGAACCTCGCACTTCTAATTCCCCTCTGCAAATCATTCATGTCGACAAATCACCACCCAATACGGGCTCACTTGCGGTCTCTCATACCCTCTCATCGACGTGCATTCTTCCGTGCCAGAGTCATCGTTCACGAACTCATCAACATTCCCCTTGTTTCCGGCGAGTTTGCCCTAAAATGGCGCTTTCAGCGAGCGCAGCCCGTACATCCCGACTATCTGTCAGCAGCCCTCAAAGACAAAATAAAGGATAACGAACAGCTGTCTTCCGTCGGTACTATCGAGGACAACAGCTCCGAGCAAGACTCACTTGCTGAGTCAACAAAGGCTTCGTCTGGATCATCAGGAGCATCCTCGCCACTTGAAAAGCACCCCGCTAAATCGTTCCATAGCGACATACCATCTTATTCACAGTATCTTGCGCCAGAAGTTGCCTCATCGGTTACCAACAATCCATCTGAAGACATCCTCGAAGTTCCTGATACGTGTACCACTGCTCCCAGGGGAGTCACGAAATTTTGCCCACTCCTGCTAGACCACACGGTAGAATACAATCACCGCATTGATGTGAACTTGGATATCACGGTTGACAAGGAGTCATCGGACTTGCATCCTTCCGAGTTCAAGCTGACCGTGCTGCAGGAGGCTGAGGAACGTGATAGTGATTCATCATCCTCGTTTGGTGGAGTTGTCATCAATCTCTCGGAATATGTGAATGCTGGCATCGTTACTCGGCACCACTTGCTGTGCGGAAGTAAAACCAATGCCGTGCTCAGAATCACTATCCAAATGCGTCACATTGGGGGCGAATCGCAGTTTGTGGTGTAAGTTCGGCCCCGGTCGCAAGGTCTTATTGTAAGCAGGCCTGACTACTATTATAGGCCGCCTCTTCTAGATACTCCGATCATGTCGGGCGTGTCAGGGCTGCTTGCACGAGATGGATTACGACAGAGCGCCCGTGCGTATGATTTATTCTTCCCTACCCCTCCTCTCTTCACTGACGTGGTTCGTTCATAGTTAATGCCGAGGCATTCCGTTCCCATAATACGCCAGCTTCGAGAGGCTCACCAGTCCCAACTCCCAATCGACCAGCATTTCTCCCTCGAAATTCAATTCTGCAACTACCTTCCCAAGCGCCATCTCCTGTGGCTTCCGCCTCAACGGAATACATCATTGACACACTATTCAACCCCAACACTAGCCCTTCGCCTCCCAACACTGCGCCCCCACTCACAATCCCGTACAAGCCCCATCTATCAAGTGATCACAAAGTTGTTGCATCGGAGATCAATTCGACGCCGATCCCCATGCCGCCCGTGGTTCAATGGATTCGGATCATTCAACAACTGTAGCGTCCATGAACTCTGTAGGAAGTGAAGCAACGAAGTCTCGTGTGCATTTGTTCAAAAAGCCGTTTCCCCATCGAAATGATTCTTCGTCCTCTTCGAGTGGGAAATGGTGGAGAATAGGTGGAGGGAATTCGAGTAGATCCTCTTCTCCGGTCCCTTTGTCTGCGCCTCCGCTGCAAACACGCATGGAAATACCTTCGCCCGGAGGGATGCCGTTGGTGTCCCCCCAGGAGGGCCGTTCGCGGGGGGTCGAGGGAAGGAAGACGCCGATGTTTGCTAGGCCATCAACGCCCTTCTCCACAAATCGGAGTGGGAATAGAGCTCCCACTATCGCGATTACAGATACGGATAGTTTGGGCAAGAGTGTCACGTAATACATTGCCCGATGGCATGGGGGTTATTTCCCCAATGATTTGGTATTGTCACATGCGCACTTTGTCTCATTGTTCCGCTCAGGCATTCTGTTTTTCGTGGCTTTCTCTGCACGGCTTCTGGCCGTATTTCACTCCGCTTCATTTCTTTTTTTTTTTTTTTTTTTTTTTTTTCCGCTTCATTTCGTTCTTTTTCTACGTGCCGACCTGATAATACGCTCACTGGATGAGCCCAGTTCGCATCCATCTTCGCCCTTTTTTCATTCTCCGGTCGTGCGCCACTTTCATTCGACATTCCACGCGTAGACACATTCATTCGGATCCCATCACACTTCCCTGGAACCCAAACCAACCTTACTAAAAACAGTTATTATAAAGAAGTGTATCTGAGGTATATTAATGACATGTATGATCCCTATCCGATGGTTGATATGTAGCTGGTTAATTGAGATGTGTACTTATGTCGCGTGGATAGTATGACAAGACATGCGGCTCTCATTGCACCCAGGGCGGTCGGAAACTCCGGCATGTTAAGCAAGGGGTCCGTTTTGGTACTGCGAGTCGTTATCATCTTGCAGGATGGAAGATCGAGCCAGTGGGGATGTGCACGATGTCTAATGGATGATAGACGTGAGGACAGCTTTAGTGCATGATGTCATCTCCGTCGTTGATAGTTATTTGGTTCGGGCCACTCAGGCAGGTTACCAGCCTCTATTAGTATAGATCTCACGAGCAGCCTGAAGTCTGCAGGTTAGCCTAGTAAGCAAGAATTAAACCTCGTGCAACTCCCGAGCCCCGGGAATTTATTATCCCACCTTAACGGAAAAATGCCTGTGCACAATGGCCAGCAACATTCGTCGCACTTGGCTCTCGCTCTCTGTTCCTTACTCGCACAATCTGAAAGCTTCAGCAGACGTAGGAAATAACAGATAGGTTCCGGAATACTCGTCCTCCTTCGTCCGAGTATTGCATGCCACGCATTTTTCTCGGTCGGCTCCGCCTCGCCCTCCATACTGAAATCCTCAATAATACATTTGCGTTACTTCGATCACTGACCACTGAGGAGCGGTATGGACACCGTTTGTAAATCTCTGAGACACGCTGGAGATGCGTAGGCACAACATTCGGTAGTAACACCAAAAAACAAACTAAGATGCCCCATGGACGATTTCACCAATTAACGACTCCGATGAACCTACAGACACTCTCCTTTAGTATGCCGACGAAGGAACACACCGGGGGTGGGGGGGGGATAACGTGAACCGGTTCTTGAACCGCAGGGTCGTCCAAGGAATTGTAGCCTTGTCGACCATGTACCAGGCGTGTGCTCAGCTGGTGCTTCAACGTGGAGGCACGCTCTTTTCATCTAGCCCTCTTAATGAGTGAATTAAGTTTCGTAGTGGGAATACTGACAATTCCAATTTCGATTCTCTAGTCATTGCGGGTCCCGGGTGCTGATGATCCAGATTGATCTCAAGGATATCCTCGTTATCCAATTCCGCCATACTTTTGCAACTAAATTCGCATTCACTTCATTGTCAACTCCACATCAAAGGATAAGGATCAAGCTATCGGATCAACATGGAGATCATGCAGGCTCGAAACCACAACGACTCGGCGGTGCTTGGCTCGTTAGGCATTGATTCCGATTCGGATGCCTTACATACTAAGTGGGAATCGAATCTAGGACTCAGGAGGTCATAGCTACTGGACACCTTGGCATCTCCTTCCTGGTCACCACCGGACTCCTTGGAAACGTAGAGCAAGAGACAAACGCCCCCACAAGCTCGGCCAATGAACAGCACTTTGTTCTATGTGTCTACCTTCGTTCAGGCCATACTTACTACCAAGTCCTCACCTATGCCTCTACGGACCTCGTTTCGGTTACATTGAAAGTAAGAAAGCGATCAGCCTCGCCGAATGCCAATTTCCGTGGTAGTTGTACCGCATCCGACATCTAGTTTGGTTCTCATATGCTCAGCCTGTGTTGATTGATGTCCAAATTTAGACAGTGTCTGTTCTTTTTAGTTGGAAGGTCACGTCTTCTCAGAATCCCGAGAGGATGGTACTATGACGGTGCCGTTGTGTGCGTTGTGCTTTCGGACTGGTGTCCTAAATTCGAAACCCAAATCACTCAATTCATCCCAGCGGAAGACCCGCTGCGTAAGTCAATTCGTCTGGGTGCATGCATTGACTGAGTTGCTCACGAAGCGATGAATGCCAACTACCCTAGTAGGGCGTGGGTTCTCCACTCTTAATCTTTGGTCCAAATTACACATCCCCAAGTACCACAGATACGTCACCTCATAAACATAGTTTAAGTTGGCTAATAGTACGAGTCTGGTTCGAACCACTTCAGGACCGAATTGAACTGTGAGAGTACTGAAATGCAGCCCGATTCGATTACGTTCTGGTTCTCAAAAACGATCTACCCCTTAGCTAGATGCAGCGAGGTTTACTTTAGTGGGTATACCCAATCTACCACGATGGATCCAGCATGAACCCCACATTCGGCAAGATGATGATGTGTTCATTTTAAAGTACACTTCCGTCCTATCAGCATATGCTGTACTATACATGACTCAGTGTGAGATGAAAGGATAAATGGGGAGAGATATAGAAGGTTGTGGGTCATCAAGGCTCGGTTGTGGAGGCTGGCTGGTGCGGCAACGCATTCCCTCATATGTGGGCCTCGATGGCTGACAAGGACATCTCTCGACAGCTCCTCTAGGCCACTCACACACCTTACCATCTGGTACCCTTTTTCTGGAGGTCCACCCTTCACCTCAAGCCTCAGACAGTCCTGCGGAAGTTACAGACGAAAAAAAGAAGAAAGAAAAAGGAAAAGAAAGTAAAGAGGGCCAAGGTGGCAGCCACGGCAGCAACGATGGCAGTGACCATGGTAGTGGTACTGTGGTGGTGATCGTAGTGGTGACTGTATGACCGTGATGGTGGTAGTGGTGATGGTGGCCGTAATGGCATCGCATACTGCGGCGGCGACGGTGGCTGTAGTTGTACCACTCGTGTTGGTCGTGGCGATATTGACCGTATGGATGGTGTTGAGGGTGGTGATGGTCGCCGTCGCCGTCGCCGTCGCCTAGTACTGCTGATGCTCGAAGATCTGTCTGAGGAAGGGTAAACCTCCATGGGTGGTGGCGGCACAACAGAATATGAGCCTGGAATCGCTGTTCTTTCAAGAGCATGGGCATGCTCCGAGGACAGAGCCGGCAGAGAATCACCATCCGGTGCGATTGGGTGCCAGAAAGAGAATAGGCCACATGCAAATGTAGGAAATTCGTTTGGGCCAAAGCATTCACGAAGGTAGAGGACCCGATCATCTACGAGCTCTGCGATTTTTAAAATAGTTTCTCTTCCAGTTACGAAGTTGCGGGTCCCCCCCTCCGGGATAATCTCCTTTGTTGCGGATTCCGCATAGTGGTTGACGAACACATAAAGGAGTGGAAGTAAGTGCTGAACAAGTCGGTGGAGTGATCAGTGCTCAGTAGCTAGGGGAGTGGACACGAACCCACATGCTCTAATGGTCCTTCTCCAATTATAGCAGATAAGGCGGCGGCTCCGTCAATCTCCCAACGCGCGTTGGACAGCTTCTGTGCAAGATCCTTTTCTCGTTCCCGCATTCGCGAGCGCAAAAGCACAGACAACGGCTCGTGTACTTGAATGTCCCGTATCCGACTGGGAGGAACAACAAGTGGGTATACAAGCCCCTCGAGAACTATGTTGTTGAGTGTGCTCAGATATTCATGGACTGATCCAACTATCGCAGGCGCGATGCGTCCTTCAGCGGCACTACGGTTTAGAGCACCAATACTATTCAATATCTCCTTTTTATAACTAGGACACAATTAGCGGATAGCTCTACTTTCTGATATGAGCTACTTACTGGGCTGCCTCATAACTATATCTCGCAATGGAGTATGCAAGCCAAACAGGTAGACTGTCTCATGATGAGTCTCAAGGTTGTGGTTGATGGGAGAGTCACATACGTGTGCCCTGCGGGCTTTGTTTCCGTGAACTTGTTTATCTCCTGGACACTGACATAGCTGCTGTGATCGATGTCGATCGCTTCTAAAAGGGCATTCCTATATGATACCCCCAAAAATTTCAAGGTCCAGTGATCAGAAACAAGCTCTGGATGGCCAGGGGATTCTATACAGTCGCTCATGTAGTCCCGAACGGCCTGAACGAACACTGGGCCGGAGACAGAGCCTCTCCACTTCTGTTAATTGAAGATGGGATACTCAATAAGTTCGCATAACACACTGTCCAAGGATACCGTACCTCTGTTTCCCAGACGGCGCGCAAGTATGGATCGCTAACTCCCTCATGTGGACCAGCATCCAACTTTTGAAGGATACGAGAAGTGCCCATCCGTATTTCCTTCGTGATCACGGCCGTTTGGTGGTCTAATTTCAATTTCCAAATCATCGAATGGTTTTTTAGCAGCGCGTCAATCCCTGTATTCAAAGCGACGGTAATTTCTTCTCTGCACCGCGTCACAAGCCCCAGGTCAACATACTGGCCAGGTTGGGTGGCACGGGGAATAGGTGGCGGGTATTCCAAGGGTCGACGGGTGGTTTCGAATTGCGATACTGGTTGAGCCATGGATGGATAGGCGGGCCCCGGCGGATATTGTGAGGGCTGACGGAAGCCTTCGGTTTGCAACACAGGCTGGTACATGGATGGATAGGTAGGAGGGAAAGGGGTAGCTTGGGCATACCGAGTGCGCACGCGGCGAGACCCAATGCCAGCTCCACGAGTTTGAGGTAAGTCATACACACCATCATAATTGTCATCTACGAAGCGGGTCGTAGGCCTTCTACGGTCGTGGTGTTCCGTAACAGCGGGCTCGACTTGGTAATCGATGGATGGAAAGGGATCGTCAATTCTCCTCTCAGAAACTGCAATCAACCCCTGAATGAGATTATCGTCTTCCAGACAGCGGCCGATTCCACCATGCTGCTGAATATAACGATCCATCTGGTACTCCAAATCCGTACGTTTTTTCAATAATCCGAGGACTTGATCCAGTTTCTCATCCGAAGCCTTCGCCCTTTCATTGATCTCCTTTGTAGACTTGTGAATGATGACAAATATTGCATCATTCAGCCTCGTTTTGAGCTCAGAAAACTTTTGGGCAAACGACTCGAATTTCTCCTGCCAAGACAAGGATTTAACCATTCGAACTGGATTCGCGGGGTAAATGGCTGCGAACGTTCCTGACTAAGCCTCGACTGACCGATAACTTTTTGTTTGAGGTAACAATCAATCATGTTCCCACAATCGTCTATCCCGCTCTAACATGTACGTTAGAATGCAATGAATATGAGTTTACTTGGAAGTTAAAATACCTTCATTTTTTGAAGAATTCCGACAATGCCAGTCTCCTCGGGTTCATCTGGAGCGGTCGATGACAGCTCAGTCAGCTGGCTCATCATATCTGCCATTTGATTTAGGAGCACCAGCGCCCTTCGATCATTCTTTAGACGCTGGAGCTCAATATTTATAATTGCCTATCCCAAGAGCATTCTGCATTTCTTTTCTTGCGTTAGGAAGTCGAGTGATTGCTCACTTTAAAGGGGATGGCGACTATGGCAACAAAGCTATGTACAGTCGCCAAATTATCCCTGGGTCGAAGGCTGGGTCAGAAGATGGATCATATGCCGCAGGTTTCGCACTGACAAGATGGAAACAAATGTGCTTAGGGGTGCGATGAGATCATCAGAGCTTCCAGTGCTGGCAAGACCCAAAATCTTGGAGAAATCAAAATTAGCGCCCAACAGGGCATTCTGTTTCGTACTGAAGGAGTCAACTGTCTCAGCTGTCATAGGTGAGCGTATATGCAACGGCGCTTTCTCAAGAGAGTGCTCACCAGCTTCGCTAAATTTGTTCTCGATAGTGCTCGAGTTTCCTTCTGTCAAGACTTTTGAACGCTCTTGCAGCGACCTTAGGTCTGGCATGACGGCTCTATGGGGACAACCGCACTGCCTTTCCCAAAGGAGGACATTCAGACAATACGCTGTTACATATTGAGACTTTGTGAGGCAAAGTCACTGGTTATTTGAGAAGCACAACTCTAAGCGCTGATAGATAGCATGTAGCATAAGGCTCTCGCAGACGCTTGATAACATTGTTTGAACACCCAATTGATCGGGACAGTTTCAGTAATGGTCCGCCGGGATCTTCCGGTTCATGACTTAGGCTGCTGTTATCCGAGCATACCTGGTATGCCCTATAGCTCTGGAGCCGAGCCTGTTCCTTCGTCAATCTCTACAGTCATTCTCAGAAATATCGGGAAAATGCTGAGGATTTTGACAAACGCAATAGAACCGCAGAACTCATCCCAAATATGTACCTGAGCGCCTGAACTTGCAGTAACGACCCATTCGTCTTGATCAGTCAGCATGATCTTGAACCCGCTGGAAAAGATATTTTAACAATTCGAGACCAAAACAAGCATTTAAACGATTCATGAGAGCCCCGGACCAACTTCGTGACGAGACAAGGGTGGACTCCAACGTGTATAGGCTAGAAACTATCTGGAGAGGGTGCGCGCTGATCTAATTTCTTTTGTCGACGACGTCAAGTCCATACTGAGTTTGCATCTGGGTGACTTCAACGCTAAACCTTTGTTTCTCCATGCTAATGAATGGGGTTACTCGCCTTGACCTGTTGCTGTCATTAGCGCCCTGATGCTAGCTCCGTTCATCTGGTATTGTGAATACGAATTACTCCATCGCCTCAGGAAACCTTGAGGTTACTGCAGGGCGAAAAACCAAAACGTTGCGATCTGGATTCGCCAGATTGGAGCGGAGGTAGAGCACCAGTGGAACACCCCACCTAGCCTGAGAGTCCTCCAGACGGCTCACAGTTTACATGCAAAGTCACTTAAGGGTCACATCACCGGTGTTTCTACATCGTAGGGATCTAGTGAAACGTCGGAGTCCCCGGCCAAAGCCCCTTTCGCCCAGACTTAAATTTCGCAAACCCCCTTCTCCCATGTCTTAGGCCATAATATCGATCTGCTCCAGAATCAGAGCCATGCGCGCTGATATGTCGAGGTGACCTGCGATCGGGAATAACATTGTCAGTGTCCGGAACTCCCTAACGGCCCGATGCACACCTTCGATGACGCTACTCAAGTCGACGTTCTCTACACCATCTACACCACCGATCGTATCAGTGGAGCATAAGCCACCAATCGAACCCATATTTGCTCCTCCCAGAACTTCGTGAAGTCTACCAACACTCGCTAGGACAAAGTCATTTGAACAGTATCTGTGTGGCGGGTGAGGACACCGCATATACTCCATATAAAAAGGCTGCTCACGCATTTACCATCCGTCGTCCAATCTGGCTCCTTGCCTTTCTCCATTCTTTCTTTGACGGGGCAGAGGGGAGCGATATCAGTACTGCAGTATCGACGAGGGGCCCAACGCCCCTCGCTCCGCCTTCCCCAACCCCCTTACTGTCTAATATTAAAAGAGCCTCAAATAAAACCAATGCTCCCAAGGAGAAACCGATCTAGAACAGGATAGGGAGGCGTCGGTGGGAGGTAGCACAGCTGCTGGATGGCATAACACAACATACCAGCGTCACGGGCCGTTTCCCTTGTATCCCATCGTGCAGAGCCTCAGCTAAAAGAATCGCAGCTTTTTGTGCTCTATCCTGGTAATACTTTAGAGGTTAGATTCTGCGGGTGTTCAGCTGGATGACCGTACTCGAGCTCTTATCCAATCATTGTCCACGATCAGCCCTAGAAAGGAGTGCCTCGTCGGGTCGAGACTCTCGAAACTATTCTTTTCTGACTAACCAGTGGCTATGTAGATGGAAACAGGCAATGAAACGGCCGCCACGACAGCGCTCAGCGCTGTGTGCTTGATAATCTCCATTTTTGCCTGCGTCACTAACTGTGATTTCACCCACGAACTCAGTGACTGGCCGATTATTAGCATTGCTAGGAGCAGAAACGTTAACGCACTCCTTGCCAGGTGATGTCAAATGGACTCGCCATCTGGAGAGTGTGACAGGACGAACAGATCCTGCTTGGACTCCTCAAACAATCTCCTACAAGCCTTTGCAGCATCTAATGACTCGTGCTCCGACTCAACTTGGATACCAGGGATGATAATTGACGCCTATTTCCGATTTCTGCTGAGCCTCCAAATGAGTGGTCGATGGAACTATACCTACGACAAGACTTGGTGCCTTGGGCCTAGGAGTCTCCCTGAGCTCAATGGTGTCCGGAAGCGAGGGTGATTCGTGCACATTGTGGGAGCCGGGACTTCCTGCAGCGTTTGGACCTGACAACTCTATGAAATCGAAATGCTGCACTCCTGCCCAACGTTTCCGCACACGGTATCCCGTCAGACCGCCTCCGGCGAGCCCGAAGAGACCACCGACGATGGCAGGGGTGACGGCTGTGGCGGAAATGAAGGGGAGTAGTGGAAGAAGTACTGGAGCGGCCAACCCTCCAGTAATGCCTATGGCAACACCACCGAGCTTTTTAATTCCACTGTCAGAATGGCCTATGTATATTGTGCATGTGTAGAATTGTCGGCTCACTCACCGCAACACCACCGACGGTAGCCGCCATACGACCCCATTTCCCTCCCCAGCCTTCTTCCTTGCTTCTGCGTATCCTTTCACTCTGTTCTTGCATAATTGATTCTTGTTTTTTTATTACATGAGCGTACAACTCCTCGCTTAGTGTACGCTCCGCATCTAACAATTCTTTGATAGAGATACCAAGTATCTCTAACGTCTGACTGATAAAAGCGCGATTGCTGGCTTCATAGGTGAGAGTAGTGGCTTCCTGGTTGGATTCTGGGTTGGAAGAAGAAATGGATCCTGTACAGGTCGCCATTGTCGTCGATAGTAATGTCAAGGCGATCAAAGTGTGAGAAGACGGTGAGATAATGGAGCGGATTGCGACCACGTCGTTCCTGGTCAGATGCTCCGGAAGATTGTCAGGGTTGATGTGAAGCTATGATCCCGGGTGTAATGATATGTCAATTGTACTCTTCCGGAGTTTTGGAGTTGATTCTTACGCCTTTCAGTACAAGATCCAACCACAGTTCTCCGTGAAGAGACCACCAAGGGAGCAATGATTGAACTTGGCTATCTGACTGATCACCCGACGTCTGAAACATTGGCCCTGATTTGACGACGGCTTTAGCGGCAACAGCTGTCGCAAAGGCGTCTTCCCTCGACAGTGATTGCCTTGCGCTCATCATGCTAGAAGTCGAGCATACTAAAACAATCCTTCGATGATCTCATCAGCTCCACTTTCGCACAACGGAATAAATTATAATACAGTGGCGCAAATAGTATTAGGTTATTTAACACATTTGCGTTGCTCCGATCACTGACCACCGACAAACAGTACAGAATTGTTTGAAAATATCTGGAATATACGAGAGCTATGCAGGCACGGCATTCGGTAAAACGCCAGAAACTAAAATACCCCGCGGACAATTGACGGATCCAGCAGATCCACGCGGAAGACCGCAGATCCAGTGAAAGAACCCCATCTCGAGTTTCTCATTTTTAAGCTTTAGTATCTCTGCGAAAGAATATACTTAGCGAAGTCCTCAGAAAGGATGATATCACCTGACCAAACCTACTTCTCTGCGGGTCCCCCCTGACCTTCGGCGCCAAACTCAAGTGAATCTTCTTTTAATCCTGGAAAAGAAAGAGGGTCGAGATGGCGGCGACCATGGTGGCGATGTATTCTTAATGCCTAGGGGTCTGGCCGATGGGGAGGGAAGGTAGACCATTTCGGGTGGTGGTGGCTCCACAACTACCACAGGTGGCGGAAAAACAGGTGGCACCACAATAGGGTATGAGCCTGGAATTGCTGATTTCTCTACAATATGCACCGCATTGTCCGGACGCTCCGAGGACAGAGTTGGCAGAGGATCAACATCCGGTATGACTGTGCGCCATGAAGAGAATAGCCCACATGCGAATGTAAAGTATTCGAATGGACCAAGATATTCACGAAGGTAGAAGACCCGATCATCTACGAGCTCCGCGATTTTTAAAATAGTTTCTTTTCCGGTTCCAAAGTTCCGGGTCTCCCCTTCCGAGACAATCTGCTTTGTTGCCGATTCCGCATAGTGGTTGACAAACACATAAAGGAGTGGAAGTAAGTGCTTAACAATCGGGTGGGGTGATCAGCGCTCATTAGCTGCGGAAGTGGACGGGAACTCACATGCTCCAAAGGCCCTTCTCCAATTATCGCGGATAAGGCAGCAGGTCCATCAATCTCCCAACGCGCCTTGGACAGCTTCTCTGCAAGATCGCTTTCTCGCTCCCGCGTTCGCGAGCGCAAAGGAACATACAACGGCCCACATCCCTGAATATCCCGTATCCGACTCGGAGGAACAACAAGTGGATTTACAAGCCCCTCGAGGACTATGTTGTTGACTGTGCTCAGGTATTCTTTGACCGATCGAACTATCGCAGGTGCGACACGTCCTTCAGCAACACTACGGTTTAGAGCACCAATACTATTCAATATCTCCTTTCTATAACTACAACACAATTAGCTCACAACTCTGTTTTCCTATATGAACCACTCACTGGACTGCCTCGTAACTGGATCTCACAGCAGAGTACGCGAACCAAACAGGCAGACTACCCCATCATAAATAACGAGATTGTCGTTGATGGGGAAATCACATACGTATATCCAGCGGGCTTTGTTTCCGTGAATTTGTTTATCTCCTGGACACTAACATAGCCGCTGTGATCGATGTCTATCGCTTCTAAAAGCGCCTTTCTGTATGATGGCCCAAAGAATTCCAAGGTCCAGCGGTCACAAACAAGCTCCGGAAGGCTAGGAGATCCTATACAATCGCCCATGTAGTCCCAAACAGCCTGAACGAACATTGGACCGGAGACGGAGCCTTTCCACTTCTGTTAATTGAGAGTGAGATACTCAATAAGCTTCACACCGACCGCCCAAGGATACAATACCTCTGTGGCCCAGATGGTGCGGATGTGTGGGTCGCTAACTCGATTATGGGGACCAGCATCCAGTTTCTGGAGGATACGAGAAGTGTTCATCCGTATTTCCTTCGTGATCACGGCCGTTTGGTGATCTAATTTCAATCTCCATATCACCGTGTGGTTTTGCAGCAGTGCGCCAATCCCTGTGTTCAACGCGACGACGATGTCTTCCCTGCACTGCGTTACAAGTCCCAGGTCAACATACTGGTCAGGTTGGGTGACACCGGGAATAGGTGGTGGATATTCCGAGGGTCGACGGAGGGCTTCGGATTGCGATACAGGCCGAACCACGGATGGGTAGGCGGAAGGGACGGGTCCAGTTTGGGCAGCCGGAGAATACCAGGTGCGCGCGTCGCGAGACCCGTAATATCCCATATACCCAGTATTGATTTCACCAGGGATTTGAGATAAGCCATACACGTTGTCACCATTGCCATCTGCGAAGCGCGCCGTAGGTATGTTTCGCGACCATTGCCTCCCATAGTCATCGTATGGCATAATGACGGGCTCGGTTCGGTAATCGACGGATGGGAAAGGATCGGTAATTTTCTTCTCAGAAACTGTAATCAACCCTTGGACGATACTGTCCTCTTCCAGACAGCGGTCGATTCCACCATGTCTCTGAATGAAACGGGCTATCTTGTTCTCTAAGTCCGTACGTTTCCTTAATAGCACGAGAACTCGATCCAGTTTCCCATCCGAAGCTTTCGTCCTGTCATTGATCTTCCTTGTGGACCTGTGAACGATGACGAGCATCGCATCGTTCAGGCTTGTTTTGAGCTCAGAAAACATTTGGGCGAAAGACTCGAATTTCTCCTGCCAAGCCAAGGACTTAACGATCCGAACTAGATTGGCGTGAGGTAAGTGACTGCGAAGGTTCATAGGCAGGGCGCGACTAACTGATAACTTTTTGTTTGAGGTAACAATCAATCATGTTCCCACAATCATCTATCCCGCTCTAAAGTGTACATTAGCATGCCAGTAGTATAGGCTGACTTGGAAGCTAGGATACCTTCATTTTTTGAAGGATTCCCGCAATGCCAGTTTCCTCGGTTTCATTTGGAGCGGTCGATGACAGTTCAGTCAGCTGGCTCATCATATCCGCCATTTGATTCAGGAGCACTAGCGCCCTTCGATCATTTCCTTGACGCTGGAGCTCGATGTTTACAATTGCCTATCCCCAGAGTACTCTGAATTTCCTTTCTTGCGTTAGAAATTTGAGCGATTGCTCACTTTAAAGGGGATGGCTACGACGGCGACAAAGCTGTGGATAGCCGCTAGATTATCCCTGGGTCGAAGGCCGGGTTAGAAGACGGATCGTATGTCACAGGTCCTTTCGGCACTGACAAAACGGAAACAAATATACTCAGGGGTGCGATAAGATCATCAAAGCTTCCAGTGCTTGCAAGGCCCAAAATCTTTGAGAAGTCAAAATCAGCGCCCAACAGGGCATTCTGTTTCGTATTAAGGGAGTTAACTGTCTCAGCTGTCATGCATGAGCATATATGCACGGCTCTTTGAATGGTTCACGCGGCTATCAAAAAAGCGCTCACCAGCGTCGGTGAAATTGTTCTCGATAGTGTTCGAGTTCCCTCCCTCCAAGACTTCTGAACGCTCTTGCAGCGACCTAAGGCCTGCCATGATGACTCCAGTTACAAAGAGTCAGACACCGCCCTGGCCTTCCAAAAGAAGGCCATACACTGTTGCATTTGAATCTTCTCGAAGTGGCATAAGCTTATCACAGACGCTTGATAGCGTAGCGCCGAACCCTCCAATTCCTGTTCGCGACAGCTTCAGTATGCATTTTGGCCCACTTGTGGATGTTCTATAGACTCTTGATAGAGGCTGGCATCCTGCCTGGGTCGAGCTATTTGCGTGGTCTACGTAGGTTCCCACGGATTTATATAATTAACGGACTTGTGCGTCTCGGGCGTCGACACCAGACCAGGACCCACTTCCAACGCCCTGTTTTTCAGCTTTCTGGTCTCTGACCTATGCCCCACAGCTTCTGGGGCCGGCGGCGGAGTCTATCCCTACAATAATGTTGACACTGTGGAGCAACCATAGTCGTCCTCGAAAAACCTTGAGCATTTTTGAGTCTTGACAAACGCAGTGGTACCGCGCGCGAAAGTCCCAAAATGTGCATCTAAGTACCTGAATTTGCAGTATTTTGTCTTGTCCGGTCAGCATGGAGGAGGATCCTGGGCCTGTTGCCTTGGTTTCTATGTCTAAGGGAGGTTGCTTGCTTCGCAGGAGTGTCCAGACGCACCGTTCGATGGCTATTTTTGCACCCTGATGGATTACAAGTTCCCCCCTCAAAAATTAAAGCAAGCATTTAACGATTCATGGGGGCTAGGCCTCGTCTCACTGGTAGGGGTGCCGTGGCTCGGCTCGGAGAGCCGAACCGAAGGTCCTCAATCGCAAACGTGATAACAGGTTGGTTCATACTCAGTTGACTTCAATGTTAAACTTTTGTTCCTCAGACACTCCGTCTTGCCTGCCATGTCAATGGAATTGCCTCTATTGATATACAGGGAATTGTTGCCGTCACTTTAGAGGACCCTAGCCCTAGCTGTTTGTTAATTCAATCAGGGGAACCCCCTTCCGGGGCAATGATTTTTCCAAAGGGGGAATAATTGACTTGCCTAGCTCACCTTCGCGTTGGAGGATTCGAAGTCTTCGAATCGTCCCGCAGCGAATCTCTGTCAAGCCAACCTTGTATTGGCGATGGCGCCATACATCTGGCTACAATCACATACTTGCCCCATTTCCATGGGCTCCGACTGAAGGGTAAACGTTCAACGGCCTGTGTCTTTGATTTCCCGGACTTTCCTATATTCTCCCATAACGGATTCACCAATGCGTGTGGTGACGTGGGTCGAAATGTTGCAAAGGCTATACTTATTAATTCCATATATTCACATAAGCTACTATTACATCAGCCTTCGCTTGTGTTCAGTCCTGGCCAAATTGACTTCTGCCTAGTGGTACTTTCACACTTCGGTTCGTCAGCTTGCTCCTTGCGGAAATTATCGTAAATGCATGGAGATTGCCTGCAGTTCAATACGTGCTCGGATCCCTGCATCAACCACTTTTCGTGCTTTCCTCCTTTTTCTCGACAAGCCCTGAGCCTGGCACTGGAGCATAACGGAAAGAAGCGGTTGGTAAGATTCGACGTCTAGTGTAAGTCTCGCGTCAGTGGGAAGATCCATGCGGAACGTCCGATCGAATGCAACTACGGCTCCACTCGGCGTCGGTGCATCGGCGTACTGTTCGAAGGCTGATAGCCACGGCCCTTGGCTGCAATTGGATCTTCAGGCGTAATGTAGCAAAAGATCGTGCGTCTTCTTGGCAAGCTCAGGATTCCGGTAATTACGACCGGCGTAAAGGTCGCTCCCCTCCCTCCTTCCGATCGTGGCCTCTCCAGTATTATTGGTGGTACTACGCTTCTTTGTGATTCCGGGAAGCTGATTCGGCGCTTATGAACTCCACCTTCCCCATCGTTGTCATCTGGCTCTCGATCTCCGCTTTCGGCGTTCCCGCGGATGCCGTTGTTTTCTTTTGCTTCAGGTTTATCACCTTGTTTTTCCTCGTCCAGCTCGTCCAGTAGCTCTCGATTGCCAAAACTTCCCTCAGGCTCCGGTCCGGAGTATTGTACTTGGAAGATCTTGCCTCTCGTAGCATCCTCTTGAATGGACCATCCCCTGGGCGCCGGTCGAAGGGAGAGCCCTGAGTACAACTCATCGGGAATGTTTGGACCACTTGCTGTGATGATGTTACCCGGACCTGCTCGTGCGTCGCGAGCCTCTAGGCTGGAGCGGCCTCTGATGGGATTAACTTCATCCTCTCTGTTTTTGTCACTGCGCCCACACATAAAGCGATGTTAAATATTGGATGGGAGAACTCAAGCTCGACGTCTAGGTTTATTACTAACCACATCTCTTAGGCCTCCACTTACTCACTTGTTTAGGCTTATAAAGCAAAGCTTCGGTTGGTGAGTCTTTTATGAACGAGAAAACAAATGAGAAAAGTGTATTCGGATGTCACGATCTTAAACTCGTGGTAATAGTGGATAGTACAACGTTAGTAACGGTGAGCTTGTCATCGTCGATCAGGACGGTCGGCGGTCGAATCATTATGAAGACACTCTAGAAAGTGCGAGCAAAGATTTCTTCCATCAATGATCACCCGAATGAATTGAACGTAGTAGTGTCGGCGAATTGTGTCTTTATCTTTTGATGTGGAGTTGACAATGAAGTGAATGCGAATTTAAGTGCGAAAGTAATTGGATAACGAGGAAATTCTTGGGATCAGCAAACTTCATCTAGATCATCAGCACCCGGTACCCGCAGTGACTGAAGAATCGAAATCGAAATTGTCAGTATTCCCACTACGAAACATAATTCACTCATCAAGAGGGCTGATGAAAAGCGCGTGTTTCTGTGTTGAAGCACCAGCTCAGCAGAGCTGAGAACGGTAAGACACGCCTGGTACATGATCGCAATTCCTTGGCGACCCTGCGGTTCAGAACTGGTTCACGTTATCCTCCCACCCCCAACTTTGAGGACTAGAAGCGAATCGTCATAGGGTTGGTCAAGTATGATCCTATTTATGAACTCCGCCAAATAACCTTTCGCTGGGATACTAAAGGAGAGTGTCTGTAGGTTCATCGGAGTCGTCAATTGGTGAATCGTCCATGGGGTATCTTAGTTTTTTGGTGTTACTACCAAATGTTGTGCCTGCACATCTCCAGCGTGTCTCAGAGATTTCCAAACGATGTCCATACTGCTCCTCAGTGGCCAGTGATCGAAGCAACGCAAATGTATTAAGGGTTTCAGTGTGGAGGGCGAAGTGGAGCCGACCGAGCTAGAAAAATGCGTGGCATGCAATCTCATGCAATACTCGGAGGAAGGAGAATGAGAGTATTTCGGAACCTATCTGTTACTTTCTACGTCCGCTGAAGCTTTCAGATTGTGCGAGTAAGGAACAGAGAGAGAGAGCCAAGTAGCATCGATCTGCACAGCAGAAATATGGTAAGTGTCACCCTTGAACACTCCTGCGACGAATGTTGCTGGCGATTGTGCACCAGCATTTTCCCGTTGAGCCCGGATAATAAATTCCCGGGGCTCGGGAGTTGCGCGAGGTTTCTGGTTTACTAAGCGTGTGTGTGTATATGTAGTTCTGGATATTTAGCCTGCAGGCTTCAGGCTGGCTCGTGAGAGCGCCAAGGGCAGGAGTGGTCCGAACCAAATAACTATCAACAACGGAGATCATGCTAAAAAAAATCGCTTGCAAAATACTCAAAGGAGCGTAGTAAACACAAGTGGGTTGTTTGGATTTCGTTACTGGCCCTAATACTTTGGGTAGCATAGTTAACAATCCATCGCCGACAGAAGGGTACTCTCTACTTTAGTAGAGGCTGGGAACCTGCCTAGGTACTCCGATATTTATTGTCCTGTTTTGGCAGCTAGTGGTTAGGTCAGTACTGCCTTATATGTCGTGTGGCTGAGGTCTGCTCTTCGCCCACTGCGCCCTCCGCGATTGCGATGTCTGATCGATTGAAGTTGTTCAAAAGGGGAGACTCTCCTGTGCCTCCCGGTGGCCCATCGCGGCCCTCGTACTCTGTTCCCAATCTCCAGATCACTTCTTCTCCAACTGAAAACGATGCAACAACTGGCACAGATCACGGTGGAACCGATAGATTCCGTCTTAATCCTTTCACTACTCTTGGTAGTTCTCGAGGCCGGAAGGAGCGGGGGCCTGTTCGGCACGCTATAGCTCGGCTTTTCAGCAGAAGTCCCAGCCCCGATCCCACTCATACCGACCAATCAAAGTCCTCCGATCCCAGAAAATCTGACCCCTCTACGCCCGATCTGTCATCCCCAACCGTCACTGCCGGTGACGGGAAGGAAACAATCATCGCCGCCACAAGGCTCGTTCTCCAAACTGCCGCCTCTGCTCTTAAGTTCGTCCCTATTCCAAACCTCGATCAGATACCAAGTGTACTCTTGACATGGCTCCAAGTTTACGAGGTTCGCATGTGTTGTTGCGATTTTACGATCTAATGAAATAACCTCCATGTTTTCATGCAGACCATCGACAACAATGATGAAAATCTCAGGGGATTAGACGACGAAGTTCGAAACGCTCACGAAACGATCTTTGGGCCTCTCCAGTTGTGGACTGGCCAAGTTCCTTCCGAAATCGGTGATCTGATCCAACGATTTAACTTGTATGTGCATTCACTTCATCGTTCTCTCGCCCAAATTTCAACTCTCGGTCATAGAGCTCTAAAACAACAATTAAAGCAAATTGAGGCACTCAAACGTCGAAAGCTTGCCAAGAGGGTAATTTTAGTGACTGAGATAACCCAGGAAATAATCGCCGTGAAGTCGTGCATCCGCGATGCTATCTCCCGCTTTTCGGTTCGTTCCATCCACGTTTAGGTCGTTGGAAGATTGACCAGGGAATGCTCCATAGACTGCTGCGACAACTCTAAATCTCCTCCACACAGTTCGGCTCTCGGTGGATTGTTTGTTGTTTTCCATTGATTTCACCACTTGGAATTTAATGACATTTCAGATGAACTTTCAAAACTCTACAAAGCAAATGCGGAATATTCTGCCGTGAAAAGCAAGTCGAAATGCCTGGAAAATACGCGTGTCCAGATCCAGGAATTAATACTCGATCATTTGGAGAACCGGAAGCACCGATTTGTCTGGCTTCGCGGCTCACCGGGTACTGGAAAGACGGCTATATCAATGAGTGTTGCCTCGGCTCTCAAAAAACAGGGTCGCTTGGCAGCATCTTTCTTCTGGGACAAAAATCGGAAGGGTGAAGGACTTGCTTCGATTGAACACTTTCCCTCTACTCTTGCACGTCAGCTTGCCTTGTTTAATGCCGAATACGAGGGTCTTCTTGTCAGTCAACTTCGACAGTCCTCGGCACTGAAGGACCTCCGAGATTCCACTCTGGAGGAGCAGATGGGATATTTAATTGCCGATCTCATGCACAAACTTTTATCTTTGCGCGGGGAGCGTCCTGTCATCATCTTGGATGGACTGGACGAGTGTGGGGCTCAGGAGGAACTTGAGTCCTTAATGAAGCTAGTACTTATTCTTAATGAGCTGCCAGCCACATTCGCCGTGTTGGTCAGCTGTCGGCCAGAGTCATCCGTTGTGTCGGCTTGGGTTAGAGCTCGAGCCCAGGGTCTTGTCATACCCTGTGAAGACATGGACGTTGTCGCTGAGGAAGAAAAGTTCCACACTATCCACCGCATGGTGGAGGAAGGGCTTCGGGATTGCATCGACAACTCTTCCTGGAAACCATCAAAAGAAGAAGTCGATGCGTTTGTCTCAGCATGTCGTGGATTACCCATTATCGCCTCAATCCGAGTTCGGGGTGTCTCTGCTCGAACTCGTCGTGGTGAAACCCTTCGATCTGAGTTTGAATACTTCCGTGACCTCATCGATGCCCCCACCGACGTCAACTCAGAGTACTTGCGCATACTTCGCCGTGCCTATATGTTCGACTCACCTGGCGTCCCTCCACATACAGCCGAGAAGTATCGGCAAGTGGTTGCCACAATCAATGCGACATTCGAGCCACTAAGTGTGTTTTTTATATCGCAGCTGTCAGGAATTGCCGAGGAAGAGGTCCTAGCCATATTGGATCCAATTCGCTCAATTGTTGATCTTTCTTCAACAAGTGGCTTGGAACGTTCTTCGGAAAGTCCTTCAGATAGTCGTCCAGAAAGTTCCTCAGAGGAAATCCAGGGTGTCAAATTCTATCATGCAACGATGAAAGAGTTTATAACAGGGGATTCAGTTGGTAATGAAAACGACAAGGTATTCTTTATCAGGGAAGCGAATAAATATTTCATCGGACTGCCACTCCTCCGATTTTTCAATAATAGTTGTGAGCGGGATGTGTTTGGGTTGCCCACTGTTCTCCCTTTAGGAGATAAGGGGAAATGGAGAAATCTTCCTGAGAGAGAAGGTCGCCCCCCATATCGCCTCCGATGTGCCCATCACCTCCGATATGCTCGTGAATACTTATTAGAACACTTGGACCCCTCACAACTCTTTGCACAAGGGTCCAATCTGCAGAACGAATTTAATACATTTCTCACGCGAAACTTGGTTACATTTATCCACCTAGCATCGTTCGATGAATTTCGCAAGGAATTCCCTGATGGATTTGACGAATTCAAGGTAAATAAAATCGTCGTGTCATGATTATTTTAATATGATGTCATTTTAACAGAATTCCGATTCATTCAAACTTTTGAGAGAAGCTCGAGAACAGGAATTTGCGAAGTATGTGGGTATCGTGGCTGCCTTGGCATCATGGCACCTCCATCGATCGACCCTTCCTTTCACCCCATCCTCATCACCTTTTCATAAACTGTATGGCCATCTCTCTGATCCCGTCCGGATCTTCACCATTTCCGGCGAGTTCGCCGGGCACAGAATCCCATTGAGTGAGGATTTACTCAATGCTCGAATGGTCATGGAGGCGAAGCTACCTAATTTGCCAAAGAAGGCTGGTAGTTGGGATGATTATGATGCCCAATTCAACGACCCTGATGTTCGTAATGGTGTTGTGACATGTGCAGCACTCTCCCTTGATGGTCACCATGTAGCTCTTGGTTTTGGTAGTGGTGCCATCGAACTCACTGATATCGACCATCAGCACACAATTTCCCGATTCCAGCTTGATCCACCCAACCATCCAGTCTGGATCGAATTTGTCCATGGCAGCCACCGAGTTGCCGCTGAGGACATTGAAGGGAACGTCACCATCCTTAGCCATGATATGACTCCCATTAATCTTGGTACCCTTCCCAACAATCCTCTTCCTGCTGTAACTCGAGTATCAGATAATGGGTTATTTATCATACGGGTTCCACGGAACGCTGATAGTTCTTGGTATGACAGCCTGACTCTCGTATCCATTTTGGGTGACCCGCACATGCAGCACCTCGCACCCCCTTCTTCCAACGGTTTCACTCCAACTTCCAACCCTCCTATCTTAGCCTCTGAGTCTTCTACTTCATCCTCTGCATTCATCATAACTGACCCAGGTGACCTTGTGCTCGCTATTCCTCACCGTCGGACGCTTGGGTTTTCTCCAGGAGCATGTTATATCGGCGCTTTCGATGGCCTCAGTGCTTTCACCTGGTCGACAGGCTCGGGTGAGCTCATTGCGAGTTATCGTGTAATGGATTTCAATTCTTGGATCATGAATCCTGCTGTTCCCCTCACCTGCTCTCATCGCATCCCCAACCCTGTATCCGCTCGACCTAACCTTTCCTTGACAGAAGGTGAAGCAGCAGATATACAACATTCCGAAACACATGCAGGGCATAACTTGGATGAATCCTGGATCAAGTGCCCATTTTATGATCTCTTGCAAAAGGAGCAGCGGAAACCTGACATCCATTCATCTGCTGCTAGAGCCCCGCTGTTCAAAGCCGATAGACCACCCGGCGGGCTACCAATGTACTTCAATGGCAAATTTGAACTCGTTATTCCCGAGGAGTATCATCCAGTTGTTTTTTCCGGTACCGAAGGTCTAGGCGCTTGGTATGGTGATAAAGTGCCGTCTGATCCTACCCTTCTGTACAGCCCTCGGTCCAGCAAAGATGGGACTCGAATCCTTCTCCAAGGCCGGCAGACAGCTCCAATTGTTGTTGATCTTAGCCAAGTTGTTTAGGATGTTTGTGGTCAACCGCAATATCTTCCTATTTACCTTGTGCGCATTCTATCTACTGTCAGGGGGGGGATCGCGAAGTTTTGCTTGGGCGCCCTTCCATCTTTCTGGACTCCCCCTTGCACTGTCGTTTAGTCCCAGGTCAAATCTTCAGCATTGCGACCACAGAGACTTGCTCTTTTCATAGTTCCTCAATTCGCCTTCACCCTGTATCAGAATGAATATATCCAAGGCTTGACTGAAGCAGATTTTCCATCATCACTTCTTTGAACGTAGTAAAAGATCGATATCCCCTTTCCCAGTTTCACCGTTTCACCCGATGTTCATCCTCAGCTGCACATGAGTATAAGTGCTAGATATATGTGTGTGCGAATGTTTAGTGAAGATCCCTACTAGTACTTGCGAGATATGGGGCCAGAGGTGATGGTCTTTGCATCGCGTTAAATAACGTCAACGTTGTCCTGAATTAGTTGCTTTCTGAAAAGCACCTCATTCCACCCCCTGTCCCATCCCAGAGTGGTTGCATCAAAACCTATGGCCAGCGGAAATTGAAAATTCAAAGAAAATTTGTGCCGCATTCGGATTAATCCCAAGACCAATGCACAAAGAAATGGGATAGGTATTGTTATCCAAGCTTAAGCTCTCCCACCCATGGTAGCAGTTCTCGATGACTTCATCCCGGAGTCATGCATGTCAGGAAGGAGTAACTTTGTATCCAACTGTCTATTGTGTTCAGAATCTGACACATCAGCATGCATCATCGTACAAGGATAAGCATTCCACAGAGAGTGTAGGTCCACTTGATCATTCCAACCTGTGATGGCAATTGTGAAAATATCCGTAAGTGATTCAGTAAAACCAATGGCAGCGATTACTGTGTCAGAACCACCAGTAAAAATGCACTAGGAAGCTAGCGGTGAAGGAGCGGAGCTGGATCACCTTATGTAACCAGTTTCCTACATCCAATAACGATATTAGAGTTTGTGCTGATTTGTGTACTGACTGTGTTTTGGTTGCCAAATATATAATTGTTCACTGTCTAAACAACAATAAACACCCCCCAACGATCTCACCTGACGTATAGATTGTCTATGGATAAAATTCTATATTGACTTTACTATGATTTCTAGTCAATATTACACCTCTTTTCAGTAGGACGTGATTTTCCTGATAATTTACTGAAGGAAAACTACTAATAAAATAATTCCGCAATAAATGTTACTCAATACAGGAGTGACCAAACTGCTCTTTCTATCGCTTAGAGTGTGTGCTAGTTATCTAGCAGGTTCAGGATCGCTCACTTTTCTCCTGTGGTGTGATAACCAAGTATTGCTGAGAGATTATTCAATTAAGAAGTCCCTCCACCAAATTCTCACTAATTCTCACTATGACACTTTTGTTCAGCTGTGTCTAACTGACCCTAACTTATGCTTAGAGTGATGTGTTATGTCAAAAACCTGGGTTGGAAGAGGGGTAAATGTGTGAGTCCGAATGCAGGCGGGGCTCAACTAGAGGGGGGTCCGAGGGCTCCAGTATGAACCGAAGCTTCTCAGGGAGCCCGGTTCTGCTGGATGGTACAAGAGGCTCTAAGAAGGATGCGGCCTCAGCGACTCGGAGGGAGCGCTGTGCCTCCGTTACGTCTCAGTTAGTCCTTGTATTTCTTATGTCTGAGGTGTCTTGTAGAACAGGAATGGGATTCACTCAGAGGGACTTTGGGTGGCATTTTAGTCGAGATTAGAACTGAGGAACTACAGGTTCTAATCTATGGGTATTTATAAAGGAGAATGGGGAGGACTTTAGTCAAAGTCCGAAATGACAAATGGGACAACACCGAAAGGTACCAAATGATACCGAGAGGTACCGAAAGGTCCCGAACGATATCTTTAAACGGGGAACCGAGGTGTTGGGCCAAGGAGGGCAGAGTTGGAGGCCGGAAAATGAATGGGGAAGACAAATGGACAAAGGGGGGTTAGCCGACTGAATGAAAGGAAGAAGGTAGTTGTGCTAAGAATAGAAGGTGACTAATAAGTGATAACGTGAGGGAGATCACCGAAGGATGCGGGTAGCTCCGAAAGCGGAGTTGCGTATCCGAAGGATGTTAGGTGACTCAAATAAATGAAATGGGTGGAGGAAAGGTTTAAGGGCATGTCACGGGATGTCGGAGGTCCGTCGGGATATCGGAGCAAATCCGGGGTCTCTGAATGTTCCAACTCGGGACCGAGCTTCCGGGATGGGAGTGGCCAAGGTTTGGTGTGCCACAACCAGACCGGAGCTGAGAACAGTCAGGAGGGAAGGTGACTTGGGGAGTGGGGAGGCATGGTGTAGGGGATGGTGAAGTTGTTAGGAAGGTGTGGTGTGGTGGGAGTGCGCGGGGTTGGGATTCCGGGATATGACATGTTAGTTTTATATTAGCTAACAACTAATATTTGCTTTTATCTTTTGGAGCAAACGAACCAACCACTGGTGAGGAGAATTAAACTTTTATTTCTACCTGAGGTTTGAGAGGGGGCAGAAGCAGCGGCCTTTTATGCTTTTCAGAGGCCTCTCTACTCCCACACCTCGCACTAGTTACATGTGCTACATTTGTATTATAGATAGTTCTAGAATGATATAGGGGCTTGGGCTGTGTAAGCTTAATAATGGACTTAGGACATGACTCAGCAATAAGTAATTCAGTTCTTTGTCTTTTGGGCCGATCTTAGCGGGGTCTTGTAGCGCTGAAGCTATGCTCTACACTGCCTTAATTACGAACGGTTATCTTTAGAAATGACTCGGCTATAAAGGAACTTTCTAGACTGTTCTCTAATTCACCCCTTTTTGTGAAGCCGCATCATTACTAATGTTCTAGAGCTTTCCCAATTAATTAACTGATCCGCGGACTTCTGGGTCGCTTTGTGCTTATGATCCGAGATCCAGATCATCAATCATTCCTTTGTTCCGATTTATTTGAGCTTAAAATCAAAAAGTTTTGATGAATCATGGGAAAATATACAAGATCCGGTTTTTTAGCATTTTCTCCTCTTCTGATGTGATCAAAAACTGTCCGCCCGCGCCGGGGAATACTGTGTCATATGGTATTCGGTCCGCCAGACTTTTGGGCGCCAATATATTTCCCTTGAGTCACATTACTTTTTATAAGAATTAGCAAATAAATATATATGAATTATAAGGTGTTTCGCTGTTTGAGCAATATCTCCGTCAGTTTTGAAGCTTTTAGAATGAAACAAAACCGTGGATAAAGTTTAGAAACAGTCCTTTCAGATGGTAAAAAGATTACAGTCAAAAGTTCACTGGTTCCTGAGATATTTACATTTCTTTCCCAATGTTCCTTCTTATTCTGTCATCTGTCAGAGACCAGGTCGAGACGAAAGAGTGTCTCCATGACGGAGGGCTTCAGCCTCAGCGACTTATGCCAAGAGCGCTGTGCCTAGTAAACATGTCCGTGCCCTAACTTACTAACTGGCCACCAGAACTGAAAAGGGTAAACTCTAGTCGATTTTATTACTGAAGTGTAACCTATGTACAAGTTGGATATATATATGGTTACAGCGAAGACGGGTCCGCAAATGGCGGAGCCGAATGGAGCAGAGCTAATGGGGTTAAACATTAGCCAACTGAATATTACCGACGAGTCGGGTTACGGGGTTAACGGAAAGGAGGGATAGGCCCGAAGGTGAGCTTGCAGGGCAAGCAAGTGTATTGCCCAGTGGAGGCGGGAGTGCGCTAGCGGACGTCGGAGCTGTCCGGAAGTCTTCAGGGCTCCGTACTTAGGGAGGCATAGGTAATAAATTGAAAGGAGGGGGTGGTGACCATCAAGGGGTACCAAGGGGATTGCGGAATATGGGAGCTCTGAGGTTAGTGAGGAAGGAGTGGAGGTAGACCAGAGGAATCGGAGGGACCGGAAGTCGATGGCCAGGGGTGGATATGACACATCTATGTGCTATTTTCTTGTTGTAGGGATATATTCTTTGAATATTACACCTATGCCAGGTTCTAGGCATGCTTGTAGTAGATTAAATCTCATGCTACATGGGTGTAGATAATTTATAATGATCTTCTAATGTCTGTCCAGTCTCATAAAGATCATGAGATCTGTTAAACGTCTGAACTTGTCACCTGTTTGTTGACTATTCTGATAGATCATTGTTTTATTCTTTGAATATTATTTCTCCTACAGTGGGAACAGCCATAATGATCGAATCAAGTTTGCAGCAAGGCTAGGGATGCATGACCCGTGGTACAAGTATACACGAAAAGGTATAGCAGACAACTAGATGCACACGCGAGGGAGAGACGAAGAACAGCAGTGAAGCGGCAGCAAAAGCAAGATTGAAAAGGGGATCGAATGACAACGATCTGACCCCAGCAGCAGCGATCACAGAGAAAAGCAAGATCAATGGATGGCGATCTGACCCCCTTTCATTGCTAAGCCTAAGCTTATGAGCAGGCTATGCCTACTAGAGAACCCAGGTTGTGCCCCCTCAATCGTGGCTCATCCACATATCTGGGTAGCACTAGAGGTCATATGACAGTGGACACCTGGCTAGAAATGCTCGACTGCACAGATGCGCTACACTCCAACCTCTCTATCATGACTCTATGGCTGCCAATTCCGGGAGCAAGCATTTTCAAACTGTGGAAGATACACATGAGATGACATACCTAGCAAACTGTGCCAAATTGGGTTTTGGCTTTATGCATCATGAGACACATGAAAGAAGAGGTTCAGGTGCCAATAACGCCAAGGTTAGACCCCTGTAAGGACTACCAGGAAGCTGCAGAAGAAGATTGGAAAGACAAGGCTTACTCGGCCTAGTCATCCCAGGCCTGACCTCGTGAAGCCTAACGAAGAAGAGGAATTAGAAAAGACGATGTGCTGTCCTGCGATTATAGGCATGAGATCACGCACCTAGGATCAGATGGAGAACTTGGTAGGTTTAAGAACAAACCTACAGGAGACCCGGAGATTTATGAGTAGAATCCTCACAGGAAAGGATACTTTGATCCTTCCCGGTGGAAGTTGAGGTTAACAGAGATAACGGAAAGGGCATTGAAGTCATACCAGCAGGGGAAAAGCAGCGCTGGAGGCAGTAGACCTCTGCGACTAGTAGTAAGAGTGTGGAGATTTCACCTCTCTACACTTGACCTCTTCCTTAAGGCTGTCAGAGACCAGACTTGAGACGAGGAGATGTCTCCGTAACGGAGGGCTTTGGCCTCAGCGACTTCTGCCAAGAGCGCTGTGCCTAGTGACACGTCCGTGCCCTAACTTACTGACTGGCAATTAGAACCTAGGGGGGTAACTCTAGTTGATTTTTCTACTGGGGCGTAACCTATGTACAAGTGGGATATATATATGGTTACAGCGGAGACGGTTCCGCAATTGGCGGAGCCGAACGGAGCGGAGCTAACGGGGTTTAACCATTAGCCGACTGAATATTACCGACGAGTCGGTTCGCGGGGTTAGCGGAAAGGCAGGCGATAACCCAGAAACGGAAAGGAGGGATAAGCCCGAAGGTGGACTCTGCAGGGCAGGCGAGTGTATTGCCCAGCGGAGGCGGGGGTGTGCTAGCAGACGTCGGAGCTGTCCAGAAGTCTTCGGGGCTCCGTACTTAGGGAGGCGTAGGTAATAAATTGAAATGAGGGGGTGGTGACCATTGAGGGGTACCGAGAGGATTGCGGAATAACGGGGGCTCCAAGGTTAGTGAGGGAGGAGCGGAGTTGGAACGGAGGGATCGGAAGGACTGGAAGTCGATGGCCGGGAATGGATATGACAAAGGCCAGATTCCCAGAGATGAAACTGCAGGAACCAGTGGCAGACGAGACTGCAGAGGACGAGAGGTCAGTGGGGCACGTTTGATTAGTTTCATCTCTGGGCATCTGGCCTTTGCTTTTACCCTGGGTCCCTCAAAGCATGCCAACTACGATGCACCACTGTGTTGCACTCAAAGGAAGAGGTCAAGTTAAATCTCCGCACTCTTAATACTAGTCGCAGAGGTCTGTCTCACTGAATCCATACCCAAACCATATTTCATATGCAATCACAGTGTTCGAACCAGGAAATAGCAAGTTCGGGTGTTATCGAAGAGAAGTACTGATGAAGGCAGGTGATCACAGCGACCTTGGCATCAGCGTCATTCCGGGTGTTATCCTGACATAACAGTAACACCTCATCATGCTGGGTGAAGGACTTTACCCAGCGAAAAGAGGACTCGATTCCAGGCTATAATGTTAGAACGTGTGGATTCGGACGACTCCGGAATGGAATCGGAGACTTAGCATGGAAGGACCTCGGCCTCAGCGACTCAGGCGGAGCGCTGTGCCATTGCTGGTTGTCCTGGGGGTCCCTAATTTCAGATCTAGCAGAGGGAAAGTCTCTTGGGGGGAATTCAGGTCGATTTCGGACTGAGGTTACAAGTTACTATGTACATTGTATATAAGGAGGGGTCTGGAATCAAAAGGAGCGAGGGTAGGACGAAAGGAGACAAAGGGAGATGGAAAGAGGAACAACACCGAGGGTCAAGGGTTTGACTCAATGGTGTTTCTCAATGGAGGAATGAAGGGCCAAGGCCCAAGGAGGAAGGAAGGAGGTTGGGAGTGGGGAATGGCTAGCTGACTGAATAGAAAGGAAGCAGCAGCCCAAATAGGAATGAGGGAGAATAGCGGAATTGAAATGGAGCAATGCAATAGTTGCAAGGTCCGGAGTAAGTCCGGAAAGTCCGAACTCGGAAGTTAAACTCCGGAATATTGGCAAACGTAATTAAATGGAATGAGCTAACCAATACAATGGGTATGAGCGGAGGTGGGGTCAAAGTCCAAGGTCAGAGCTAAGACCGGAGGTTCCGGAGACAGAGATGCAAACAGGATTCCGGAGCGGAGGTCCGGAGTCGGGAGCATAGGTGTTGCATACTCGTCTGGAAGGTGTCAAGGTTGGGGTCGGACCTGGAATGTTCCAGAGTCGGACCGAAGGTGGTGTTGGAGCCAGAGGTGGGATAACCTCTTGGGAGTCGGCAAGGAGAAGGTGACGGAAGGGAAGTAGGGCTCCAGAAGTCAGGTTCGGAGTTCCGGGAGCCCAGAGCAGAGGTCGGGATTGTATGGATATGACATATAAGGTGAAAGGTAGACTAAGCACTTTCCACTTGAAAAAAAAGATATTCATCAGGCAACAGTTGTGTTGATCGAGAGCAGATATGATAGGGCATACCTGGCTTCTATCATTGCCCTTATATCCTCACCCTGATGAATCCGACAATTGTCCATAATGATAACCGAACGAGGGTGTGGGTAGCCGTTCATTTTCTGGAAATGAAAGAGGCGAAGCGTTTGGCATCGAATAAGCCTTCAACGACACTGAGCCAGATAACACCATCCATGCAAAGTGCTGGAAGTACAGAGTATCTATAGAAAGTTTTATAGTGTATGTTACATACCAACAAACAAACCAAAAAAATGCTTACCTTCGACCATGGATAAAATAACACCATTTGGTGGCACGCTCGCCACAAAGTGACCAGTCATGGTCAAGATGGATAGTTCGTTTGTCGAAAGAGCTTTCATCCACAAATACCAACTGATTGGCTCGATACTGGCCAACCTCACAGAGGTATTTCGCCCGTTTGATCTCATTGCGTTTGATCTCAGCTTCTGACATCTAGTATATATATTGACCAAATATAAAAGGAGACTTGTGAAAATAAGCTGATTAGAGACATACCTTCTTCCATGATAGCCCTGCCTTCTCAAGTGCTGCCCAGATTGTCAGTATTGAGACGTCGAGCCCCCGAAACTCGTGAAGATGGAATTGGAGCTCATCCAGGGAAAAGCCCCTTACGGAAAGACAAGAGTCCAAGAAGATACTAAGGTATAGATGCTATATAAAGGGTGATTGTCTGAGCTACATATATTTACATATGGTTATGTATATCATCTTCCAAGAGGGTGGACCACCCAACTTTGGATGGTTGTTGCTCTGATACTTTATATGCTCCCTCATTCTCTGCACATATGGCTCATATGCGGTAGACTTACACCAACTAACACAGCTATTTCTTCAGGGCGGAGCTGTCTATTCTAATAGAGGCTGGTAACCTGCCTAGTGGAGCTGGAGAGCAAGCATCCGTGCAATGATTGCGCAATGATTGCGCAATGATTTGGCAACACTCATCCGTGAGTTCTCAAACGTTTGTAGAGACAGTAAGGTCAGTAGCATTTAACAGAGCCGAGGGAAGTGGCAATCCAGGAGGTAACGAATCCCCCACATGGAAGGATGCCATGTTTCTGGGGACGAGATGGATGTTGTTAGTTGTGGCTGTGCCAGTTCACTCGTCCTCGATCTCTTGGTTGGCATTACAGGGGCCCTATTAGCATAAGGGCATAGACTAGATGCTATGGCCTTAGTTTTGACCTTCACAATATCTCCACAAGTTGTCGTTCAAGTGAAAGTGGAAATATTGGTTTGGAGTTACAGCTTGAGAGTTCTGAGTTGTTGGACCAATTACGGAGTTTGCCAAGAATTCTGTCATTCCAAAATTAGCTCCAAAGCATAATTTTGTGTTGGTGATGCCTATAGCTCTGGTGCACCCCTGCCAAATATAGAATGTCGATGACCCGGCGCGGCCGGAACTTGTGGTCACACTGTAAGCAGAGCTGACATTTACTCCGACTGAGTTGGATTTCGGCTATCATTACATACAGTATGTAGTTCAGAGGTGGTGAATCAAAGTCGGGCAGAACTGTTGTAGTACATCTACCTCTTGTTTTGATTTCCTTTTCTTTTCTTTTTATGTGTCACATGACTGCAGAGATGAACTCTATCTGTTTCTACTCTTGTATAAACATTACAGTTCATCTCAGAGGTGCCATAACCTGAGTTACAACAAGAACCCCGCTCAATTCGTGGAAAATGGGCTGCATTGGCTGGTTCCTTGTCTACAAATGATATGTAGTGACACGGGCAATCGAGAATCAAGGTCCAGACACCAACCTCTCATTTAAATTGCGGTTATTCGTCTTGCTTATCGTTGTAAAGGACAATGTGCGCACGCTCACTCGGAGTCGCCTCATGTGCAATGTGCCTCCTAGCTATCGGGAGGCGAATTATGGAATTACATAACATGAACGAGTTGACAGAGTAGCAAAAGGAAATTTTAGTCCACAACAGACAAATCTGCAAAACCCTTCCCCTTTTCGATAATCGCCTTGACCGCAGGGGCAATTACCTTCCTCGTCGCATTCGTATTCAACTGTTTCCAAAACCTGACCTGACCAACGTATTCCTTCGGATCCGTGTGCTTGCCCAAAGGGCCCTTGATGTGCTTGTAATCGCCCTTGATGTCTACTGGCTCTAACCGCAAACTTGGATTCGCCTCCAGACCCTCGGAGAGGGCGTTGGTCAGCGATTCGACGTTTAATCTTGCAGCAGTGGAAGTATCATGTTTGTCATGTTTGGCACCGCCAACAAGGATGAGAATTTGACGCTCCTTGTGATCCTTCTGGTTTTTGAATGTGTTCAGAACACCCACGACCTCTAACCTGCGCTCAGTAGCCCACGCTTCTAGAGCAGCCCTATAACCCTCCGGATCCTTTTCCAGCCAAGCCTTCGTCCCAAGAGGGACCGTCGAAAGCCCGACATTGATAGGCGTCCCATCCGCAGAAGTGAACGCGTACTGCTTGTAATCCCGCCGAAGCAAGTCGCGCGAATTCAAGTGACTGACGTCCCCCTTGAATGCCTTCAGTGCCTTGGTCGTACCCTTGCGAAGGACGAAATCGTGACCTCCCGCGACGATAATGCTCGAACCATAAGATTCCAATAAATTCGCTGAGGTAAAGTCTATCTTTTCTGCCTTGCCACCTTCTTTGAGACCGTTGGTATCGATATAAATCGCCGTCAAAAGAAGGATGGCAAGTTCCACTGGTGGTGGTTGTAGAGAGTTTGCGGCGGTAGGGTCAGCAGGGAAAAGCGTATCCTTGAACGTATCTGCTATGAGGGAAGCACAACTTCCCAACGGGACCACTATTCGGCGAGGGTTTGCGTCTAGATGTTGATTCTCATCCTCATGATGATCGACGATACCATTAACGATGGACGGTCCGTGAGGAGAATCAAAAGGACGAACGAATTGAGGAAGAAGAGAATTATGATCGACGAGTGCAAATGACGAGGAAAGCTCGTTCAAAGGGATGGGGATGTCATCGATGGTGAGCAGATCGCTATAATCTTCCGCGAGCTTGGCGAGTTTGAAAGCGTAGAGGTTCTCCGGGCGAAGGTACAAGTCGTGTCGAAGTGTTTGGATCAACCCTATCGATGGCTTCTTTGGAGTCAAGTAGGAGTAAGCTATTGCCGAGGCGCATGAATCGAGATCTGTTTTTTTTTTTTTTTTTTTTTTTTCCCAAACAATGTGAACAAGGTTAGGTCAAGTAAGTCAATAAGCAAGCCCAAAATCATCGATCAATAGTTCAGAATTGAGTTGGACTTCACCTCCGGCCTCGTTTCCCATTGCGATAGTCCAAGACTTGGCACCATCCTTCTTCAAGTCCTCCAAGAATCTGGCTTTGTTATTAGACAACCAAGCAGAGAGGTTTCCGGTAGAGCTAGACATTTGGTATTGTGGGGAAAGAAGCGAACGAAAATTACGAGGGCGTGAGGAGGTACTGCGAACGTATGAGAGGATGGTGTAAAAAGACACGAGTGGAATCAGGATGGGCAATAGCTTTTTAACGATTACAGTGCCAGTGGATGGTGACATAGATCATACGATGGGTAATCACGCGAGCAGGAATTCAGATTCAATGATCGATCGATCCCTAAGAAGCGAGCTCAATCAAACGTAGAGAGGGTGCTATGTAATAAGTGAAGGTCCTGCACGGAAGCTTAAAGCCAAGAGTAGGATTCAGGACCCCTCTTCGATAAGGAAAAGGGGACGCTGTTATGATATATTTGTTTCGAAGAACGTTCACGTGTCGCCACAAAAACCACGTCGAAAGGCTTGTAGTAACAAGGAAAACCGATTCAAGCGATGTTTGGCGAAGAGATCAAGCAACTGAGGAAGATGGGACTTCGCCATGTAAATCCCTTCCCCCCCCCCACCCCCCCCGTGTCGTCGAAACTTTGTTCCTTTTTTGTTGCCCAATGAATCTAAAACTAAGGGCTACTTACCCCCCCCCCCTCGCTTACTAGGTTCTCTTACAGGTTCTCAATTTTGCCAGCGTCCTCGCAACGGGCCTCATGATATGGAAAGGCTTAGGCCTTGTAATGAATACTGAAAGCCCGATCGTGGTTGTGCTAAGGTCAGTCGGGTAATAGGTTGGCTTCACTGGTTGACACGTTCACATATCTATCTTCACCCCACCCACGTCTCTCCTTTTTTCTACTCGTAGTGGATCAATGGAACCTGCATTCTACCGCGGCGATCTCCTCTTTCTCACAAACCCCTCGAATACGCCTTACGTAGTTGGCGAAATCACTGTCTACAAAGTTCCCGGGAAGGATATTCCTATAGTTCATCGCATTGTTGAAACCCACCAAACGTACGTTCTGAGATATTTATTGCTCCAATTTTTATTGTTATTTATTTATTTTTATTTTTCTTCCCTTTTCCGGGACTCATATTTGTGACGCCCTTTTTTAAACGCAGTGGAGAGAATCCCACAGATCAGTTATTATTAACAAAAGGAGGTGAGCAGCCGCCTTTCGTCCTCCAAATATTATCACTTCGGCTAAGAGCACAACAAACCTGTTTTTGATTCCTCCAATAAATAGATAACAATCATTTAGATGACCTAGAATTGTACGAAGGACTTCAATGGCTACAGCGAAAGCATGTGGTTGGCAAGGTCGGCGGGTGAGTCCGATTAATAATTTTTTAATCTACACGGAGGTTTGATCAATCTCTCTCCCACTTTTTTTTTTAAGGTTCCTGCCATACGTCGGCTATGTGACTATAGCAATGGTACGTCCCCCCCCCCCTCTCAATGATTTATTTTTGGACTCAATTCCATAACAAAACAGAACGACTTTCCGCAACTCAAATATGCATTATTAGGCGGTCTGGGGTTTTTGGCCTTAATACAACGAGAATCATGAACCAACAATTTGCTTCTCATATTGTTATCGACCGTTCACAGTATAGTAATGCTTCACAACTGCAGAATAATACCTTTTTAGGTTTCCATTGCTTGTTTCCATTGCTTGAGAGAAAGTGGCGCGAATGCATTGGGACTAGTTGATATACACATTTGAAATGGAACAAATGAGTTGTTAGCTTAGTTGCCATGAACAGGATCCTAACGCGTTCTGCAGTAACTGACCGCTCACGTACACCCGGTGCGATACCTCATCGCCCTTATCAGAAAATTACGATAGTTATGCATACTACTATGCCACTACGGTGTTGGAAACCTCCACTTGTGCACGAAATTCCCAATAGGTTGCTCACAGTAGTTACCATGCATGCATGCGTCTCTTCCAATAACTTTTACCGCTCTCTTGATATTGCTTCTTTTTTATATAGGGCACAAGCGCATGCAAGGTCAATTAAGCTAGCTAGGCAGCGCAAGCGGCCTATATAGCAGCTACACATTTCGCTAAGATCATCTCTACCCTAAACGTGGTGCCAGGTTGTGCTCATGTTGATTTCTACCAGTGGCCGCGCGCGCGTAGTAATTCGCTTCTGACACGAATGCAACTTCCCACATGCATAGTCAAAATTGGAAAAACGCAGACATTCGGGCGACTACACTCGAATATCAAAGTACATGTGTATGTAATTTATGTAAAGTAGTAATACTAATAGTATGTAGCACAAAATCCCAAAACGAATTATTCGGGAATTTTTTGCCGGTAGCTCATTTCTGCTGTATGTATTGAATAATGACTCTTATACGGTATCACTGGCGTCGCAGCTTGGGTTGTGTGTCGATGTTGAAGTACCAGAGTAGGCCGGCGAATACTATAGTACGTTGCATATATTGGGTGGCGCTGCCAATCTTTTTTTTTACCCCAGGCATTCGATCTTGTAATCCATATATATATATATGTCTGCCCATCCATGGAATAAATTCTTTTTCAACATTCACATTACTTGCCATCAGCGTCTGGCCTGTAACATATAATAGGGGCGCCACACTCCGCCCTCGCACGCCGACATGGCAGGTTGGGACTTCTCGGCGAAGAGAGCCGGAACACGACATATGTGGCAAAACGATGGCAGGAACACGTACGTCCCTCTGCATCCCCGTCATGACACGGATGAAGTGGCCGCCCGTAAGTCTTGAAGGCCTAATACCAAGCAGACACTCAATTCAGAATAAGCTTCTTCCTCGAAGCTTACCGCAAACCTGGAACAACCGCATCGACAAAACGTCGGTCGGCCTCGGACACTTAATTCTCGTCGATACCTATATGATCAGGATTTTTAGGACAGTAGGGCATCCAAACTTTGGTACACCGCCCTACCGCCTGACAACGAAAGCAACACAATCTACCCTCCAAATATGTACAGCATAAAAGCCAAACGAAACCAAGGGGAGCGAACCGTGAACTGAGAAGGGTCGTGAAAAAGATCGAACGAGCATCGAATCGACGTGCAATGCAACCTTTTGAATAGTGATGGAAAGAAAAAGAGGAAGGGGCGAAGAGAGGGGAGAGAAAAGGCAAGGAGAAAAATGCAACGATGAAACTTAGTATGTAACAACGATAGCAGGGGAGTGAATCAGGGAGGTATGAATCTTTGATGGCGTGAAGAGATCGAAATGTGTAGGGTACAGATTGAAAGCATATTGAAAAAAAAAAGGAGCCGCAGCAGGCCAAAACTGGCGTGATGTGCAATGTGACAGAGGGATAAGAGTTGAGGAAGAAATCGTGAAAGCAATGCAATGCGATGTGATATATGAGGAATAATTGGGGGGGAAAGAGACGCGATGCTTAACCAAAAGAAAAACAAATGATGAGGATAGACGTAGTAAGATGGGGCTCGTGGACTTTTCCTTTTTTTTGGCGGGGAAGGGGGGAGGGGGGTCGGTATCCGAGCAAAGTTAATTGCTTCACAAAAAAGAAATGCACAACTATTCGTGCGAAAGGGGGGGTTGGGGAACGCAAATTGGAAAAGTCACGAGTAACGGATAAGCAGGCGGTTTCAGAATCCATAATCCGTCCAGGATCCGCCGGTACCATACGCGGGGCTTTCACTCCAAGGAGATGTCGCAGCACCTTGAGATTGGGCAGGCTGCATTCCATTTCCATAAAGCGATGTATGGGGTCCAGGGGAGCTTGGGACATGGCGTGGCTGGTGGTGTTGTTGATGTGGTTGGTACGGCTGTGAATGAGAATGATGCGTTTGAAGGTGAGGATGCGGCTGCTGGAGCTGAGAATGATGGTGTGGTTGTTGGCCCTGAGGCGGAGATGCACTCGACCTATGATGACCGCCATGACTCCTGCTTCCTTCCACTGCATTTATATTGGTTCTCCCTTCTCGCCCACCCTCATACCCATATGAAGTGACACCAGAAGGCTTTATATCAACGTCACTATACCTCAATCGGTGATCTTCTGCTGCTGGCGCGGTCACAGCACCAGGAGAACTATACCCGTAAGAATCATGCGGCGACCTCAACGACGGTCGACCACCGCTCGAATGTGCATCGAAAGTAGGTCCGTGGTAATGATGAACAGTGGGTTGTGCATGCGGGGGAGGCACCATAGACGTAAACGGAGAATTTGCACCACCACCACGAGAGACGGGAGTTCCTCTTCCTCCGGACCCAGGTATCGTAGTTCCCAATACCTCGTGATGGGGATCCGATGACGGATGATGATGATACGGACTAGATGTGGGCGCCCCAGCTCCATACGACGAGGGATAATATCCAGAACTGGTAGAGGAAGTAGTTGGTGTTTCATATTCCGTAGGGTATGACGTTCCACGGGGAGCTCCATCATGATAGTGGTGATACTGCCTATCCGAAGGAATCGCATACGCACCCGAATCGAATCCAGACGAACTCATCGAACCACGCCGCTCCATTGACGATCTTGGGCCCGGGGCTGGAGATCCATGGTGAGATCGAGGTTGTTCGTGGTGAACAGGAGGTAGATGCACCGGAGGGCGGAATGGGCTGGCAACGCCAACTAGGGTCTCGGGCCCCACGCTGGACGTCGGCGGCATAGCAATCAGTCCCATGTTGAAGCTGCCTGGATGCGGCGGTTGGGGTGGCGGCAGCAGCTGGGTCTGCTGTGGCGCTGGGAGAGGTGGCCCACCACTCGGAACGCCTGGAGCATCGATCTCGCCCGTAACAGTTGGACCTGAAAGATGAGTCGAACCCGTTGAACCAGAAGCCATAGACTCTATAGCTAAGGATTTCACTGTAGGAGGACCATTCTTCCTATTACGAAATCCGACAGAAGGATATGCGGATGTTTTTCGGGGCTTTCGTGCCCTAGGCGTCTTGGACCCATTCACAGTGAGAGGGATAGAAGCGACCTCAGTCCTATCAACAACACTAGCAGCACGCGTCGAGGCGCGACCACTAGATCTCGTCAACATTCTCTCCTCTGCTCCTTCCACTCCTCTTCTGCTAGCAGTAGCGGAAGATCGTAATCTACCACGACCCGAGGACATACGAACAGGCGAAGTAGACTGCATGACATCATCCCCGTGTTCAGTACTAGCTGGCTCAACTTTAGGCAACCCAGGGCCTGTCGCCAACGAGCCACCCATAAACGGAAGGGTGAATCCTACAGGAAGTGGTTGCTCTCCATCGCTACCCCCATGTCCTCCTCTTCCTCCCAAAAGCGGTACTCCACTTCTCAAAGCCTCCTCCGCTTTAGCGTACAGCAATTCCACAACTCGCAACGCCTTATCCGGATTGAGCGCAGACGAATCCAATCCATGCCGTTTCGCATCGGAAACGTGCGGATTCCTCATCAGTTCTCGAGCAGTTGCCAAATCTTTCATGGCCGGTTCCGCAGTGATCGCGCCCGGGGCATGAGTGACGAGATTGGCGCAGACAGCCGCTGCCGCAAAGATCTGCCGACCGAAGGAGTAGAAGACATATGACGCGGGTCTGGAACCACCAAACGCTTTCACTATTCCCTGAGATGCCTGAACGATGATATGGGCCGCGTTCACACAAGCGAGTTGGGCTTCTCTTGACGGCGGCTGATAGGGTCGGGAGGGGTAACGTTTGAGGAGGGGTGAGTACGCTTTCATGACGAGGGAATGGGCCACAGCAGCGATTTCACATCGTTGAGCAACGACGAACGGATTTTCAGGTTCGTCTGGCGGCTGCGGCACTGGAGAAAACCGAAACTGCGGCGGTAATTCAGCCAGCCACGTTACCACTTCCGACTCGAAATCCTGCGCCGCTTCTAACCACATCTCCATCGTAGGCTGTTCAGCCACCCAACGACGCCGCATTGTTTTGATGAGCCGCGCAAGGCTAGTGGGAAGAAAAAAAAAAAACACGGTTGATGGGATGAGAATATGTGTGTGTACGGTAGGGGTGCAAAACAAAACCAAAAGGGCAGGACAAAGTGGACTGTTCCAAGCAAAAAAAAAAAAGCAACAAATAACACTCACCGGCACTTTTGAATGAAATAAGCGAAGTTGGATCTTTCGCGAGGCGCAGGTAAGGACTGAGAACCCTCGTGAAATTTTTCCTCATCCACATCAGCAGGAAGACGCGTGGTGCACATCTCATCATCGATGAGCGGATGTTGACCCATGGAATCCGACATGAATCTATGAGAAACGAGTATCAACAAAAGAGGGGAGGGAAAAAAAAAGCCTCTTTCGACGGCAACTCACAAATCATAATAATAGACATCCCACCACACACGGCGCCTCATCTCGGCGTCAAACAGGCTATATCTTCCCGGAAAGTCATCCGGATCCAGATGTAGACCCATCATCTTTGCAATGTTAACCAATTTGCCAATTGAAGGGAAAATCGTATGCGCAATGCTCGATTTCCCATCGTGAAGAAGATACAGGCCGTTCAGAATGACAGCAATTATGAAATCGAGGTCATAATTGCTGTTCCATTCCGACACGGCGAGAACTTGCTTTGACAACGTGAAAAAGCTATCCGCGCTAACGTTCGCCGGTAATGGAGAAAAACCATTGAGAATGGGACGATCGGAGGATGATTGGGTAGGAAGAGTTGGCGGCGGCAGTGTGGAAGTCGAATCTAGTTCTTCAGAGCGAGATCCGAGGCCAGCAGCGCCAGTATCACTTCCGGTGGGAGAACGAAGAGAAGGGTTTGAAGAATGAGGACCAGGAGAAGCAATAGCAGTACAGGCACCGAGTGCCAATCCAGCTAAAGCAGCGGCAAAGAAAGACAGGGATGGCCTTCGAGGCGAAGTGGTGGAAGGTTGAGGATCCCCACTTTCACCTGTAACATCGGGTTGAGCCAAGTCTAGCTCACTGGATGGTGAAGTAGCCGTCCATATATCCGGGTTGTACAGAGCCTCGACGCGGTTCCTGAACTGAGGGAAATTGAAACATGGATGCATAAGCATCGTCGACTCCAGATTCCGGAGTAGGAAATCCCTAGTTGCTTCATCCGGCATCAAGTCTACCAATTTCCGGGTAACGCAAGGTCCGTTCTCCGGGTGTGCGGGATCCATAAACAAGTCCATTTGCGGAAAGGCCATCTTGACGCTCTGTTCACGATAGTCGGGGGCCATCACGCGGAGGTCGATATCCTTGAGAACGTCGAGTTCCTCGAGCCAGATACTGGCCACATCATCCATGCTGACGACGAGGCTACTGCCTGAAGGGCCCGTGGCCAGTGCGACTCGATCATACTCGTCAAAGGGACCCCTCCGGGGACCAGACGCGGCGAACGCATGGAAATCGCCTTCAAGCGTGAGTATCCGGTTGAACACGCTTTGGAGATCACTGAAAAGAGCAGGGATGGATCGTCATATGTAGTGGAAGGGAAGGAACTTGAATAAGCTAGGCTCACATCTTCTCAGCTGCACCAGGGAAATAGAAACAGCGAGAAATCGTGTCGCGCTTCACACAGGAAGCGCAAGGAGTGCGCCTGTCACATCGTAATTTGAGTCGCTTGCACTGTGGAAAGGGGGTGGGTGGGTGGGAATTCGTCAGATATGCACGCGCCAGATGGAGGAAAAAGGGAAGGGGGGGAGCGATGTAAATTGTGGCAGTTACCTCGGCGCAGACGACAGTAATCCTGGACCTGTTCGATTACGGGGCGGCGCATAGTCGGTGTGTGTGTGAGCGAAAAGTCAGAATCGAGAATACAGCGGCGGAAGGACGAAGAAGAATAGGAAGAGTCATCGAGTTCATTTGAACATACCCTGTGCCGAAGACTGTAGGGGGTGTAGGGATATAGGAAGATGTCTCCATACCACCAAAGGTTGGCGGTTGGGACTGTGTGTAGTCACGCAATGAGGTAGACAGGGTCGCTGACGACGTTGAAGGAGAGTAAGAGATGGAATGAAGCAAGAGGGCGGTCAAATTGACGGAAGGAAAATAAAGAGCGCTTGAGATTGCCAAGGCACATATGTACACATATCATTTAGTTACAAGATGTAATTTAAATTCTTCCAGGCAATTTCCTTGGATTTCCTTGGTTGATCTTCCTTTTCCTCTTTCCTCTTGTCCTTCCCTGTCTCCCCGACCCATCGCTTTGCATCAAATTTCCTCATTTTAAGTCGTCGCTCTACAAACGGAAGTATATATCATAAGACCCTGGGAATTAGTTTGCAGACCTGATACTCTTTTCGTCAATGCGATACGAACCCCCTATTTGGTCATTTCTAGAACAGGAGGTCATCCATTTCGCTTTTAGGCGAGTAGTGTTGGTATACTGTCAACATCCTCTTGACAAGCGCCAACACCCAGGCAGTACTGGCAGCGAGCTCGCTCAAAGTACTTTAACACGTCAGCACCTTAAGCGAAAAATGTGTCCGCTTCCGTGGGAAAACGGTGAATATGTTCGATGAGATCTAGGCACAAATAATCAAGTCGCATGTCTCCAGGAGATTTGGCAAAGGATTTGGCCCAATTGGTCACCAGTCGCTCCGAATTGGTTCGATGACTTGCCAGCGCCGCGTTTGGGGTTGAGAAATAAAACAAAACAAAAAAAAACATGCACTAATACAGATGGTGTTATCAGGTGATCCCCGCTGCTCCCGACCTCACAAATTAAGTGCCCTAGTCTAAAGTGGCTGATTATGCCACGACCATGGGTGATAACATGGTCGCAGTTACGCATCGAAGGGACGACTCAGCTGGCAGTGATGAAGGACTGATTGTTCACCTATCGCTATCGAACATATGCAACTGGTTCATGACTGGGGCGCGCCCAAAAGAAGAAAATATAATATAAAAGGAGGCAATTAGATAATCAACAGGATGACCAATCCAGTTCCCTTATCTGTCATTCAGAAGTGGATGCAAATGATTGATAATGAACTCAATTGCCCGTAGTCCGAGGAGTTAAGTGGTCGATCTATCCATACACGTTCATCCCCTTCACAAAGTGCAAGCGAACAAGCGACAACTAAAACTTCGTCATCATCGTTCGCACCCATAAGCGATACCATGATACCATACATCCCATCGTCTCACGTCCCATGCACATCTTCCCTGGGGAACTGCAATGGCCCATCCATCCTGCACCCATGTACAACAGCATAGTTACCCGTCCCACCACGCATGGCTGCATGTAGACAAAGATGGCAACTTCGCCACAAAAGGGGGCATTGCAACAACCTCCTATCGATATCCCTACGTAACATCCTGTCACACACCACCTCCAAATTTCCCATCCTATCGAAACCTTCCCTTTCCTTCCCCTCCCGCCCCCCGCGACACTTCTGCTGAACTTCCTGATCTTCATCCCCAATTTCCTTTTATACACCTCCATCCTCCCGACTCTCCCTGGCACGTCTGACAAACTCACTCAACCTCTTCACCACAGGTCCCAGATTCTCTCGATACTTCCCCGATACGGGAATGACGCATAATCCGCAGTCGTTTCGTGGATAATCATCATCGGCCCGCCCTGAACTATAAGCCGTACCCGAGCGTGTGGGTGCCGCCGAATCTCTCTCATTCCTGGCAACAGCTGCCATGTGTTCAGCATGCGCCTCTAAACGCCCCAGCTTCTCATAAGCAGCCCGCACCTCTTCCTCTTCTTCCTTCTCTCTTGTTGATGCGGATGGGGTGGAAGTGGTCAGGATAGGATTGCGCGCATCATAAGAATCAGAATATGACGATCCTGATGACAGCGGAGTTGCCAGATCGGCTTTGTTGGCAATAATCAAGCAGGCCTTATGACTGAGCCCCTTTTTATACCTCTCCAGTTCTGATTTCAGGACTTTTACATCCTCCCATGGCGCTTCCTTGGAGAAATCGACCACATATGCCAGCGCGAGTGATCGTTCGATAGACTTGAGGAATGAATGACCAAGTCCAACATTTTCCGAAGCACCCGCTATTAGTCCTGGATTGTCAGCGACCGTAAAACGCATCGTTTCGGTCCGCAAAGATGGTAGCGATGTCATTGAACGTACACCCGACCCTAAAAGAAAAAACAACGACCGATCCGTGGGTAGAGTGTATAGTTAGCTTTCCGGATGGTTCGGGACGATGCAAATGAAAAACCAAAAAAAGAAATCCCCAAAGTACACACCTTCAACTTCTCGACTAGCTTCATATTCGAAATCCCGGTGATCCTCCACGAAATTGGTGCCCTGTTTATCAAGACGGACCGCGTGCTCACCATTATTGCGGTCATGATGGGTTCCGTAAGTGGATAGACCCTCCATATTCGGGGTGAGAGCATTGCACATAGGCGGGTCCCCAAACGTGCCATCATCCCAAACACGCACCACTCCAATTTGAGGATTCAGCGTCGTGAACGCATAAGAAGCCACTTCCGCTTTAGAGTTAGAGATAGCACGCAACATGGTCGACTTGCCCGCATTCGGAAATCCCACGAGCCCCACGTCCGCCAAAAGTTTGAGTTCGAGCGATAGAGTGATTCTCTCTCCTGGCCTTCCCCTCGTGGCGAATTTGGGTGAACGGTTGGTGGATGACGCAAAGTGAGGATTGCCAAGACCTCCCTGGCCTCCTCGCGCCACCAGCACGCCGCCTCTAGAATCAGCGAATGCGGATCGATTCTTGGAAAAGGCCGGATCGTGGAAATCGGCGTCTGGTTTGTCTAGATCGAGGACAAGGATTGGAGACTGGAGCCTTCTTTTCCTCTCCTCTTTCTTACGAAATGCTTCCTCCCTAGTGATTGCTTGTTGAGCCTGTAGGAACGCCTTACTACCCGATTCGTTCTCCTCTCTCCATCTAGGATAATGCACCCAAAGCGCAGCCCTTTCCCTGGCGGCCCTCTCCTCCTCACTCAAACCTTCCCACCTCTCCTCTCTCTCCCTGACCTCTCTCAACTCTCTGACGACAGTGCCCACAGGGACATCAATAATCGTATCCTCAACTCTCCTCCCATGTCTCCAAGACCCTAACCCATTCTCTCCATTTGGAGCGAAAACTTTATTTGACACCCGAGCAAGAGAATTGAGAGAAGGGTTGGCGCGGATAAATACCGATCCTCCTTGTCCCCCATTTCCTCCCGAAGGTGGGCCCACGGGAACGTATTTCTCTCTATGGAACGCCGCCGCTCCATCGCCGCCCTTACCTACGAAAAAAATATATGATTCCAAAAGTGTTCCCACAGAAGATGAAAAAAATGTATTGTGGCGGTAGAATCGGGATATAATGATAGGGATGATGAGATGCAGGAATTGTTTGTTTGCCGTTGATCGACGATAGTACGAAACCGTTCCAGCGTTTCCCGTAGTGTTGGTCCAATTCACACAAAAATGATGTTGGCGGCAGTCGGGGTAGATGAAGGTACGTTCGTTAGACAGCTCTAGCGAGATAAGTCCTAACTTACCTGCTTGGATAGTCACAATGACATGATCACGAAACGTGGAGCCCTGTACGGCATCAATAACATCAATAATACTATCAGTAAAGCTAATTGATCCATCCATCCCACTGGATGTCCATTGGAAACCGATCAATTTGTTGGGCTGTGCGGGTCGGTTCTCGAATGAAAGAGAGAAAGATGGCAAAGAGGAGAACGTTCATTTTTGGGGGATGACGGTAACTAGGGAGGAAGCAAATAAAAAACGCACACCTTGACGTCTCTTCCATTCCGCTTTTCTTTTTCGGTGGAGTGATTCGTCCGACATTTCATGATGATCATCCCGTTCAGTTTTCAAGCGGTCACTGGAACTGCCTTCGTGTGCATGTGGGTCATGCGTGATGGTCTCGTGATGAGAGGTAGAGTAAGCTCGTACGCAGCATGAGGCAACTTTTAGATGTATTCTCGGCGTCCATCGAGAGGGGAACCGCAGATTATGTCCAAGACAGCAAGTGGCTACAAAGCGCGAAGTTGGAGCCCAGAGAAAGCGACTCCAGACCTCACCAAGATGCCCAGTGTTCTTGCATCTTCTACGAGTTCTCCATGATTCTACAAGTGGGACAATCGAAGAGGAAGGTTCTGCCATCCTGAAGAGCTTGGGTCCGTGAGTGCCACGAGATGCAAGTGAACGGCGAGTAGAATGCATATCGAGAACGAAAATTTGCCCTACAATAAGCGTATTGATCAAGCCCCAGGTCCCAGTTCTCCTTTCTAATCAGCTGCAAGGCCTCAGTTCTTTATTGGCTGAGGAAGGGAATACGGCGGGATTTCTTTCGTGGGAAAGAGTAGAATTGGCTGACCGTGGGATTCCGGAACCAAATCCAACAACACGACCCTGCCAAAATTGCGCTCGCAATGCCTGCATTAGGATAATGAACCTTAAGTACCCCTGATTGTTGAGAGGCCGAGTGTGATCAATATGAAGCTGGATGTTGGTAGTCATGCGCACGTGGGTTGTGAATATTCTAGTACAAAGAAAGTCAGAAAAAATACCGGTTTTTTTACACCCAGTGATGGGTGGTTTCGACAATGCTTGTGCTCCATCGAATGGCATCAGGGATAAGTACGTACGTACGTACGAGTACCCTGACACAGGACGGAGTTCGAGGGCCCGCCCGGCCCTCCAGCGTGCCCGCAGCCTGAGGGTCCTTGTATATACAGATACGGTCGGACGGCACTTTTGTCCTCTGTGCTAGGTTCCTTGAGCCTGAGCCTCATCCGTCACCCATAACTTGCACGACCACCTTCTCCTGTAAATTGCCCTACAAGTCCAAGCGCTACTCATTTTCTAGCACTTGCCACTGGCATGCAAACATCTAATAGCCTACCCTTGACCATTTCACGCGTCTAATTATTCATGTACCGAAGGTGCATGCACATTCAGTTTGAGGGATTGTGTCAAAACGTGTCTCGCTTACATACTACGCCAGTCCCTGACCGATTGGTTGTTATTTTGGGAGCCAATGCAATGCGGTTGGCACAGGCACTTGCTCGCTTATGGAAGGCCCGGTCCGAGATGGCAGTTAAACTTCTTACCAAGATTCTTGGGGCCAAGGGCCTTGTATTCTGTGTATATATGACTGCGGAAGAAAAACATTTGAAAAACTTTCGGACTCATCCCTGGCGACTGGATATTTCTCGAGATGTTTTCCTGAAATGTGCCTCCAGGGGGTGCACCTTTTGATTTGCAGATCTTCGGCGAGTGCAGACGGGACGCGGTTGGGGTTTGGGGGCAGATACAAGATGTATGTATGTCACGGTGTCTGTGCTTTTGCTGGACCCAGCATCTGAGCATGTCATGTATTCCGTACGTTTCCGTATGTTAGGTGTTGACTTTCTGGCTCAACCATGCATGGTTATTCCGCAAGAAAACCAGATGTTCGGCCCCCCCCCCCCCACTTTTTGGGTCCAAACCACTTCCCAAATCCAACTTGATACATGTGTTCTACCCCTCGCAGTAAAATGACAGGTGTTTGGCCATTGAGGCCACAGAGCATAAGCGCAAGATCAATCTTGCGATGCAGCTATAGATGCGACGTTCGCGGGTGTTTGGACGAGATATTCCAGTGTTTCGGCCTATTAGTTCTGAAGCCGATTCTCAGTTTTTTTGGTTACTTAACTCTTCGACAGTGAAATCTTTGGAGCCTGAGGGGAGAAAAACATGAAAATTGTGTTGCATAATCATCAGCTAATTTTACATGTTTAGTCTTGAGGCGAGGGGCTCATCTGCTAGCTGTTTGTGGAAGTGCAGCAGCTCTCATTTGGTGGCCGGCTTCTCGGTTTCAGACCGTTTTTCGCAGATTTAGATGTCTGACCGCGGTTTTCGGGTGAAATTCGGAGCGGAATTCCGGTTTTGAAAAGGCCATACCAGACAAACTGGTTTTTGCACACTTGGAGTAGCACCCTACGGAACGAGGCGCGCCTCCAGAGAACTGGCTTACTTAAGAGCAACGGGGTATACCCGTACCAGGTGAGCTCCACAGAGCGAGATGATTCGCCAGTGCGAGAACGCATTTCCCCGAGGTTGCAGTCTCTGATTCAGCCCAGACGCGTCGACTCAATAACCCCTGGGGAGCCTGGCCTTCCCAACAAACCTTCAGGCAGTCTCTGCCCGCGAAAGCTATGGAGGATTCCATCAAAAAAGGTCATTTTCCGGACACAGTTCAGAGCCCGGGGGGTCAAGATGTGTAATAAAGGAAACACATTTGGCTGTGAGAGTGGGAGAGAAATATAATATGCCGAAGTCATAGAGGCTGGAGTCCTGCCTAGGAGAGAAAGGCTCTGCTCCAAACATTTGACGACTGGACACGCCAAACATGATTTGCATCAAGGCCGGAGTTATTGGTGAATATAACGAGCAGGGCGGTGCCGATCAAAGACAGCAAGAATGTCGCTCACGGATGGTTTTGTCAACTGATGCCGACCAGGTGAAGAATCCTAGTTCCCAGTTGATTCGTTTGGAAGACATAGATAACCAGAACGATCGAACCACCAGGGACATAAGCGTGTTCAACGCGAATGGCTCGCTTTGCATCCAATCCAAGTCTAGACCCACGTGCCAAGTCTTCCACTCTGGGAGTTGCCGAGTGGGATCGTTGAGTTTGGCGCCTCTCCATAGTTGAAGGGCTTTTTCAGAGTGACAAGAAAAATCTGTCAAAGGAACGCACTATCTAGAAAAACGCTGGGTGCTCACCATTTATTTATTACTATTTTTTTGTCAATCACATGACCATCTGGGTCATTTGTCGGAAAAATCCCGTACAACGTTTTGGGTTGGGTTGCAAACACTTGATCAATTGTTTACGGGGTTTTTGCTGTATGGGAAACGTTTTTGATACGATGGAATGCGTTTAATAAGCGTTTACATAAACATTATTTCCGACATTCATCCAAATCGGACGCGAGATTTTTTACTCGGAGGATGTAATTTTCAATCACCGCAGACGCCGGCCCCCAATCAACCGATCCAGTGACGGGCAATGTTTTCACTTTCGGTGAAGAACCCTGCGAGAATCAAATTGCCAAGTCACGATGGACTGCAGAAAGAGGAAATCTGGCAAGCACGTGAGGGAATCGCTCGATTTCGGGGACATCGTCAAGCGCTGCAGTTCGGCTCCATGCCCTCCTACTGCATTGCTAGGGGTGATGAAGGGCCTGGGAAGTCCGGGGACAGGACTCAGACGTGGGGTGGGGAACAAAGCCGCCTCACGTGATTACCAATAACTTGACACGGAGATGCTTTTCCTGGTTGTCTCTGTTGAGCGAGCTGCCCTTATAAGTATATAGCCTGAGGCTCCACTGCTGGCACTCTCCGGCTGACTAAACTAATCAGCGAGTTAACCATGCAATCCATGGACGACCCGCCGCGCCGCCGTAAACAACGACAAGCGCCACATGTTGACGATGATGAAACGGAAACTCCGCGTTCAGCGGATGATATCCGTAAGACTAGGAAGCGGAAGGAACGTCTTGGGCGACCCTCTAGGCATGACGTTGACAACGGCAATACCCAGCATAAACCAGAAGAGTCCTCCGCTTGGTTTGATGGCCCTTTGGCTTTAACGCTTCTGCCTCCTATAGGTTCATTTCTTACTGGAGGTAAGCTACAATGCCTAAACTTAGTCTGGTCTGTCTCGGTAACCCGATCTTGCAGGCGACTATGTCCGTGACGCGCTCATACTCGCATTACTCTTTTAGTAAGTTTGTCGAAAACCACATCAAAAAGTGTTTCTCAGACTCACTTCCTTTCCTCCTCACAGTTACCTGCGCGCTCTCATCAAAAGTATGTTGTTTCATTCAAGTTTCACCACATGGCACCAACTATGTGCGTCATAGCACCCTGGGAGCTGTATACCCGTTCTCGTGCCCGCCGTCCTCCTTCAGGGTACGAGGAAGATCTCGAATCAGAAGATGAAGACGAGCCAGACCATATTCGTCAGATACGAGTGCTCGCCCGTTCGGAGTTACGATTCGCTGAATTGGTACGATTTTTAATTCGCCAACAAGCTATACGTATTGACTTCTATACGACAATCCACACCGTTGAATCTCTGGGATACATGTTCCCCAATTTTGATCAACGTATCCTCAATACTACTGATATGTACTCCCTTCCGAAACCCATCGATGAAAATCAGACCTACCTTGCTCTCTGTCTCTTGACTCCTCTCATAGGTACTATGCTTCTCTGCTACGCTAGCTCCATTATGAGCGCCTCGGGATCGATCTCGTGGTTCTCCACTGGGCTCTTCATCCTCGCCACTGGTATCCGACCATGGCGCCACCTAATTTCCCTACTTACAAATCGTACCGAAGCCCTCCATGATATTGTATATGCTCCAAAAGTGAACAGTAGGGGTCGAGGACGAAGAACGATCTCGGAAGACGAGAGGGAGAAGCATAGGGACCAAAGAACAAAGGAAGCCGTCGAAGCTGCTATCACGTTCTCCAAGGAGCAAACCTATAATACTCGCCGTGACCTTCAAGATTCCACTGGAAGGATCAGCGTTTTGGAGTCACATATCAACGAACTTGCCACATCATTGGAGACGCTCTCTACACGTCTCACCACCCCTCATAGTCCTACCAACATCCAGCAACGCGCCCAGCAGGAAGCGGCCATTCAGGCTCAACTGGAGGCCCAAGTTCAAAACCATGATAAGACTCAAGCTGCTCTTTCCCAAGTCTCTTCACATCTGAGCACACTTCAAACATCCTTTTCTGCGCTTCAAGCTCGTGTAAGAACTCAGGAAGAAGTCGTCGAAGATGCTCAGACAACCATTCGCAATGCTGCCCGCTCCTCGGAAAGTCTGAGGTCGGATATAGAGGTCCGCCTGGATGAGACTGGTAGGGGTCTGGCAAATCTAGAGCGTAGGCTGGAAGGGGAAGCTGAGAGACGAGCTGGCGAAGAAAGGAGTCATACGGAACAACGCGACGCCGTGGAAGCACGGATTGAAGGCATCGAGCGTAGCCTTGGAAATATCGCTAATCTTCTCGAAGCAAATGAGAAAAAAGCCAATGATGCTCTCGTTTCTGCAAATGCCACAGCTGCAAAACTCTCTTTTGGTCCACCGCCAGGGAACGTTCACGGTAATCTCGATGGTGCCAGCACACGTCCTAATATTCATCCACTGGTTTGGACGGGAGGGAATGGCACGACGGCTCAAAAACGACTCTCATCTTCTGGGAATGCATTTCAGCTATCTTCTTTACGTGAGAATGAGGAAACATTTAATTGGACCAACCCTCTTTCACCAACCACGCAAGCCGCTCTTCAAAGAACTTCTACGGTCCCTGGTGGGAAGTTGAAAACACGCTCAAGATCCCGATCGGACGCCGTCCTGGGGAACGTACCGTATGGTGATTACCCCTTATTTTCTTGCCGCGGACTTCAGGCGAGAATGGTGGAATATACGTTTGGCGCAATTTTGTTACCTGTGAAGATAAGTCAAAGAGTTTTAGGGTTTATGTTGAGTGTTATTGGGAAAGGTGTGAGAACTGGGCAGAACTTTAAGGAGCGGAAGAGTTGGAATGCCGGATCTGCTGGTACTGGTGGTATTAAGAAGCCGAAGAGGACGGAGTAAAGGAAGGTTGGTGCACGCGAGCTCGAGTTGCTTCTTGATCGGTAAGTGGGCCTTCTCTGCATGCAACGCTGGGACGACTAATGGAATGTTGACAGATAACTACGTACCCTTCCCGATCTATGATTGATCCGAATGAAAAAATTATTCTTGCATTTATTGGACCCGTGGATCTTCTGTACATTTCTTTTCAATTGAAGCCTCTGCTTCGTCATCTTCGCTCTCATCTCGAAGGCGCCTCTCTCGCCGGTCACCACCCACTCGGTGCACCTTAAATCTTCTTGGTTTGGTAGTAGCAACGGAATCAATACACGATCCTTGCACCAGGGATCCAAATCGACCCTGCGGTGCATACCGAACTCCCATCAGCATTGAGCCAAGGCATCGATGTTTTAATTCATGGTTTAGGATAATTATAAAGATACTATCCTCATGACGATTTGCACGATTCAGACGAAGGTTCGATGAACTGGTTTCTGCATCCCAATGCATAGCGCAATGGAGGCTATGCGTGCGGTCTTGGCTGGCTCACGATGCGCCAGCACCAGTTTTGCGCCCGAATCGACTGTTTATCCAAGTTCCTGCCACATTGCATATAATGCTGCGTGTGTAAAAATAGAATGCCACCGGCAAGAGGCAAAATACCGTAGGTGAATAGATGAGCATTCTTGACGTTAGGATTTCGAGTTACAACCGCAACAGAAGCAAATTAAGAGAAACTATGACGTGTCACTCAAATTACCTTGGTGCTTTCTCCCGCTGGCCGAGATTGGAAAGAGCGTCTTGCAGATCTTCGAGTGAAAAGGTCAAACGGGAGACGTATAATTCCGGATGAACCTGACGGCAGAGCTCGACACTTTCCTCGATAAATTGGAATACGGCTCGAGCACGGTGTGGGTGGTTGAGTGACGCAGCTAAATGAGGGGTACATAATCCTAGGTAAACCACGACTAACTGACGGCAGAGCTTGACGCTCTCTTCAGTGAATGGGAGTGCCTCGGACAACATCGGAGTGGCATCCAAGTTGGGAAACGGCGCGATATAGCAATATAGGTAGCTGAGGGACGTAGCCAAATATGGGGTGTATAATTCTGGGCGAATGGCCACGAGCTGGCGCCGGAACTGGACGATTTCTTTGACAAATGACAGCGCTTCGGAATGTTGAGTAATACGGCCAAATCTGGTGTCACTCTGGGTGCAGGGTTTGACACTTTCTTCGATAGGTGGGAGCGCCTCGGAATATTGTCCGACTTGGGAAAGACTGAAATATAGATGGCTGAGTGGTGCGGCTAGATCTGGGGTATACGATCCCGGGTGGGCTGCAGACGGTAGAGCTTGACACATTCTTCGTCAAATGGGAGCGCCTCGGAGTTCGGAAAGAGCAGTACGGAGATTGTTGAGCGATGCGGCCAAATCTGGGGTGTGCAGTCTTGGGTGAACGGTGACCAGCTGACGGCAGAGCCTGACGCTTTCTTCGACAAATGGAAGCCCTTCAGAATACCGTCCGAGATCTAAATAGATTATTGAGTGACATAGCCAGGTCTGGGCTGTGAAATCCTGGGGCAAGCGCGACCCTTTCTTCGAAAATGGCAACGCTTCGGAATGTCGTCCAAGCGTGGAAAGGGATTGTCGAGATGGCCGAATCCGGGGTGTAAGATTCTGGGTGAACGACAGTCAGCTGGCGCCGGAGCTCGACGCTTTCTTTAATGGATGGTAGCGCCTCGGAGTTGCTGTCCAAGTTGGGGAAGAGTGCATGAAAGATTGTTGAGTGACGTTGCCAAATCTGGAGCGCATGATCCTGGCTAACTGGTAACGAGCTGACGCTGGAGCCCGACGCTTTCTTCAATAAATGGGAGACTCTCGGAATGCCGTCCGAGCTCGGAGCAAGCTGAGTGGTGTGGCCAAGCCTGAGGCATGTAATCCCAGGTGTATGGCAGCTGGCTGGTGCCAAGGCCCGACGCTCTCCTTGATAAATGGAAAAGCCTCAGAATACTCCCCGAGATCGGAAGGAGCAACAGACACCTTGTTGAATGACGTAGCTAAATCCGGTGTATGATCCTGAATGAACAGCAACTAACTGGCATCGGAGCTCGATGCTTTCTCGAATAAATAGGAGTGCCTCGGAATGCCGTCCGAGTCTGGAAAGAGCGGAGTAGAATTATCAAGTGATGTTGCTAAATTTGGGATACATAAATGGCAACCAGCTGGCGCCGGAGCTTGACATTTTCTTCAACAAGTGGGAGCATTGGAATGCTGTCCAAGTCGGGAAAGAGCCTGAAACAGAGTGCGGTCCGAGTCTGGAAAAAGCAGCACATAGATTATCGAGTGATGTTTCCAAACTTGGTATGTAATGGACCTTTGCTAGCTGGCACTGGGATTTGATGCTTTTTTCGATACATGGGAGAGCCCCCGAATGGCGCCCGAGATTGGAAAGAGCATCATATAGATTATTGAATGACATAGCTAAATGTGAGTCGTGTGATCTAGGGCGATCGGCAACCAGTCGACGCCGGAGCTCGACCAGACTCGTACCCAGTCGTCGTCGCTCCGTGGACGCGCACTGCGCACACGCAATTTCAAGTTGGGTTTATATTAAAAGTCACAGTCACCTTTACATGATGCATGAGTAGTCATCTTTTGTATTGAACCCTTAAAGTCACATGTGCCGGAAATAGAGTTAAACCCGATCACCTACTCCGAAAACCAGCGCGCGACACTTCGCTCCAACGACTGGCACAAAAGTTGGGTGGCGGTGTTTTTCGGCAGCATCCGGGACTGAATTGTTGAGTCCACACAACTTGTGCGCAACAGATTAGGTTGTAGTCCGGTGCATTTTTAGTGTCAACTCACATAAGATTTGTACCCGACCCACCCCAAAGGGTATGAAGGGCTGCGGAGTCAATAACCTGAGCATGCAGAGAATCTAAGCCTTATATATTACTTTGAGAGCATTACTGTGTTGGTGTGAGTTAGTGCAGATGGTATAGCGTTCGCTGAGGCTATGCACTTTTTTTGCTTGCTCGGGTTCGACTCCCATTTGGTAACTTCCTTTTTTCATTCATTCCTCACTTCTTGGTGATGTATACGGAAATTTGTCGCATGTATGAAAGGGGTGATGCATGAAAAAAAGGAGGTTACCAAGTGGGAGTCGAACCCGAGCAAGCAAAAAAAGTGCATAGCCTCAGCGAACGCTATACCATCTGCACTAACTCACACCAACACAGTAATGCTCTCAAAGTAATATATAAGGCTTAGATTCTCTGCATGCTCAGGTTATTGACTCCGCAGCCCTTCATACCCTTTGGGGTGGGTCGGGTACAAATCTTATGTGAGTTGACACTAAAAATGCACCGGACTACAACCTAATCTGTTGCACACAAGTTGTGTGGACTCAACAATTCAGTCCCGGATGCTGCCGAAAAACACCGCCACCCAACTTTTGTGCCAGTCGTTGGAGCGAAGTGTCGCACGCTGGTTTTCGGAGTAGGTGATCGGGTTTAACTCTATTTCCGGCACATGTGACTTTAAGGGTTCAATACAAAAGATGACTACTCATGCATCATGTAAAGGTGACTGTGACTTTTAATATAAACCCAACTTGAAATTGCGTGTGCGCAGTGCGCGTCCACGGAGCGACGACGACTGGGTACGAGTCTGGAGCTCGACGCTTTCTTCGATAAATGGGGGCGCCTCGGAATGCTGTCCGAGTTTGGAAAGAGCGAGACATAGCCAAGTGTGGACCGGAGTGAATGATTTTAGGTCAACAGCAGGGAGCTGACGGTGAAGTTCGTTCAACGCTTTCTTTGATAAACAGGAGCGCCTCAGAGTAGCGTCCGAGGTTAGAAAGAGCATGATGCAGATGAGATGGCCGAATTTGACGTGTGTAATCCCGGATAAACAACGAGCTGCCGGTAGAGTTTGACGCTTTCTTCGATTAGCGGAAGCGCCTCGGAACTTGAATGTCGGCCGAGTGTGAGAGTGCTTCACATAGACAGAAGAGTGAAACAGCGAACTATAGTGTGTGAAGCTCAGAAACAAGACATTGGGTAGTCATGCACAAAGTCCTCCTTATCCCAGTTACACTTTCCCAAGATGTCCGTATAGAGCCTATCCATCATTCTCTCGGCCGATGCCTTCGACCGGTTAATACCAGTATCCAGCATCTTCATAGGGGGACCGCTCGCACCTCCACGTAACGGAAGGCGGTATTGATCCAAATGAACAGGCCACCGGCAAGTTTGTCCTCCAGCAAGTTTGCCCTCCAGCTGGCTTCCAAACTAAGATGCACTTCCTTCAATTCGCGTCGCTGCATATGGATGTAGAGAGCACAGTCCTGCACGTTAGCATCATCCGAGAGATCCATGCTGGGATGATCGATAGGGGAATCAGGCGAAAGAAAACGATCAGCAAGGTCGAACTGTCTCGAGGTGACAAAAGATTTCATGTTGGACGGTAACCATGGTACTTGCACATGAGCACACACCAGCTGCAGAATCGATCGCAGTGAGAATGGTGATTACCATGTCGTCTCCTGCTGCGAGAAGTTCATCAATCCTTTGCCTAAGACCGCCAGCCTTTAGCCTCAATGGCGATAACAGCTAAGGGACAGAATCTCAGGCACGTGCCGAGCCTCCAAGGGCCTGAGGCCGTTGCATATAAAATATGGAAGGTTGAGCAGGAGGATGAATATCGGATGAAACGATGGAACTGGGAGAGGAAATATCGGGTTTTTTAGCGCGTTAAAAGAAGTGATAAATTTGCTTCGGTCAAGCCTCTTAGTGCCTCAAATGCTGTAGTGGCAAAGCTGAGCATTCATTTTATTCGACCCGGGACTAAACGATAGTGCAAGGGAGGAGATCTATTGAAGTCTCCGAGCGCCCACTGCACCCTAAGGAAAGGGAACCTCATCCGAGGGAAGTCCAGAAAGATGGAAGGGCGACCTAGCAAAACTTCACGATTCTCCTTCTGACGGTGGATAGAACATGCAAAGGCAAATAGGAAGATGTTGCAACTGACCACGAACATCCTAAACAACTTGGCTAAGATCAACAACAATTGGAGCTGTCTGCCAGCCTTGAAGGATCCGAGTCCCATCTTTGCTGGACCGAGGGCTGTACAGAAGGGTAGGATCATATGGCACTTGATCACCATACCAAGCGCCTAGATCTTCGGCACCAGAGGAAATGATTGGTTCGTACTCCTTGGGAATAATGAGCTCGGACCCGTCACCGAAGAACATCGGTAGCCCCCCGTGTCCTCCATTGGTTCCGAACAGTGGGGTTCTCCCGGCAGCGGATGAATGGATGTCAAACTTCTGCAACATCCCCTCCCACCCCCTCTGCTCGTCCTCCTTTTGCAGGAGAACATAAAATGGGCACTTGATCCAGGACTCATCCAAGTTATGCCCTGCATGTGTTTCGGAATGATGTATATCTGGTGCTTCGCCTTCTGTCAACGAAAGGGTAGGTCGAGCAGATACAGACGAAGGGATGCGATAGGAGCAGGTGAAGGGAACAGCAGGATTCATAATCCAAAAATCGAAATCCGTCACACAATAACTCGCAATGAGCTCACCCGAACCTGTCAACCAGGTGAAAGCGCTCAGGCCATCGAAAGCACCGATGTAACGTGCTCCTGGAGAAAACCCAAGCGTGCGACGGTGAGGAATAGCGAGCACAAGATCATCTGGGTCAGTTTTGATGAATGCAGAGGACGAAGTAGAAGACTCAGAGGCTAAGATAGGAGGGTTGGAAGTTGGAGTGAAACTATTGGAAGAAGGGGGTGCGAGGTGCTGCATGTGCGGGTCACCCAAAATGGATATGAGAGTCATGCTGTCGTACCAAGAGCTATCGGTGTTCTGTGGAACCCGTATGATAAATAATCCATTATCTGATACTCGAGTCACAGCAGGAAGAGGGTTGGGAAATTAATGGGAGCCATATCGTGGCTAAGGATGGTGACGTTCCCTTCAATGTCCTCGGCAGCAACTCGGTGGCTGCCATGGACAAATTCGATCCAGACTGGATGGTTGGGTGGATTAAGTTGGAATCGGGAAATTGTGTGCTGATGGTCGATATCAGCGAGTTCAATGACACCACTACCAAAACCAAGAGCTACATGGTGACCATCAAGGGAGAGCGCTGCGCATGTCACGATACCGTTACGAACATCAGGGTCGTTGAATAAGGTATCATAAACACCCCGAGTATTAACCTTCTCTGGAAAATTAGGTAGCTTTGCCTCTGTGAACATTCGAGCGTTGAGCAAATCCCCACTCAATGGGATTCTGTGCCCAGAAAACTCGCCGGAAATGGTGAAGATCCGGACAGGATCAGAGAGGTGGCCATATAGTTTATACAAAGGCGATGAGGTCGGGGTGAAAGGAAGGGTCGATCGATGGAGGTGCCAAGGTTTCAAGGAAGTCCCACCCAAATATGACACATATTGCTTTCTCGAGCATCTCTCAAAAGTTTGAATGAATCACAATCCTGTTAAAAATGACATCATATTAAAATAATCGACACAATGACTTTCTTTACCTTGAATTCATCAAATCCATCAGGGATCCGTTCAAAGAATGACGCCAGATGCATAAATGTAACCAAGTTTCGCGTGAGGAATGTATTAAACTCGTTCTGCAAATTGGACCCTTGTGCAAAGAGTTGTGAGGGGTCTAAGTGTTCTAACAAGTATTGACGAGTATATCGGAGATGATGAGGGAGATGACGTTTTCTCTCCCTAAAATCGCACCATTTTCGTTTATCTCCTAAAGGGAGAATAGTGGGCTCCCCAAACACATCCTGCTCACAACTATTATTGAAGAATCGGAGGAGTGGCAGTCCAATGAAATACTGATTCGCATCCCCGATAAAGAATACCTTGTCATTTTCATTACCAATCGGATCCCCCGTTATAAACTCTTTCATTGATGCATGATAGAATTTGACGCCCTGCATTTCCTCTGGCGAACTTTCTGGAGGACTGTCCGAAGAACGGTTTGAAGAAAGATCAACGATTGAGAGAATTGGTTTCAATATGGCCAGGACCTCTTTCTCGGTGATTCCTGACAGCTGCGATATAAAAAACACACTTGGTGGCTCGAATGCTGCATTGATTGTGGAAACAACTTGGCGATACTTCCTAGCTGTATGTGGAGGGACTCCTGGCAGGTCAAACATATAGGCACGGCGAAGTATGCGCAAGTACTCTGAGTTGATGTCAGTGGGGGCACCGATAAGTATTCAAATTCAGATTGAAGGGTTTCACCACGACGTGTTCGAGCAGAGACACCCCGGATTCGGATTGAGGTGATAATGGGCAATCCATGACAGGCTGTGGCAAACGCATCGATATCCTCTTTCGACGGCTTCCAGGAAGACTCATTGACACAACCCCGAAGGCCTTCCTCCACCATGCAGCGGATAGTGTGGAACTTCTCTTCCTCAGCGACAATGTCCACATCTTCACATGGTATGATAAGACCTTGAGCCCGAGCGCCGTCCCAAGCCGACACGATGGATGACTCTGGCCAACAGCTGACCAACACGGCAAATGTGGCTGGCAGCTCGTCAAGAACAAATACTAGCTTCATTAAGGACTCAAGGTCCTCCTGAACCCCACACTCATCCAGCCCATCCAAGACGATGACGGGACGCTCCCCACGCAAAGATAGGAGTTTGTGCATGAGATCGACAATCAAAAATCGCATCTGCTCCAGAGTGGAATCTCGGAGGTCCTTCAGTGCCGAGGACCATCGAAGTTTACTGACAAGAAGACCCTCGTACTCGGCATTAAACAAGGCAAGTTGACGTGCAAGAGTAGAGGGAAAGTGTTCAATCGAAGCAAGTCCTACTCCCTTTCGATTTTTGTCCCAGAAGAAAGATGCCGCCAGGTGTCCCTGTTTGTTGAGAGCCGAGGCAACGCTCATTGATATAGCAGTCTTTCCAGTGCCCAGGGAGCCACGAAGCCAGACAAATCGGTGTTCCCGTTTCTCCAAATGATTGAGTATCGATTCCTGAATTCGGACACGGGTGTTTTCCACGCATTCCGACTTGCTTTTCACCGCAAAGAATTCTGCCTCTGCTTTGTAGAGTTTCGAGAGTTCGGCTAAAATATCATTAAATTCCAAGCAGTGGGATCGGGGAACAACAACGCACGGTCCACTGATGACTGAATTGTATGGAGGGGATTCAGAGTTGTCGCAGTGGTCTGTGGGTAAACTCAAGTCAGTCATCGGACAGTCTGAATACCAAGAAAACAAACCGTAAAGCGGGAGACAGCATCACGGATACAGGGCTTTACAGCGCTTATTTCCTGGTCGCTGAAATTACCCTCTTGGCAAGCTTTTGACGTTTGAGTGCCTCAATTTGCTCTAATTGTTGTTTTAGAGCTCTGTGACCGAGGGTTAAGATTTGGGCGAGAGAACGATGAATTGAATGCACATACAAGTTAAATCGATGAATCAGGTCACTTATTTCGAGAGGAACTTGGCCGGTCCACAACTGGAGAGGCCTGAAGATTGTTTCCTGGGCGTTTCGAACTTCATCGTCTAATCCCTTGAGATTCTCGTCATTGTTGTCAATCGTCTGCATGAAAACATGGAGGTTATTTCATTAGATCGCAAAATCGCAACAACACCTGCGAACCTCGTAAACTTGGAGCCATGCCAGGAGTATACTTGGTATTTGATCGAGGTTTGGAATAGGGACGAACTTAAGAGCAGAGGCGGCAGTTTGAAGGACGAGCCTTGTAGCGGCAATGATTGTTTTCTTTCCGTCACCAGCAGTGACGGTTGGGGATGACAGATCGGGCGTAGAGGGATCAGATTTTCTGGGATCGGAGGACTTTGATTGGTCGGTATGAGTGGGATCGGGGCTGGGACTTCTGCTGAACAGCTGAGCTATAGCGTGCCGAACAGACTTCCGCTCCTTCCGGCCTCGAGAACTACCACCAAAAGTAGTGAAAGGATTAAGACGGAATCTATCAGATCCACCGCGATCTGTGCTAGTTGCTGCATCGCTTTCAGTTGGAGAAGAAGTGGTCTGGAGATTGGGAACAGAGTTCGAGCCGCGATGGGCCACCGGGAGGCGCAGGAGGGTGTCCTCTTTTGAAAAACTTCAATCGATCAGACATCGCAATCGCGGAGGGCGTTGTGGGCGAAGAGGAGAGTTGAGCTACCTCAACCACACGACATATAAGGCAGTACTGTCCTAACCAAGTTTGTACAGGGGCGATGGGGATTGGGCGAAAGGAAGTAATTAAAGGATTCACGGATTCTTTTATCTTTTCTTGAGCTTCTTCTCGGAGCTTGAATGAATTGCAATTCTGTCAGTAAATGGCGTCACATCGTTGGAATAAGCGCAATATCCACTCACTTCACATAAATGGACGGAACGCCGCAGGGATTACAAAGTCGAACCAAATTTCGCGCATTAAAGAAGGCAGTCTTCCATTTCCGTTCATCTCCTAGTAGTTGGACAACTCATTAATTATCGTTGAGAGATCGAAGGGGTGCGCGGTAGTCCCGAGGAAATACTCTATCGTATCACTCCCGATTCGAACCCTGAATTCCTTCTTCGTTGCGTGATAAGTAATGCCATGTCCTGAGGAACGTTCCGAGCGGCTTGTCGGGAAAAATCAACAAGTCGGAAAATTGGTTCCAAGCTCGCCATCACCTCCTCGGCTATTCCTACGTTATTCCTTATATAATCCCTAGGAGTTTATGGGTCGCATCTTCACGCCAAACCCCATCTCAGCACCTCCGCCCTCGCGAATACCAGGTAACATGAAGTCGTTAGTCCTTCAGCGGCTCAGCGGTGTGGATCTGATTGTTCTTGAGCGAGTTCCAAGCCAAGTGGCTCCATGCCGAGCGCGAGGAGGTTAGCGTGAAAGCACGCAAAGTGTTCCAATGGCAGTGCGGGCGTCCCATGGAAGTGACGTAGAGGAGACCACGAGTCGGGGAGGGGAAGGGCGGGGAAGTGCATAGTGTCCATAGCACAGTCAAGGATTTGAGGTCTAATTTGGATTTTAAGGGCTTTTTATCAAGGGTTGTGAACAACGGGAGTCTCACGCATGTCCAAAGTCGCTGTTCGGACTTGCCAGAGAAGTGACCTTTCAGCGGACACTCGTACTGAAATTGGAAAGCACCTCAATAAATCAGAGATGCCACTGTAAGATGAGGATATCGTTTACCACACTGTCTGCCACACCGCCGGTTGAGTAAGTAGTGGACTAGGCACGGCATTTGTCTCCAAAACTAGTTGGACCCAAAGGTACACGGAACACACTTACAATCAGGCTAAGTACCACTCTCTACGGTCTCCCAAAATGCATTCCATAGCCAATCCTTCGTCTGCGTCTCCTGCAAAAGGTCGATGATATCATCTGATCTAAGGGAAAGACTCCTTTTTCGTCCAGTAAGGTGCGCGAGGCACCTGAACTCCATCTTGCATGTGGCAATCTTCACAAGGAGTACTATCTACCGTTCCTGACCCATACGATGTTGTAATTGATGATGTGGTTGGTGAGTGAGCGATACCTCGTTGTGCCTTGTACCGAGTAGCCGGACAAATCTACAGGCGGACAGCAACCTACCCAAGTGACGAATTTTGATATATTGTTTCAAAGAAAGAGATTTCGCCATTTTAAGTTGGAAGAGATTCACCATCGTAATTCCCAATGACGGTTCTGACGCACATGCAATGGTCTTTGAATCCAAATGGGACGGGATGCAATTTGCCATCATGGGATATATTGGTAGCCACGAGTGGACGCTCCCCTCACTTCGAGTCCTCACTACAGATGATAGCAGCCTAGTAAACCGATCCGAACACATGTGAGTGGAGACTCCACAACTTTATTTCCGTGTGTTTGTTTCGAGACCCTGCCCTTGCATGGCAGTACTCTCACGAGCAGCAGCTTGAAGTCCTGCAGCTACACACATACACGTACACATGCCTAGTAGGCCAGAAACCTCGTACAACTTCTGAGTCCCGGGAATTTATTTATTATCCCACCTCAACGTCATTCGAGAAAATGCTGATGCAACACTTGTCGCAAGAGAGTCATATTTTTGCTGTCCTCGCTCTCTATTCCTTACTCGCACAATCTGCAAGCTTCAGCCGACGTAGAAAATAACAGATCTAGAGAAGTTCCCATATCTGGGGATACTCATCGTCCTTCGTCCAAGTGAACCCCAGACCATTTTCCTCTGGTAAGTCATCACTAACAAATATTCCAATATACTTTCACAATTGCTGGAACAATCGAGACTCTCTACGAAATGCTTTTCCTTTGAAATTCTTGTAGGATGATGCGCAGTAAACGTGCACCCCTTGTAGCGCGCTATCAATTGCAGATATTGAACCCAGGCTGCCCACCTTCTGTTAAATTATTCTGGATCATGCAGATGTGTTATTCTGTAGGTAGGGCTGCGGGGATCGGATGGATTATATGGATCGATGGCCACCGGGCCCGGGTTGATGCTGGCACGTCGAGGATCCAGATGTGTCAGGTTCCGAACACAATTAGACAGTTGAATAAAGAGTTACTGTTTCTCGGCATGCTTCCTTCCGCATTGGTCTTGGGATTTAATCCGAATGTGGCGCAAATTCTCTTTGGGTTTTCAACTTGGCCGCAGGTTTCGGCGCGACAACGTTGGCGTTATTTAGCCCGATGCACGTTTGGCCCCATCTCTCCTAGCTGAGTATTAGTAGGGATCTTCACTAGACGCTTGTACACACATATATCTAGCACTTATATATCACGTTGGTCTTTTTGTTACATTACTTATGTGCAGCTGAGGATAACCGTCGGGTGACATGATGGAACTGGGAAAGGAAATATCGATCTTTCAGTACGTTCAAAATGATAACGGAAAATTTGCTTCGGTCAAGCCTTTTAGTGCCTCAAATGGACAGGTATGTTCATTCTGATACGGAGTGAGGAAATTATGAAAAGAGCAAAGTCAAAGGTCTGGTCGCAATGCTGAGCATTCATTTTGTCCGACCCGGGACGAAACGATAGCGCAAGGGAGGAATGGTCGTAGAGCTGTTGAAGTCTCCGAGCTTTATTTATACTCGAAGTCCAGAAAGATGGAAGCGCGACCTAGCGAAATTTCGCGATTCCCCCTTTGACGGTGGGTAGAACGTGCAAAGGCAAATAGGAGGATATTGCAATTGACCACGAATATCCTAAATGACTTGGCTAAGATCAACAACAATTGGAGCTGTCTGCCAGCCTTGGAGAAGGATTCGAGTCCCATCTTTGCTGGATCGAGGGCTGTACAGAAAGGTAGGATCAGACGGAACTTGATCACCATACCAAGCGCCTAGACCCTTGGCACCAGTAAAAACAACTGGATCATACTCCTGGGGAATAATGAATTCTAATTTGCCATTGAAGAGCACTGGTATCCCCCTGCGTTTTCCCCTGGTTCCGAACAGCGGGGCTCTTCCAGCAGCGGATGAATGGATCTCAAGCCTCCGCAACTTCTTCATCCACCCTTCCGACTCCTCCGGCTCCTCACTTGGCAAGAGAACATAAAATGGACACTTGATCCAGGACCCGTCCAAGTTATGCCCTGCATGTGTTTCGGAATGATGTATATCTGCTACTTCACCTTCTGTCAATGAAAGTGTAGGTCGAGCATTGATACAGGTGAAGGGATGTGATACGAGCAGGTGAAGGGAACAACAGGATTCATAATCCAAAAATTGAAATCCGTCACACGATAACTCGCAATGAGCTCACCCGAACCTGTCGACCAGGTGAAAGCACTGAGGCCATCGAAAGCGCCGACATAACATGCTCCCGGAGAAAACCCGAGCGTGCGACGGTGAGGAATAGCGAGCAGAAGGTCATCTGGGTCAGTTTTGATGGATGCAGAAGGCGAAGTAGAAAAATCAGAGGCCAAGATAGGAGGGCTGGAAGTTGGAGTAAAATTATTGGAAGTAGGGGGTGCGAGGTGCTGCATGTGCGGGTCACCCGAAATGGATATGAGAGTCAGGCTGTCGTACCAAGGACTATCAGCGTTCCGTGGAACTCGTATGATAAATAATCCATTATCTGATATTCGAGTTACAGCAGGAAGAGGATTGTTGGGAAGAGTACCAAGATTAATGGGGGTCATATCGTGGCTAAGGATGGTGACGTTCCCCTCATTGTCCTCGGCAGCAACTCGGTGGCTTCCATGGACAAATTCGATCCAGACTGGATGGTTGGGTGGATCAAGCTGGAATCGGGAAATTGTGTGCTGATGGTCGATATCGGTGAGTTCGATGACACCACTGCCAAAACCAAGAGCTACATGGTGACCGTCAAGGGAGAGCGCCGCGCATGTCACGATACCGTTATGGACATCAGCGTCGTTGAATAGGGCATCATAAACACCCCGACTACCAGCCCACTTTGGCAAATTAGGTAGCTTCGCCTCCATGAGCATTCGAGCATCGAGTAAATCCTCACTCAATGGGATTCTGTGCCCAGAAAACTCGCCAGAAATGGTGAAGATCCGGACGGAATCGGAGAGGTGGCCATACAGTTTGTGAAAAGGTGATGAGGGTGGGGTGAAAGGAAGGGTCGATCGATGGAGGTGCCATGGCATCAAGGAAGTCACACCCAGATACTCCACAAATTGCTTTTCTCGGGCGACTTTCAAAAGTTTGAATGAATCGCAATTCTGTTCAAAATAACATCATAAATAATCGCAATGCAATGATTTTATTTACCTTGAATTCATCAAATCCATCAGGGAATCCTTTGCCATGTTCATCGAACGACGCCAGGTGGATAAATGTAACCAAGTTTCGCGTGAGGAATGTATTAAACTCGTTCTGCAAATCGGACCTTTGTGCAAAGAGTTGTGAGGGATCTAAGTGTTCTAATAGGTATTCACGAGCATATTGGAGATGATGAGCATATCGGAGACGAAAAGGCGGAGGACGTTCTCTCTCAGGAAGATTACTCCATTTCCCCACGTCTCCTAAAGGGAGAACAGTGGGCAACCCAAACACATCCCGCTCACAACTATTATTGAAAAATCGGAGGAGTGGCAGTCCGATGAAATACTTATTCGCATCCCTGATAAAGAATACCTTGTCGTTTTCATTACCAATCGGATTCCCCATTATAAACTCTTTCATCGTTGCATGATAGAATTTCACACCCTGCATCTCCTCTGGGGGAGGACTCTCTGAAGAAAGTTTTGAAGAAATGTCAACAATTGAGCGAATTGGTTCCAGTATGGCTAGGACATCTTCCTTGGCAATTCCTGACAGCTGCGATATAAAAAACACACCCAGTGGCTCGAATGCTGCATTGATTGTGGCAACCACTTGGCGATACTTTTCCGCTATATGTTTGCGGACTCCAGATGAGCCAACCATATAGGCCCGGCGAAGTACACGCAGGTACTCCATGTTGACATCAACAGGGGCATCAATCAGATCACGAAAGTATTGGAACTCGGATCGAAGGGTTGCACCACGATGAGTTTGAAGGGAGACATCCCGGACTCGGATTGAGGCAATAATGGGCAATCCACGACACGCTGAGACAAACGCATCGACTTCGTCTTTTGATGGTTTCCAGGAAGAGCTATCGATACAACCCTGAAGGCCTTCCTCCACCATGCAGTGGATAGTGTGAAAGTTCTCTTCCTCAGCGACAATGTCCATGTCTTCACAGGGTATGACAAGACCCTGAGCTCGAGCTCTAACCCAAGCCGATACAACGGATGACTCTGGCCGACAGCTGACCAACACGGCAAATGCGGCAGGGAGCTCATCAAGGATACGTACTAGCTTCATTAAGGACTCAAGTTCCTCCTGAGTCCCACACTCGTCCAGTCCATCCAAGACGATGATGGAGCGCTCCTCACTCAAAGATGAGAGTTGGTACATGAGATCGACAATTAAAGATCGCATCTGCTCCTCCAGAGTGGAATCTCGGAGGTCCTTTAGTGCTGAGGACTGTCGAAGTTGACTGACAAGAAGACCCTCATACTCGGCGTTAAACAAGGCAAGCTGATGTGCAAGAGTAGAGGGAAAGTGTTCAATCGAAGCAAGTCCTTCCCCCATCCGATTTTTGTCCCAGAAGAAAGATGCCGCCAAGCGACCCTGTTTGTTAAGAGCCGAGGCGACACTCATTGATATAGCAGTCTTTCCAGTACCTGGAGAGCCACGAAGCCAGACAAATCGGTGCTTCCGTTGCTCCAAATGATCGAGTAGCCATTCCCGGATCTGGACACGTGTATTCTCCAGGCATTTCGACTTGCTTTTCACGGCAGAATATCCTGCATCTGCTTTGTGGAGTTTTGAGAGTTCATCTGAAACGTCATTAGATTCCAAGTGGTGAAATCAATGGAAAACGACAAACAGTCCACTGAGAGTCGAATTGTGTGGAGGAGATTTAGAGTTATCGCAGCAGTCTATGTAGAATCTCTCAGTAAATCTTTTCACAGCTTCGACGTAGACGAAACGAACCGAAAAGCGGGAGATAGCATCGCGGATGCACGACTTCACGGCGCTTATTTCCTGGGTTATCTCAGTCGCTGAAATCACTCTCTTGGCAAGCTTTTGACGTTTGAGTGCCTCAATTGTTGTTTTAGAGCTCTGTGACCAAGAGTTAGGATTTGGGTGAGAGAGAATGATGAAGTGAATGCACGTACGAGTTAAATCGTTGAATCAGATCACGTATCTCGGGAGGAACTTGGCCATTCCACAACTGGAGAGGCCTAAAGATCGTTTCGTGAGCGTTTCGAACTTCATCGTCTAATCCTTTGAGATTTTCGTCATTGTTGTCGATGGTCTGCATGAAACATGGAGGTTATTTGATCAAATCGCAAAATCGCACTTGCGAACCTCGTAAACTTGGAGCCACGCCAGGAGTATACTTGGTATCTGATCGAGGTTTGGAATAGGGACGAACTTAAGAGTAGAGGCGGCAGTTTGGAGAACGAGCCTTGTGGCGGCGATGACTGTTTTCTTTCCGTCACCAGCATGGACGGCTGCAGATGACGGTGTTAGATTTATTGAAGATGGGGTATCCAAGTTCACGCCTGTGCGTCCTGGTAGTGGGTGGGGAGTTTTAGTGTTGCCATGGATTATACGCTCGCTGGGCATCATGTGAAAGGTATCAATGGCCCCATCGGAGGATTTCGATTGGTCGATATGAGTGGGATTGGGACTAGGACTCCTGCTGAACCGCTCAGCTATAGCGTGCCAAACAGACCTCCGCTGCTTCCGGCCTCGAGAAGTACCACCAGTAGTAGTAAGAGGCTTAAGGTGGAATCTATCAGATCCACCGTGATCTGTGCTAGTTGTTGCATTGCTTTCAGTTGGAGATGAAGTGATCTGGAGGTTGGGAACCGGGTTCGAGGGTCGCGATGGGCCACCAGGAGGCGCAGGAGAGTGTCCTCTTTTAGAAAACTTAAGTCGATCAAACATCGCGTATCAGCAATTGCAGAGGGTGTTGTGGCCAGAGGTGAGTTGAGCGTCCGCCACGCGACAAATCAGGCAGTGCACAAATGAAGTGGGATGGCGAATATTGAAGTGCCCCTTTGTAGACGCAACACCTGGATAGGGCATTAGGTACACTATCAAAATAATTGACAATAACGAAGTTCACCACGCCGACTACACACCCTTGAGCAATTTTTAGCATAGTTTCAATTATTGATGGTTATTTGGTTCGGACCCCGGTCTCAACTCCTCACCTTAACCAAAAACAGCTCCAGGTGTCTTCCCCCCCGCATGGGGATCCAGGCTACTGACGGTGGACTGTATCTGAATGGATGTCTTTGTATGATGCCGACACAAGCTTAGACTAGAAACCAAAATTTTTTGTCTTGCGCTTCAAGTCTATCGCAGCAGGACTTCTCTCACTTCTAATCGGCGGCCTCGCACTTCCGAGTAGTGAAGATGTCCTATTTCGCTGTCGTTCTAAAACATGGAATACGTCGTTGCCACGAGTTACACAAAGTTTTCGCGTAGGCGAGAATATTTAATCAAGCCCATCGATCGATTCGTAGCCATATATCCTTCTTCCCGACGGCACAACCAGTGAAGAGGGAAGAGATGTAAGGCAGGCTTAGATACCAGGAATAGTAGGCGGGAATAGCAGGATGTGTTGAAGATCTCAGCTGTACGTCCGAAGGCTTGAAATTTGATAAATGTATAACAATGATTTCCTCCGGGGAAAATGCCCTCTCCGTCGACATAACTGATGGGCCGAAAAGGCAGAGATGGCGAAGAACTGAGCAAAGGTGAAAAGGTGAACAGGGCCCCTGTAAGAAGGATCAGGGTCAAGGGCCTGGGGCGGGGTCGATATTTATTTTGTTGCTCCCAACGGCGTTGGAACATATGATTCCGTCAAATGAGCTCTCCGAAGAGGGGATCAACGATTCAGTTGTTAGATCAAACACCAAATCGCATCCGCAGGGTGCTCAGCGGAGAATATCGGTAATATGACATTTTCCTTGTCCGGCTAGTCGTGGCGTCATCCTACAGACACCTGGCCTCCGATCTTGAGCCGTCGTGAGTCCGGGCACATGGTTCTAAGCATCGTTTCCAGGTGCGAGAACACTGTTTTGCTGGGGCACGTAAGTGTAATTATGTCACTTTGTGAGAAATCCATCATCAGCAGTATTTGTCAATTCAATCGCAGTCAGAGATCAATTCAGTCCAAGTGATGACGTGAAAGACTTTAGGGTACCACTGAATTGTCTGAATCATCATGTTATTCAATCATTACTGTTGGCAGCCAAATCGCTCAAGAAATGATAATGAGTTTTGTGCAATCAGTAGCGTATATAAGGAGGACTAGATTCGAGGATGCCCTGGTCAGCCAGCCAGTAATTCCTCACAAACTCTCTACTACCCACCCTCAGCTTTACATATTATATTCTACAAATCGTAGCCGAGAATGCCTCTCTTCGGAAATTGGAAGCGAAGCTCTGTAGGCCCTTCGACCAAGCCTGTCAATTCTCACGCCGCCATGGGGACACAAGCCAAACCAGCCGGGGGACGAGCCGACGCGTTCCTCAAAACTATCGCCGAGCGTCGGACTGTATACGCCTTGACGAAGAAGTCCTCAATACCAGATGAACGTGTTGTCGAGATAGTTCAGCATGCTGGTATGTCATCATCTCTTTGTCTCATCGGAATGGCTGGACTAATTTACTGGGATCGTCGACGCAGTCTTGCACTCTCCCACTGCTTTCAACTCCCAATCAAACCGTGTCGTTGTTCTCTTTGGAGAGAACCACTCAAGACTTTGGGACATCGTCGCCGAGTCCTTGAGGAAAATCCTCCCTGCCGAGCAATTCGAAGGGATGGTGGGGAAAGTGCGCTCCTTCCAGGTTAGTCCTTCCTTCCCCTCCTATAGACGCGAGAGACTAACTCGTACCTTTCTATACTATAGGCCGGATACCTCACAATCCTGTATTTCGTCGACACAAAAGTTGTCAAAGGACTCGAAGAACAGTTCCAAGCATACGCAGCAAACTTCGCGCCGTGGGCCCAGCAATCTATTGGAATGCTCCAATCCAACGTTTGGGTTGCCCTGGAGAAGGAAGGACTTGGTGCTAGTTTACAACATTACTCTAACCTGATCGAGGCGGAAGTCAGGAAGGTATACAACATCCCTGAAGAGTGGAGTAAGTACCATTTCTCATCGGAAGATGATCGGGAGTACTAACGAGTGGTTTCTTTAGGCATGGTCTCTCAGCAGCCGGTTGGTGTTCCTGCTGAGGGCTGGAAGGCGCCTGAAAAGGACTCTAAGCCTCTCGAGGAGACCGTTAAGGTCTTCCACTAAACTATATGGACTTTCATATTGCCATTTACGCCTTGTCTGCGTAGACACATACCTAGTTATTCTTGCGATTGGATTAATAATCATCGAGAGAGACGCACTACTGGAGACGCATGGGGTTGTTCATTTGTACATAAGATGCAAACCCAACATCACAAGTGGCCTTCCACGTTGCCGGCGAACGAAGTGTTTGGAAGGATCCGATAGATGGAAGATCATTACGGAAGTCGGAATTGCCATCATGATGCATTGCTAATTATAGTTGTCTATTTATCCTTTGTTCCCACCTTTAATAGATCGTAGCGGTAAGGATGTCAATCTCATCACCTCGTGGGGACCTCAAAGAAAGGAGCAAAAGTAAACCAAACCCCGCTGCTTGCCGAGGGCGGACAGCATTGGACGGGATAGCCTATGATGCAAGGTGCGCTGATTAGAAAATGAGAGTGATAAGAAATACGGAAGCCTAGCGACTCAATTTGTATCGCACGAGGCAGGATGAGGCAATGTGCAGTACAGCGATATTCCGTTCCAAAGGTCAAGTGCTCCTGACCATGCCAACAAACGCAAGCGTTGTGTTGCGGTAGAGATTAGGGTCGTTAACGTCTCACCAAACACTTTGGCAGATGGAAGTTGTTTGCCGAGGTCACCCTTGAACTGGTTCAAGCTGCGTGTGGCCGTTACACCGCCACAATAGTCAGAGGGCTGGCGTTCAGCAAGCCTAGACTATTCGTCCGGATTTACATTTCTGGCATGTCCCGAATTGGCGCACAACGCACAGTACCTCGAACTGGGAGCCTTGCTTCCTTGGGGGCCGTGATGCTAAGCGTATCGGCACATCAATCGGAGCCCATGAGGGCCCAAGCGGGCGCCATTTTATTACGGTAGCTGCCACTGGATGAACGAAGCAGTTCATATCCCGTTAGAACGTGAGGTGAAGGACAATGATCCGCCCACATCACTCTTTTCAGCAAAGAACATCCGTGTTGATAATCATGATACGGGATGGTTACCATTGTCGAATGCTGGATCAATGCCTGCAACATTCTATGACGGGAATGGTAATGAGCTAAGGCGCCAAAGTCAAAGACCACCCATGGGAAAGAAAGACAGCCCAATAACAGGCGGGCTAGGAAGTAGGAAGGCCTCATATCAGTGACAGATTCAGTGGCATTAGACCACACGAAATCACTAGTGCTTTGGGAGGTTTAGGAGAGGGCTGCCGATAGTAAAACGAGCCTAGGGAAGCTTAAAAAGCCACTTATCTCATCTCCTTCGCTCGAAAAGCAAAGTGTAGGATCAAATGAAGCTGGGAAGTGTACTCTAAGGCCATGCGGTTGTGTGGTTTTCTGGGAAATGGCATAACACGTTCATTGACGAGTCGTTGAACCGTGGCGCGTCATCTGGTTAAATGTCAATCAAACATGATGTCCCTCCGAATACTTCCGAGATTGAAACGGCGCGAGCGTTGAATCAAGTTCACCCAGGAAGCCTGAGGGACAAACATGAAATCCTGCAAACGAGCTCCAAGAGACGGAGCTGAAACACAACTTGTGCAATAGAATGAGGGACTCCGAGGTAGGTTTTGACATGGGTATCCAAGTCGCAGTTAATGCCTCTTTGCAATGTCAATTGGGTCACAGTTAGTACCAAGTGGCCTGAATCCAAGGACGTCATTCGGTCCAGTGGAACAAGCAACGAATGCCATTAAACAAGCTCCATATACGCCATAGTTCATTCTCACGAGGTTAGCTCGGGAAGGAGTGAAGAAGAATCAGTCATGCATCCACTAAAATTTCTGTGCATGTTGACGCCATAGGGCATCTACAATTTTGACCGTGTCACGGGTATCGCGAATATCATGGACGCGAATAATGTCGCATCCCTGCTGGATAGCTGCAACGTTAACAGCAGCAGTAGCAAAATTCCGTTCTAATGGTGGTGCCTGAGGTCGTCCGATCAATTTGCCGAGAAAGGATTTCCGAGAGGCACCAACTAGCGTTGGCATTGACTCAAGAACGGCAACAGACCCATCATCCGGCGACGACAAGGCTTGTTTCTTGGAAATATACTCTCCCAGATGATGGCTTCCGTGAGGATTAAGCACCAATGATCCAGAGGCAGTGAAGTCGCGCAAACCCCGAATAAGGTCTAGGTTCCCTCCTACTGTCTTTGAGAATCCGATCCCAGGGTCAACAATAACATTCCATCTCCACACCCCAGTCTCCATAGCCTTAACCACTTCCGCGCCGAGTTCCTCGCGGACGCTTGCCATGACTCCTTTCGGTTCATAGCTATTATCCTTTCCCGCGTCGGTGCCTCTAGAGTGCATCATAATCACTGGAACGGCTAGTTCACTGGCCAAGGCTAGCATGCCCTTTTCTCTTAGAGCACGGACATCATTGATGCAGTTGGCACCCCCTTCCAAAACCGCACGGCGGGCAACCTCTGCTCTAAAGGTATCCACAGAGATTGGAATCGTGACACCCGCCTTACGAAGAGCACGACAGACTGGTACAACACGCCCTATCTCGTCTTCAGTGGACACTTCGGCAGCACCGGGTCTGGTAGAATAGCCCCCAACATCGATAATATCGGCGCCATTGGCCACTGCATTTAATGCGTACTCTACGGCGGAGGAGATCGTGGCGTGGAGACCACCATCTGAGAAGGAATCAGGAGTATAGTTCAGTGTCGCCATGATATACGTTTTTTCTCCAATAAACCATTGAGTGGAGGGGCATGAAGGGGTCAAATCCAGAGAGGCAACAAGTGGGGTGCAAGGAAACGAAAGAACCTTGCGAAGATTACGTTCCGGGATATCTTGAAACATTTCTAAAATGGTTTTAATGGAATGAGGTGGTTTGTAACCAGGAATCATGCTCGCATCCACAGTCAATGCCTGAGACCAAGGAAAGTGGGTGAAACTTACTCAGCAAGCGGCCGGAGGACGAATTCGCGCTCCGACATGCGCGGATGGGGGATAATCAGTTGGCGTCTGATTACAATGTTGGAGTCGTCGATTTTTTCTTCATCTGATATAATAACATCGTCGTAAAGGATAATGTCAAGATCAACAACACGAGGTCCGTTTCGAAAAGTAGGGGTACGACCAATCGCTTGCTCGACACGCTTAAGGGCACCTAGCAACTCGTGAGGGGTGAGGTTGGTCTCGACCTAATGTTCACCAATTAGTTGTTGATCGTAGTGCGAAGATGGCTTGTTCTAACCAGGCATGCGGCGTTCCTAAATTGAGGTTGATTCTCCACATACATAGGTTCACTGTGATACATAAAGCTTGTATCGATGACCTTAATTCCAATTTCCCTGAGTGCCATTAAGGACTGCTGAATGTTGGCTACCCCCTCCCCGATGTTGGATCCCAAAGCAATCGCCGCTACGTGACAGCCATTTGTGTCGCCTGTCACTTGCGGTAGCCATGGCATTTGAAGATCCGAGAGTTTGCGGGTAATAGACACCTCCGCCGAGGACGCGAACATAATGGCATTAGGTTTGGCAAGACTAACAGTAATTTGGGATATTAAGTGCTTCCCTGACGCTGTCGAGTACGCAGAGGGACTTGTGAGTGCAGCCCGAGCCACCCCTGTCACAAAAGCTTCCACCGTTTCGTATGATGACGCAAGAGAGAACTTGATGGGAGAACAAATGCTTGATCATCTAGAAGCAATTGTGTGCAAAACAAACCAACGTACGACCACCACCGAATCCGCTATACCACCGTAATCGAACGGAGTCAGAGGGGATGGCAAAGGGAATCTTGAATCCCTGAATCCCAGTGGAACATCCATCTCCACGTTGATACGGATCAGCTGTTTGTGAACTCGCTCCCAAGGGTTGATTCCAATAACAGTGAAAAACTCAAGATCCCGAATATAAAAACGAGAGGCAGCGATTTTTGCGACGTCTCCACAGGTGACATCGCCCCTTTGAGCTGTCATCTTGATTCCAGCACCCTTGGCATACAAGTGAGCTCGAGGCTTCTCGACCTCGATGTTGATCTCGTCCAAGTTGGGGAACGTCTTCAGGCAGTCCGTGCAAAGTGCGTATCCCAAAGTCTCGAGAGAGTTGATCTCGCCGCCTGGAAGTATTCCAGCGACCACTCTTTCAATTAATTTTGCAAGGGTGCCATAGTTCACGGAGTTAGGCAGGGAGTCTGACGATGCCGCTAATTCGACTGAGAGAGGTGCTGCGGCTGATATGACCAATGGTTGTGATAGCTCCTCCGACCCGGGTTTTGGCCACTGGAATGCACCAAGAGGAGCTCGGACTGAGAGCTTGTTGAGAATTATCTTGTCCATCAACTGTGCCACGTGCCACCCTTCAGTCCCCCGACGCGGCAGAACCCGTCACTCCACTAGGAACACTCTTCGCATAATAGAGAACAACCCTGGTCTCAGTACTCAGAGTCATACCTTTCCCTCGCGTACGTCATATCTACTGATGGCTCTTCGCATGCTGATCATCCACGCACGTTTAGTTCAACACGGTCTTTACACGACAAACCAGAATCATGACATTGGTTGAAATGGGAAGTATATAAAAATGTTGATGCAGTTGTGTTGGCAGTGAAACGAAGAATAAGATGATGGTGAATCGTTTTGGAGCCTTCCAACATGCAGGTAGCTAACGTAAACCAGTTGTGTAACAAGCGATGTTGATGTGGTGATGCGACAGCATATAGGTTATGAGGCAAGCGTAAGCTACGGCCAGAATGGAGGGCATGCTGAAAGAGGAAGGTGGAGGCCGGTCTGTATTCACTCAAGAAGACAACAGCCCACAAAGAGCAAGTGCTGCATCCATCTCTTTTTGCCTCGTTGAACCACCGGAAGCAGATCGTTCTTGATGTGTACGCTTCTTGGAGGTTGATACGGGGAGCAAAGGGGTGGATGATGCTCGTACGATTGGGGTCCCCTGAGCATTGCGCACAGTGCGTATCTGAAGCGTCGACGGAATACGCAGCGTCGAGAAGCTTTTGGAACCGAGAGTGTGTGATCGAGAAAGTGTGCGCGAGTTTCCGTAGGGCTTCTCTAATGCCTTGGAAGGCAACGGGGGCCCGTATGGTGTCAGTTCTGGCAAGCGAGTGGAGGTGGTTGGAATTGATGCGAGTGATTGGCAATCGGACGGCGTCAGGACTTCCTGGTCTGTCTCTTCTGTACAAGAAGCCGAAGACACGTTTGCACACGCCCATTCCATAGTGACATTAGGTTTCCGTTTCAGTGATGAGAACGAGCTGGAGTTAAAAGCAGGCATATGCACGGACGAAGTGGGAGGAGAGGGGCTCTTGTGCCGATGAACTGGTGGGGGAGAGCTAGGAGGCGAAGATACCATATGTTCCCAGATATAACGCGCGTGTTGGGGGTGGTAAGACGTGTTGTAAGCAGATCGGGGACGGGGTTGGGGTAGCTCTCTCGTGCATGCAACTTCATCCAATGTAGGAAAATGCTGCTGACGGGCTCTCAACGTTTCTGCTGAATGAGCTCTCCGGAAATTGCTAGTTCTGAATTGATACCAGGCTTTGACAGCGCGCACCTCACTGTGGAAATGGATAGGATACAAGGTAACATGCAGGGCTTAGACCTAGCTTACACATTGAGATGGTTAGCTATCAAGCATTCCTGCGCATGCGTGGGGTTATGGTCTTGGGTGAAGGCGCGCTCCAACACGGCGACATGACGAACAGTAAGATGCTCTAGCCGTGGTTCCGGCGTGCAAACGCGTGTGATGTGAGCCGAGATTCCTAGGGCCGCCGACTGCGTTGATTGTTGAGTACATAGAACCCTCTGTGAGTCATTCTCCTCAGCTGAGCGACCAGCTTCTGGCGTCGGTGGGCAGACATTAACAATAATCGTAGGGTTGTAAACCGTGGCCTTCGCGTCTTCTGCAATCCCCAACATCCGTCTCTCAATCGGCATAACAAAGCAATCGAGAGACGGACGAAGTTCGCCTTGTTGAACGCGTTGCGACGCGTTGTCCGTGTTGTTTGGGATTCCCGGACCTCTCCGGGTGCTACTTATGTATTTAAGGATCACGCGGGCTGAGTAAATAACGTGTCCAATCAATACATATCATAAAATGAGATTTCCGCTGCGATCTCAACTGCATTTGACCCCTCGAGCCTTGTTGGCCAAGAAACTTCCTCATAAAAGCTCCATTGTTAGGTTGCGTTATTCTATGCCTACAGAAATAACAGAAGTGTCAACATTAGGTTACACGTGTGATTCCAGATCGGTACCCTGAAGTGAACTGACCCTCCATCATTGTTCGCCCCACCGGCGATCTAGATGCTCCTGGCGCAATAGGTCCATATTCTCAAGCCATAAAGGCTGGACCATATGTATTCTTATCGGGAAATATACCCGCCATCCCCTCGTCAGGAGAAATTGTCCAGGGTGGTATCAAGGAGCAAACGGTACGTGCAATAAAGAGGTTGGTTGATTTCCGTATGGTGACTAATTACCTTCAAGAAACAAGTCTTGCAGAACGTAGATGCAGTGCTAAAGGCTTCAGGAAGCTCATTGGATCGTGTCGTCAAGACTACTGTGCGTCGACTCTATCAGGGTGTCTAGTAGACTTTAGCTAAATAATTGCCTGTCTGGGCATAGGTATTCCTTAAGAATCTGGAGAATTTTGCAGAGATGAATGGTGTCTATGCTGAATATTTTGGACGTCACAAGCCAGCTCGTTCGACTGTGGAAGTGGCTCGTCTGCCAAGAGACGTACTCATTGAGGTTGAGTGCATTGCAGCCTATGATTGAAATACTGCACTCATTTCTGTAATACGTATACATGAAGTAACAGGAAAGAGTGGAATCCTAAGCATGCATCTAAAATAGTCGAGAATCCGCTCAGCCGTCCGAGTCCGCGGTCAGCGAAATTTTGAGTCGAAATAATATTATCTGTGCGATACTCCTTTCTTGTGTCCACTCGTGAGGTATATATTCCTTTTCTATGGTTTCCTGAACTTCCCGTTAAAGAGAGGTTGGTCACCTGCCTAGGATCAACTATTACTAAGTCGCGGAGGACAGGCGGATAACCCTCTGGTATTGACGTATCATTATAAACAGAGTGAGAGAGGCAGGTATGGTATGACTGCCGCTCTCGCCAGCATTGATGCTCCCAACTGCATGCTGCAGCCAACCTTCGATGGCGCAGAATTCACTCGAGCAACTCGAGCGTAAACACACTTGCTTTGTGACAATGCTTGGGTTGAAGCACAAACATACTCCAAACAAGATAAGTGGCAAGTGCAAACCAAAGGTGGGAAATTGACTCGAACGCGGAACCATGCTCATATGAATCTGAATTCACGTCCCAGGTCATGTGATACAGTCACGCGCACACGCGTCCAAGGACTCGCGTCCTCACGTCCAATAACTATGTTCTTAACCCGCTCAGAATATGGTACGCTGCTCAAGTGTCCACACCTGTAGCATCGAAATAAGCCTCTTTCCCTTACTTTTAGATCGGGGTGTTAACACATTCTCGCCGGAAGGCCGCTTGTTCCAAGGTTAGCACCCAAGTCGCGGTTTTGTCCAAGACTAAATTCCGCATAGTTGAATATGCTATCGAGGCGATCAAGGTATGCCATGTTTTTTGGTGCATGAATTGCGTAATAATTGTTCACAGCTTGGATCCACAACTGTGGGGATTGTTACCCCAGAAGGCGTGACTCTTGGGGTCGAAAAGCGAGTCCAGTCATCATTAATCGAATCATCATCTATCGAGAAAATCATGGAGATAGACACTCATCTGGGCTGTGCCATGTCAGGTCTCACTGCAGACGCGCGCACCATTATCGATCACGCCAGGGTTACATCGCAGAACCACCGTTTCACATATGATGAGCCCATCAAAGTGGAGAGTGTGACGCAAGCGGTTTGTGACCTTGCACTGCGATTTGGCGAGGGAGTACATGGTGACGAGGCGTTGATGGTATGTCATCGGCGCTTGCTTTGGGAGTTCCTAAACGCCTTGGACACGCACAGAGTCGGCCGTTTGGGGTTGCGCTGCTGATTGCCGGAATTGACGAGCTTGGGCCTCAACTGTAAGCCGCTTTTCATGTTACGATAATTTGTCTGCTCATTGCATTAAGGTATCACACTGATCCCTCAGGGACCTTCACGAAATATGAGGCAAAGGCCATAGGGAGTGGTTCAGAGGCTGCTCAGAGTGAGATTCAGGATAAATATCATAAGGTCGGTACCACTAGACAATTTGATTTGCGTTGTTCAACACTCAGCCAATGTGCCCACAGCACATGACGTTGGATGAGGCACATACTCTCACATTACGCGTTCTTAAACAAGTGATGGAAGAAAAACTAGATCAGCACAACGTTCAGCTCGCCCAGGCAAGTCTGTTCCCCATAGTCAAATCGGTCTGGAAGTTAACCTTTACCTGGCAGGTAACGAAGGAAAAGGGCTTCGAGATTTTAAGTGGAACCAAGCTCAAGTCTCTGATAGACGGGATGTGATGATGCACTACATGAAAACTGACTTGCAACTTGTACACCTAATATAAGCGCAATCCCAAAGGGCGACATTATAGTTAGTGCTACAAGGTTATATATTGATTGGTCCGTTTTGGTAAGATCCTAATTCAACCAATAAGTACGAAGTGCCATGAGCAAGTCTACACAACTGAAACAAAACCTGGAGAGGCACTTTTTCGAGAGCGGCAACGGGGGATTAATAGTGATGCTGGAGCATTCAATTTCCACGGTTTCGTTTGCACGGCTTCTTCCGTCGAGGGGTGCAATCATCACCATCGGGATTTGGAGAGGGGCGGGGGCGTTTGGCAGTCTGTTCATCAGGTGCCATAGGGTGCAGTGGCCATGGCGTAAATTCTGGAGGAGGCAGAGCTCCCCCTCTCCCATTACAGTGGCCGGGAGGGTGGCGATCTTTGGCCCGATCGCGTCCTATCGGCGCCTCGCACGATGGACAGATGAAGTGACCACACCAGGAAGGGATGAAAGATTCGAGTCGAGCCATTAACCTGGGATAAGACCCCTTTCCTTCCTCGATCGTACTGATGATTGGTCCAGCTGTTCGATCTTCACCGTACATCGAGTAGAACGCCGTGATCTCGTCGTGCTCTTCGCGAGTGGGCTCCAACCATTGTTCATCGTGGCGCTCCTCGAAACGGACCCGAAGGGTTGCAAAGAACAGAAGCGCAACAATGTCGATGCGTTGGTTTTTCGCAATGTATGAGATCGTATCGTTCTTGAGATGCACCTGCTGGAGATGCCTCCACCAATCATTTTCCTTCGATGATGAAGCAGATCTTGACTTGTGGAAATTGTCAGAACATAACGGGCACGGTCGGCGATCGTTTGTGCTTATTCCGATAGCCTTTTTAGCCTTTGCATCTCTCTTAACACCGTAGGCATAGAGTGCTCGGGGAATGAAGGGAAGGTCAGAGAAATCTGACGAAGGACTGTTCGGTGTGTTGTCCGGAGTTGACGAACTGGAGGGAATTGGAGGATTCGAGTCCGAACACCGGCAGGAGCCCACTCGGGTCCCTTGGGATGATGGCTGGGGCAGACCTGGCGCGGGCGCGGAGCATGACAGCCCATACCAGGGATTTGGTTCACCCTCAACGTCGGGGTCTTCTCCTGCGTACTCAGATTGTATGCCCCGCGTTGGATTGGGACTGGTGCCGGAAGGGGAGGAGAACATCGACAACGGTCCGCACGTTCCGTGTCTGTAATCCCAAGAGCCTGCGGAGGCTTCCACTGACAGCGCGCGTAAGGGGAGCAAACGAGAGCCTCCTGCATTGTTATATGGTAGCCTGGTAACAATGCGATTTAACACATAGTTTTTGCATGGATGAAGGCATTTCTTACGTACGTTATCTCGGTGTAGAGGTCCCAAAGAGTAGGCGGACTAATATTGTAACACACTCAAGAGCTGACTGCGACGAACAAGGATGGCCTCTGGCTTACCATTCTGACTGCTCTGGGATGACAATATCTTCATAATTTGGGAGAAGAGACACGAGGGAACCGTGTGTCAATTGGTTGCTATCCAGAATTTACTCAGTGAGCCATCGTTTTCGAGCTATGAACTCTCATACGTGTCAGGTGATGGACGACGAACAGTGGGGTTGGCCATGCTCAGGTCTTCTCCGAAAATAAATGGGTTCTGTGTCCCTCGGAAGGAATCGAAAAATTGCTCAAACATGTCGAAAGTGTGAGTCGCTGGTTGAAGTGCAGGGTGATGGGGGCTGCCTCAGTGACGGGTCTGAGTTTTTAAGATGTTCACAAAGCTTGGTACCTGCCTTCGATATAAACAATGGCCCCTCGAACAAAAGGCTCCCAAAGCATGCGCCTTGAATGAAAATCCAGGGAAGAGGGAATGTTCCGGCAATCCGCTTGCAAAGCGTTTCATCAGGCCTCAATTTAGGTGGCCCTGAAAAGGGGCCCAATGTTAGGGCACCAAACGACTTGGCCATCAATGAAGAGGAATCTCTTCTGAGAGACAGAGCACTTAAGGAGCAAATCTTGCAGTATAATTCAGCGGGACTTTTCTTCGTTACAGTAATACATTATTTTCACTCAATGACCGTATATCACCCTCGAATGAGTGATTGTACAGGGCCAATGGCCAGGTCAGGTGCGAATGCTCATCTCAGGGATTGTGACTGTCGGGGGTGCCCGCCTAAGTTATGGGGCCAAATATTCCCCGATCACCGAGGGAATCACAGGGTGCAATCAAAACCCCAGCGGCCAGATGATACGATTCAAAACGCAAGAGAGAGCAGGGACGACTCTCACAGAGAGGAAGTAGGGAGTTTTCCCAGAATGAGGTGTCCACAAGTGCTACCAAAGCGCTTGAGCGCTTTGTTCAGCTAAACTATCCCACGCCATGCCAGTCACATGACTTCATCCCTGGAAGAATCCGGGCCCTGCTCGCAAAGCACTTGAGGTTCCAGTGTTCGGATCAGTGATTCCTCACACATTTCTATTGTGTGCAGCTGCTGGGACATTCTGAGCCTTCGGATTGCCAGTTTAGCACGGATGAAGATGGCCGATAATGAGAGGTATGCCGGACAAGAGATTTGCGCAAGCGTGGACTGATGGCATTACCTGGTCATTTTAGTGTCAAGCGCTCGCTCATCCGGTCGCTAAAGGCCCGTTTGGCGCTGAGCAAAGAGGGAATCAACGGTCGGATTGCAGAAGTCACGGCTTCAGAGTCAGTGCGTTTTGCCCTCAAATAAATCCACAATCTCAGCCAGAAGTTAGTGTAGGGTGCTCAATAATTCTGGACCCGGGAAATGGCACGCACGGCTATATGCGTTAAGATCCGAAATTTCCGTAATTCAAGAAACCCTGAGTAGTGTCGAAGGAGAATTAGCCTTGGCCCAATGTGGACTCAATCGTTCCTTGAATGCCTCTTCTCCCACCCACCGACTACCTGATCGGCTTCTTGCGGAGATTTTCCGCCTTGGTGCCCAGACAGGCGACGCACGAGACCAAGAATATGCCTTTCTCGCCACTGTTACCTCAGTCTGCCACCACTGGAGAGAAGTCGCTTTGGCTGCTTCATTCCTCTGGACGCAAATAGCTATTAGTGCCGGTCATTATGATCCGCGAATGAGTGCATACTTGAAAAGATCTAAAGTGGCCCCTCTACGACTACATCTTATTGTGGACAATACGTTCATTAAATGGAGCAGGGAGAGACTTGGCGAATGGATCAAGGAGATCGAGCCTTATTTGAAGCGATGCACACGGCTCTCAATATCCACTTCTCAGCATGCAACGGCGAAGGCCATCTTTCCGCTACATGTACCCATGTCGAATCTCCGAGAGTTCGCGTGGGACGGTGGTTCTCCGCTATCCCATGATGATGACGAAGATGAAGATAACCACACTGTTACTTTCCTCGATCCATCCACTGTCAGCTCCCCTTCATACCGACTTACATACCATATGGGTGCTGTATCCATGGATTGGAATGATCAGATGGTTTCAAAGCTGGTCACGTTGAAGCTTTACGACTTGGCTGGGCGACCTACCCGAAGGATTTTACAACTTATTCCCCGTTGCACCAGCTTGAAGCGTTTGCGATGGGTTCAGCACCTTAGCGAAGATGAACAGCATACTGAGGCCCTCCCACCCTTCACGTCCACGTCCCTCGAAGTTCTTGACATCGACCTCCCCGACAACAGTGATGAAGAACGCAGTTTCATCTGGAACATGGACTTCCCTTCACTGAGATACCTCTCCATTGCCACTCGCTCCCTGAACACTCGGTGGGCAGACCGGGCCCTGGGGAGTGCGACGCGTTTTCCCCTTCTCATATCCCTCTGGCTGTCGGCGCACGCGTTCACACCGCCAACCATGATAACCTTCTTGCATGCCCATCCAAATGTTGAGCAATTCGGCTGTGGCATCAATCCTAACATCGGTGGTTTACTATCCCTCCTCGTCGAGCCGACATTTGTTGTGCCACGAGATTTCAAATTGTCAAATTTGAAGTTCATCTACTTCCTCAGTTCGTCACATTCTAGCAGCGTCTCCGCCTTGAGCGACTCCATTCGCTCTCTCTTTCGAAGCCGTGCGGGGTACGCGAGTTCAAAAGAGAATGGGAACGAACGCAAGCTGTTCAAGATCCAACTCAATGACGAATCCTGGACAGATCACTTGCCTGAAGACCTGGTGAAACTGAGGCAAGAATATGCCGGACAAGTTATCTTGAGCAATGGTGATGATTCTGTGCCAGATCGGTTCCGGCCCGTATAGGTGAGCCACAGGGTTTTCAGATCATCACTTACAATGCCTCATTCTTCCTCGTGACTAGAAACTTTCCCGCTGTCCCGCTGTTTATGTGTTTTGTTCGCACATCTGATGTCTGCTCGGATTCCTTATTGCATCTCCTAGGATATCGAGGATGTATTTCTAGTAGAAATAATTGTCCTTATTTGATCGGAATCTGACACCCCGCCGAATCAGCAACATCATAGCCATATTTACTGGGTGGGTTTCGTGGAGCAGCAATTCTTCCATGACGAAGCTAAGGGTAGCACAGCAGTGTTTTGAACCAACTGATGAGCCAGTCGATCTCGGTGATGTGCTGGGTGAAAGCCATTCCAGAGAGCAAAATTACGGTCGATTGGCAGTATTCTCCCTTAAAAACTCATGACGTCCGCGGTGCCCCCAAATTCTCGAGTGGCGAGATGACCGAGCGGTCTAAGGTGCTCGACTCAAGAAATAACCCTTCTTGCGCGTCTTCACGTGTCCTATTCGAGTCTCGAAAGAGGCGTGAGTTCGAATCTCACTCTCGTCAAGTTTTTTTTATCAACCCCCTAGGACAAGGAGCCTTGCTGAAAAATGCGTAGCTCACCTATCAGCATCAATTCCTCTACATACAACTTAATCCTATCCATCTTCATTAGTATTGTTGTATGTGCATACTTGTGGTTTGTGTCGGGGCCTGTGCATGCACATGTGCGGCTCGCTGAGCACATCACAATTTTTTTGGATTTCGCATCAGGAATTCTCCTTTCAATTGCCTTTCGACTTTCCATCACCCGTACGGGTACTATCGCACCGAGACCTGCCGCAAGCGCAAGCGTCTGCAGCCAACGGGAAGCTGACCATTGCGAGCAACTCCTTCGGCCACTTATAATTGGACCGGGAAGCCCCGTCAGCTCGCCATCGATTCACGATCTCCCACTCATCGACCATCATGTCCATCACCAAGATCCACGCACGCCAGGTAAGCTTATACCGTCAGTAAACTTTGGATACTGTCAAAAACCTTTTGTTCGCTGCTAGATCTTCGACTCTCGTGGTAATCCTACGGTCGAAGTCGACCTACACACCAAGAAAGGCTGGTTATGACTCCGATCCAACTCATTCTCCCTCGATCATACTCATCCTGGCATTTCAAGGTCGCTTTCGGGCTGCAGTGCCTTCTGGAGCGTCCACTGGTATTCATGAAGCGGTGGAATTGCGTGATGGGACCAAGAGCGAGTACGTTGGAAAGGGCGTTCTCAAGGCGGTTACGAACGTCAACGAGAAGATCGCGCCCGCGCTCATTGAATCTGGGATTAAAGTTACCGCTCAGAAGGACATCGATGACTTTTTGATCAAGCTCGATGGCACCCCAAACAAAGGGCTACTTGGTGCCAATGCAATTTTGGGTGTCAGTATCGCAGCCGCCGTAGCCGGTGCTGCTGAGAAAGTGGGTGATTCAAGATAGTGTTTTAGACTGGTTCCGACTCAATGAATCGCATACATGCAGGATGTGCCATTGTATCAGCATCTCGCCGAGCTTGCCGGTGTCAAGCCACCATATGTGCTCCCTGTTCCCGCCTTCAATGTCATTAACGGGGGCTCTCATGCCGGCAACAAACTTGCGTTCCAGGAGTTCATGCTCCTCCCTACTGGCGCGACAAGCTTTACTGAAGCCCTAAAGATTGGAACCGAAACCTACCATACCCTGAAGAAGGTCATTAATGCCAAGTATGGAATTGACGGTACGTCTTGCGCTTTGAGAGGCCCGCGAAATAGCCAAACGTATTCGATCAGCTACGAATGTCGGTGATGAGGGCGGCTTCGCCCCCAATGTGTCTGGCGCTGTGGAATCCCTTGACTTGCTTGTCGAGGCGATCAAGAAAGCAGGCTACGAGGGAAAGATTCAGATTGCTTTGGATGTCGCTTCCTCAGAGTTCTACAAGGAAGGGAAGTACGATCTCAACTTCAAAGATCCCAACTCGGATCCGTCCAAGTATCTCAGCGGAAAGGAGCTCGCCGATTTTTATGTCTCACTTATTAAGAAGTATCCCATCGTGTCCGTCGAGGATCCTTTCGATCAGGACGATTGGGAAGCTTGGACCCATTTCACCAAGGAGAGCGGAATCCAGATTGTGGGCGATGATCTTACTGTTACCAATCCCCTTCGTATCAAGACTGCTATCGAGAAGAAGGCCTGTAATGGACTTTTGCTTCAAGGCAAGCCACGGCAGTACTCGAGTAGATCGTCCCGCTGACAGTACCTAAGGTCAACCAAATCGGAACGGTTTCTGAATCCATTCAAGCGTATGGCGATGTTCCATAAATCTTGACCCTACATTCAAGATCCATGCATTTTATAGAGCCCAACTTTCTCAGAGCGACGGATGGGGTGTGATGGTCTCCCACCGTTCCGGTGAGACGGAGAACACCTTCATCGCGGACCTGTCTGTTGCCCTCGGCGTCGGCCAGATCAAGACTGGTGCACCAGCACGGAGCGAGCGCGTGGCGAAGTACAACCAACTGCTCCGCATAGAGTAGTTTTAAGTTAGATATTTTTCAGTGTAGCCGCTAAACCCCATTGACAGAGAGGAGATCGGCGCGAATGTCGAGTACGCTGGCGGGCGCGGATTGTCGGCTGGATTGACTCCTCCTGCTCTCATTTCAAAGTAACTGCCTCCCGAGTAGGAAAAAAATGGTTCAGAAATTCTCCTAGAGATGAAAAACCGGTCCCCTGATTACATAAGACTGCCAAGTACAAGTACATGTAATATATTTTGTTATCAATGCAATGGCTGTACACGCCGCTCACGTGAATTGAAGGCTGCACGCAAGCCGAACTCCGAACTGCGACCTTGGGCCAGCCTCCGACCGCGTTTGACCCACACGGCTGACGGTTCAACATGCCTTCTGGCGGAGGTCTTTTTTTCGCGCCTTAAAGACAGGACGGCCACGCTAGGCGGACGTTCCCCCGGTACACTACCTGCTCAACCGAACAAAATTCTTACGAGCCTGCTGCACCCAGATTGGTTTTGACAAGCGAGGATGAGAAGGGCACAGAGTTAACTATGTCTCCAGCAAACTCTAGTCGTATCTCAGTTGATTCCTTGCCGGTTGTTGGTACCGCAAGTGGAGCCAGCCGACTCCAGACCGAGACCGACCGCCGCCCCTGATTCTACAGCCACATGATCTACCTGATATTGACCTCGCGACTCCTACCACAGGGAATGAACCTGTTTCGGCATTAGATACAACACCTCGCCCCGCTCCAGATGCCCCCGTCTTCAACGACCCCTTCGTAGCCAGCAGCAACAGACAGCTCAAGCCCCCAGGGTGGGGGCCAGAGGCAACAAAATCTCCTAGCAGAAAGACATCCCTTGTGTCGCTCCTTCGGAAAAAGTCGTCGCAGAATTCGATGAAGCCCAAAGGATCCCCTGCTTCCCGTAGAGGGTCGCTTGCGTCAAGTGACGGGGGTTCTGTACGAGAACGGCAAGGTTTGGAGCACATCCCCGACAACTCTCCACCACCTGCTTCGCTTGTCATGTCCCCGACAACGATCTCATTACCATCCTCAGCGTATCTGTCCGCTCCATCTAAAGATTCTGATAACATATCACTCCGTTCGAATGTGTCCACTTCTGGAAAGAAGAAAGGCTTACGCGGCTGGAGTAGCCCCAAGAAGGCGAGTGGCCCCGCCGGGGGTATTGCTGGAGCGCTGGCATCATCGGGCATGTCGCTGGCAACCCATGCGACTGGGGGGCAGAATAGCCCCCCCATACCGAGGCCCTTACCAGGTTCCAAGCCTATCAAGGGCGCCACACCAATGCGAAATGGGACAAAACATGCTACAAGAACATCCATAGACAACGTTCTAGCTCGTAGCGCTCCTGGTCTTTCATCCCCGCCAAGGTCATCCGAAGAGCCAGATGGGTACCCAGGGGAGTTGTCAGATGAACTTTATGAGTCGCCGGACGGATTCAGCTTCGATGATGATGATATTCCAGTCACTGGATTCGCCGTTGCCAGCTCTAAGCGGAACGCTGACTTCCATGACCTTTTCCCTGACGTACCTGGAAATGATTATCTAATTGAAGGTGGGGATTTTGATCCTATGTTGGCTTTCTGTTCGTCATCAAACATCCCTTAGATTACGGCTGTGCCTTGCAACGCGATATTCTTGTTCAAGGACGATTATACATTTCCGAGAACCACATGTGCTTCCATGCCAATATCTTTGGTTGGGTCACGAATGTAAGGTGAACGTACAATTTCCAATTTCAATCGAGTGCGCTAAAACATTTCAACTTAGGTTACGATCCCCTTTGGCGATGTCACCTCTCTTGAGAAGAAAATGACGGCATTTGTCATTCCTAATGCTATCCAGGTCACGACGCGTAATGCGAAGTACACTTTCGCATCCTTCATAACTAGGGACACATCGTACGACGTTATTCAAAACATATGGAGACTCTCGTCGCCTCAGGGTGGAGGAGGTCTGCAACATGGAGAGAAAGTCAGTTTGCGATCTGCCGTTGGCAATGACTCTTTCATAGCACCGGAAGATGCCCCCTCAGCGACCGGTCGGGATGGTGATTTCGGGGAGAGGAAGCATAAGGCTACGCAGTGCGCATGCCTAAGACAGGGGCAGCATTTAAGCGAAACAATGATGAATTGCGTCATGCCGGGGACTCCAGAGCAAATTCAGAATCTGATATGGACCAGCGGATTTATGAGAGATTTCATGTCCAATAATCAGAAGCTGACTGGTGTGATCAGACCTCTCTTGTCAACAAGCTCATGCTCACTTGGTTTCAGATATTCAATCATCGGAATGGTCGCCTCAGTCCACCGGGTCACATCTTCTATCACGAACGATGACGTACACCAAACCCCTCAACAATAATTTAGGACCAAAATCGACAAAGTGCGAAATCACTAACGAATTTTTGTACGCGGACCCCAATGATTACTACACAACCCTAACGACGGCGAGGACCCCTGGCGTGCCCAGCGGCAACGTATTCTCGGTGAAGACGAGGACATGCCTGATGTGGGCAGGCTCCTGTTCCACTAATGTTATCGTTACAAGCATGGTGGAGTGGACCGGGCGGAGCTTTATCAAGTGTAAGGGGATCATCTGTTCGTTATATCCTGGCTGACGGGTTTTGGAAATAGCGATGATCGAAAAAGGTGCCATGGAGGGCCAACGTTCGTATCATGTGGACCTCGAAGCCGCAATGAGAGGCTACATTCAGGAGCATAAGACCGAGTTCTTCCCTGAAGGGGAACCGGAAGAAGCCGCGGTTGCTGAGATGACCTCGCTTCAGATCCCTGCCGCTCAGGAAGCGCCTCTAACACCTGAAGAAGCCCGGAAAGCTCGTCAGCTCGAGACTCCAGCTAAAGGTCTTCAATGGGCACTGGACACCTTTACTGGGGCTTGGAGTGTTGGTGTTAAAAGTGCGAGTGGTGCCTTTGAAATCCTTTGTGACATTTTCGAGAACACGTCTCGGCCCACGCTCGTCACGGTTGTCATCGTCGCACTTGTGCTAAGCAATATCTGGACATTGGCCAAATTCCAAAATGCCAGGTATGAACAAGTCGCGGTGAAGCGTCGACATTTTGGTTCGCCATACGACGGGACTGGACTGGAGAACGAAAATTTGAAGGCGGAGGCTTTAAGGGTATTGCTGGAAGGTGTCATTTCTCGATCGGGACCTGAAACCCCATTACACCCACCTGCGCCGCCGCCGCCGCCACCACCACTGTCATCATCTGCGGCGCTTTCGCCTCCCAAACCCCGGACGCCGGTAGGAGCCGAATCTTCGTCAAGTGAAGATCTCAAGAGCCTGCAGGAAGCCCTCGCCGAGATCGAAAAGCGCGTGGAGGAGCTCAAAGTCCAGCTCTCCAAGCTGGATGAGGAAATTATTAATTCATAGCTGCATCTGCTGTATAAGTATACCCTCATAACGTGTGCATGCCCTCATCTGTATTTTTTTTCCCTGCTTTTTTCTTGGTTTCAAGTATAATTGTGCGACTTCTACAACTGCGTATTCGAGGTTGCCATTCCTTTCACCACTATCATTAGCCCATACAGACCGAGGGTGGTTATTCCTGGTTCATGACAATGCTTATCTTGCCTCGTAACAAATGTTCACCATTGTTGTCTCCATAACCCATGTAATACTGGATTGGATACTCGCATTGTCAATATATTGAATTCGGAGTTGGCTGAATATCACCAATATTGTTGTTGACGGGCCACGGGCGCCGTTGATTCAAAACCTCGCATTTGTCAGCATGAATTCGAGGTTTCGCACGCCAAGAGAATCCCATCGGCAGCTCGGGATTGAACACGGGATGATTAAGCATGCTCATGCAGCGTTCCGGGACCCTAATTCCTGTTGGATTGGACCTTGACATCTGATTAGTCTGTCCCAGCATCCCGCCACTGCTGCGAGGGTCTTGAACTCACGAGTCACAGGGCCTGCATATTATTTCTGGTCGCTGTCACCTGAACAATTGGAAAGAATCCAGCGAGCCTTCGGCGCCTTGCTAGCGTGTTTACATGGCTTCTCCAACATCCAGTAGCGAACCCTCGGATGTGCGGACTGAATCTGCCTCTTCGCCTTTATCGAGTAATGGCGTCATTGGAGAACCTGAATTGGCAGGGATTCCAACTCGAGGGACTGGGATCGTGCCCCTAGGAACGGCCACCACCGGCAGTGCGATCGTGCGGACTGGTCGGATTTTGTTGGCTCCTTTGCCGAATGTGAAGCCAAAGGTGTGGCAGTATAGTGAAGAGCAGGAAGCGAAAACTGAGGAACTTCGAGCGGTACGTCTCAACAACAATATCCCTCTGACCTTGATATGAATGCTTTGTTTTGACGTCTCTCCGGCAACACTGAAACCCATGCTTGTTAATGTTCTGTGCTGCGCATGTATGCTCTTTGGGACTTCCCGGGCCCGTCGACACACTCATAGTATGCCAAGACGTTGATGCTACCGGAGACTGATGCATATTATCCTAATGAGAAGAAATGGCTCGAGGATCCCGGGTGCGCCGCGAGGTATATGAGGGCTAGCAAGTGGAGGCTCGAAGAGGCGAAGAGACGCATAAAGGGGACACTTGAATGGGTATGTTCTATTTTCTAGGTCACCACGCGATTCGTACATCCCTGAACTTATCATCCCCAATTTCTTGGTCTTCCTTGAATGATTACGGGATGGGGTTTCATCTATTGATCTTTTATAGCGCCGGGAGTATAAGCCCGATATCATACCAGCGGATGAGGTCAAGGAAGAAGCGCTCACTGGGAAGATTATCCTCAATGGATTTGATAATGAAGGAAGACCTATAATGTATCTCCGACCAGGTATGGAAAATACGAAGGAAAGCCCAAGGCAAATTAGACATCTTGTATTCCACATGTGAGCGCAGACCTTCATTCGTCACACATAACATCCGTACTTAAATTTTTATTATCACCGTACCCGGAATATCTGCGTACCTCTATACTTCTGCACATCAATGTCAGAGAACGAGCGATAGATTTAATGCCATCGGGCCAAGAATCTATGGCGTGTCTGGTCGATTACAACAGTACGACACTGCGAAACAGCCCTTCCATCTCAAACGGGCGTAAATTCCTGAGTATTGTTCAGAATCATTATGTAGAACGATTAGGGAAGGCAATCGTCGTGAACCTCCCTGCGCTTTTGAACTTCTTTTTTAAAGGGATATCGCCTTTTTTGGACCCTGTTACAAGAGATAAGGTGAGAGTCGCAATTAGCAGTTGTGACTAGCCATGGTACTGACAACTTCTTTTCAATATAACCGATGTGTGCTTGGTTACAAGATCGTAAGTCTGTGTCCGTATTCTTATCTTCTTTCCTACAAATAGATTGAATATTTATTAATGCTCGTTGAACTTCCTCCCCTGTACTATATTCCTTTCCCTTTCCCTTCTACCGCATGCGCAAATTCATCGCCACCCCTCCCTCGCGCTATCTCAACAATGGACGCACGGCTATGCACCGGATCCGACCTCCTCTTCTTTTCATCAGAAATTCAACCCTAATCTGCTAGACCTTTTCCCTGCAAATCAACTCGATGCTTCCTTACCTGGTGGGGAATATCAGTACGAATACGACCATGAAATATACTGGTCAATGCTATGTAAAAGATGTGGCGTCCGACCCGACGGGAGCCGATGTGAGCCTAGCACAATCGAGGGCCCGGAGATCGAGGTTGTTACGTCATCGCCGATGCTTCAGCCTTGACTCGCAGCCATCTCACTTTGTCTCAGGAAGGAACGGGGGAAGCAACTAGTGGTGGCGTTGGTGAAGATCATTGGGAGTTGGAAAAGAAGCGGTGGCAGGGGGTTGGTGGAGAGGGGAGTCCCAAAAGAAAGGGGTTCCGATGCCGGCTGGCTCTGGCCTGCTTCCCTTCGGAGGCGGCCGATGATGATCATGGTTGCGAAATGTTGCACTAATAGTTATTTCATGTCACCACCGCCTTAGAATTTCCTCCAAAGGCAATTATTTACTAAACATCGGTACTTGATGATCAGCAACTAGAGTACTCGCTTCGCTTCGTTGAACTCGGCACACAAAGTATCAGTCATCCAGAGATATATTGTCTCATGATTCCCCCAACTTCTGGCTTCCTGGTATCGCCAGAGATCGCCACCGGAGCCAGGAGTGGTTCCACCAGGGCGACCAGCGAGCGAAGTGCATCGCTGATCTCAACGAGCGAGCCAGCGACCTGAGCAACCGAAGCGCTCCTTGTCGGTCTCCTCCTGAGACGCCCCCCTCCTCTTCTTCCCCGCGCGCGCCGGCGATTCATTGTGTGTGCGTTGTTCAGGGCGCTCGCAGCGCGCCCTCACCCTCTTACATGCCACACAGGACGTGGATTTCCCGGAGCTGTTGACGCAGCTCAGGTTGCGTTCCTCCCGCTGCCGCTGCTTTGCTGCTCTCTTCGCTTGCAGCCACCGCCTGCGCTCTTGGGATCTCGCATTCCAGAGCGACTCTTCGTCACCCCTGTTTTCGACCAGGAGGGTGTCTGGCCAAGTCATTAGGTTGAGGTTGTGCGACATTGGTGTAGTAGTGCCAAGTGTGGTGAACTGGAAAAATGTTTTCGGTATTTGCCGAAAATCCGGTTTCTGCCTGTTTTGGGCTATCCCTAAGAAGGGGACTAGAAATGGCTGTTGCACTGCCAGACCTTGCTTGTGGTGAGGTTTTCATTTTCATTTTACATCCAATTGCACTTCATCTCCATCTGTCACGACCCGGCATTCCCCGGAGTCAGATGACCTCCTCCCCGACCTTTTCCCACGCCCGAACACCCCCCACACACTCTGCTCGCCACCCATTGCCATCTAACCACTTCCTGCCACTCCTCCACGACCCCTCTCCTAATTTTCATTGAATGACCTAGCGGTGCAGAGCGCCATGACCTTTTGTCCCATGTTTTGCCACACCCTGTTATCTTGCAGTGAAGGTCATGTTTGACCTTTGCTGTCTTAAACACGTGCTCCTTGTTTGTTTTCCTTTCTCTTTTCTCTGCCCGCAATCTCCGTGAGATCTGGCAACTTATTCTCTATTCAGTTCCCTAGTGCTTATATACTATTGCTTGTACTGTAGTTCAAAATCAACTAGAAATTCCCCCCTAAGCTTACCTCTGTTCCCTGTAAGACCTCTGCCTTCTGAAGTATCGGGACCGTGTCGAGAACGAGGTGCAACGCTCCTCCCTGAGTCATTGAAGCTGAAATCCCAGCCCACTTGCCTAAATAGCCCCGGCCTCGAGATTGGTGAGGTTGATCCTCACTTAAACTCGGTCATGAGTAGGACACCTGTATCACTAGCGGCCAACGTTTGGTCACCAACGGCTATCATCGGCGAAGCTTAGCATGGTTCTGACAGTATTTTGAACTCCCCATCGCTCTTGATGCCCTCATGATGTCATGATGTACGACTCGCTTGCAGGTCCGGAACACTGTGGCAGGACCTTCTATGACACCTTATAGAGACTACAGCTCTAGTACGCCATTTGAAAGAGGTAGGACAGAGGTGTCATGTCGGTGCATACCCGACCCCGACCCGACTTCCGGACCTCCACCCTCTTCACCTCCGGAGTCATACCCTACTGCTGCCGTTCCGATACTCACCTTCGGTCCTGGCAACACACCTCCTTCTACCCCTTCCCACGCCACCTCTACTCCTCCTTCCCTCTCCTACCCTATCTCTGTCTGCTCCGATACTCACCTTCGGACCTGACAACTCTCCTTTCCGCCACTCCTTCTTCCTTACCTTTCCCCTCTCTCCTCTCTCTGGTACTCCTCCGCCACCCTCCCGCCAAGTTACGACCTTCCACTGCTGTCCTGTACTTTGTACTTGGACACCGCTCGTACCTTTGCTCCGAGCCTCCGTCATAGTCCCTACCTCGGACTTTGATTCCACCTCGGTCTTAGTCCATTGCATTGGTGACCTCATACTACGTAAACACCATTGCCAATATCCCTCGGACTTTCAACCCTGCCTCCGTAACCTCCGTAAGCTCTGCAACCCCCGAGCTTCGCGGATCTCCTTCGGCACTTTTGCCGCTTGTAATGTATATCTCACGTTTACCCCTCATCCCTATTTGGACTACTGCTTCTTCCCATTCTAGCCAGTTAGTCATCATCCCCACTTCTCCTCATCCTCCTGCCCCTCTGGGCCTCACCCTCCCTACCTCCTTTCGGACGTATCACAGGTCCTGCCTTATGACCTTTGGTACCACTCCGCTTCTTCTACCCTTTGTTCCCGTTCAGACGTCTTCGTTCCGATTTGGTTACCCTTTGTTTTCCTTGTACTTTTGCCCCCTCCATTATATATATCGGCGCTTGTACATACTCATTTTGGTTCAGTCCGAAATCGACCTGAAATGCCCCCTAGAGACTTCCTGCTCACCTACTGTGAAATTAAGGACCAAATGGACAAACAGCAATGGCACAGCGCTCTGCTTGAGTCGCTGAGGCCAAGGTCCCTCCACGCTAAGTCTCCGATTCCACTCCGGAGTCGTCTGTATCAGCCCCATTCTAACAAGAGGAGAGACAATTTGAGAGTTTTGCAGCAGGCGATGATTACTACCCACGCTCCTGTAAGGAGTGATGTTCCTTGAGGCCGACCATCTTTATTCCCTTGCTATAAATAATGTACAACAATGTAATTACATATTTATATAATGGAGTGTGAGATGAATGGAGTTTAACTCCTTTCCTCCACACCCATTGAAATATAGCTCTATACAGCTTATCTCTTTGACAGACTTGAGGAACTAGGAGATACAAGGTCGGCACCTACACCGACCTTATTACAGCTCCTCAACCCCGAAATGGCGATGCCGAGACGCTAGCAAAATCGACTCTGATGATGACTTTAAGGATGGTAATGAGGGCGAGGAAACAGCTCAGGCTCTGCCACCACTGGTGACAGAGAGAAGGACATCAGACACTTCAGCTGAAGCAGCTGCTGCAGCTACCCAAGACAATGGTGAGGATGACATTGAAGAGATCAATCCCGAGGAAGTAGAGCCAAAGGATAAAGTTAACTTCATGCTCACCAGAGCAATCTCAGAACTAACCCGCACCACCCCCAGCATCCACCTGATCATTCCTAAACCTCCACCACTGTCATATCCATCCCCGGCCATCGACTTCCGGTCCCTCCGATCCCTCCATTCCAACTCCGCTCCTCCCTCACTAACCTCGGAGCCCCCGTATTCCGCAATCCTCTCGGCGCCCCTCGATGGTCACCACCCCCTCATTTCAATTTATTACCTACGCCTCCCTAAGTACGGAGCCCTGAAGACTTCCGGACAGCTCTGACATCTGCTAGCGCACCCCCGCCTCCGTTGGGCAATACACTCGCCTGCCCTGCAGAGCCCACCTTTGGGCCTATCCCTCCTTTCCGTTTCTGGGTTATCGCCTGCCTTTCCGCTAACCCCGTGAACCGACTCGTCGGTAATATTCAGTCGGCTAATGGTTAAACCCCGTTAGCTCCGCTCCGTTCGGCTCCGCCAATTGTGGAACCGTCTCCGCTGTAACCATATATATATCCCACTTGTACATAGGTTACGCCCCAGTAGAAAAATCAACTAGAGTTACCCCCCCTAGGTTCTAATTGCCAGTCAGTAAGTTAGGGCACGGACGTGTCACTAGGCACAGCACTCTTGGCAGAAGTCGCTGAGGCCGAAGCCCTCCGTTACAGAGACATCTCCTCATCTCGAGTCTGGTCTCTGACAGTATTTTTCTACTCCCTGACTAGTACACGTCTTGTATGGCACCAAAAGTCCTTCGCACTCGTTCGCAACTACGCACATTAGTCCCCAACTCCGCTTCACCTTCCCCAGAACCCTCTCAGCCTGGTCCTAGTCGATTGGCGAGAAACCCAGTTGAGTTTCGAAGCTTTTCTAACCTTGAAACCCCTCTCCCATCGACTCCGATCATGCGCCCCGTTAGGAATCGATCACCAGTCACAGACTCCGACTTCGGAGACACCACGGAACAACCCATAGATCCCGCCCACTTCTTTGGACTCGGTTCCGAGGTCCCTGACTTCGTCGACCCTCCTCCTGCTGATCCTCCCATTCCCACTGTCCCAACCACCGACGATCCCGAACCCACCTCCAACGTGGCCATTACACAATTGGCCCAAGCCATTGCCAGTCTGGCTCGTCACACCGGACGACGACGATGACGACCATCTTCTGCTCTCCGGACCAAGGTCCGCGAACCCGAACAGTTCAACGGAAAGGATCCCCGAGAACTCCGAGTATTCTTGGTCCAATGCGAGCTCAACTTCCAGGACCGTCCCCTCGCTTTCGCTAGCGACCGTGCTAAAGTCATATTTGCGCAGTCCTACCTCAAGGGAATGGCCCTCGATTGGTTCGAGCCGGACCTGTTATTCGACCAGAATTCCACGCTTCGTCCGCGATGGATGAACAACTATCAAGAGTTCGTGAATGAACTTCAAACTAACTTCGGCCCTCACGATCCTGTGGGCAACGCCGAGGTTCAACTGATGACACTGGACATGAAGGATGGGCACCACATCAACAAATACGTCGCCGAGTTCAATCGACATGCCTCCCAACTTCACGGTTACGGAGAAGCCGCACTTCATCGTTTCTTCTACAACGGATTGCCGGAACGTATCAAGGATGATATTGCCAGAGTAGGTAAACCCTCTACTCTCTCTGAGCTTTGCACCCTTTCCCAAACTCTCGATGCACGCTATTGGGAGCGTAAATCGGAAGTTACACGTCATGCGAAACCCTCTTCCTCCAACGTTTTCGACAAGCCCACCGCCGCTTCTCGTTCCGACCCCGTCCCTTCTTCCTCCTCTTTTAACTCCGCTTCCGGTAGTAGGCCTCCGAAGGACAATAAGAAGTCCAAGGCCAGCTCCGCTAAACCGGACCTCTCGTCTAAACTCGGAGACAATGGTAAGCTCACGCCACAAGAGCGTAAGTGTCGTCTCGACGAGAAACTGTGTATGTTCTGCGGTCAGTCTGGCCATATGGTCAAGGATTGTCCCAAGTCTTCTTCTCGTGCCTCTGAGGCCCGTTCAGCCCAGACCGAGGAGCAAGGATCCGCTTCCGCAGAAGCAAAAAATTAGTCCGCACCCCCGTGGACTCTGCACGGACCGGGGGTTGCGATCCTTCCTTCCGTGCGCTCAAAGAAGTGCGTTTAAACGCGTCTTCCATTTCCCACTTATCCTCCCTCCACATTCCCGTTTCCTTTTCTCTTTCAAATGGTCTATTTTCTCCTTTCAATGTTGACCCTTCGGGCAATGTTCTACCCATTGTAGATAGTGTTGCTGATGTACCACTCTCTCCTCCACCCCCTCCGACTACTTCCGTAGATCGATCCACCTCTCTCCGCTTCTCTTCTCCTTCTCTTCCTGTTTCTCCTCCGTCCAATAGTAGGACACAAAATAAACTTTTCCGCTCCTATGAGAACGTACCCGCACTTGTAGATTCTGGTTCTTCGGACTGCTTCATCGACGACACCTTCGTAAAAAAGCTGGCCTTGAAGACATACCAGATCAAGCCCCTACAACTACGCCTATTCGACGGTAGCACCAACTCAATCATAACCCGTGCCATCGATATTCCCCTCCGCTTCGCTTCCGGAAACATCACCCCCACGAC